TTTTAGCAAAGATTTTATAATCTGTGGTAAGTAAAGAAACAGGACGCCAGTTTGCAATTTCTAACAAATCGCCTGTTTTGGGAAGAAGGGTAATAACTCCCCTTCGGCAGGAGATTGGTAGACGCCCAGTAGAGACAGATTCATTAAGAACTGACATAAGGTCGTCTTTAATAATATTCCAAAAGGTCTGATAGAACTCAGCGGTCAACCCGTCCAAGCCAGGCGACTTATTGTTGTTCAACTGTTTCACTGCATTATCCATCTCATCTATTGTTATGGGATTATCACACTCGTCAGCGTCACTTTCACTGAGTGTGGGCAAATTCTTAACCAAGGGTTCTAAACTATTCGGATCAGTCTCAGCCTCACAATACAGGTTTTTATAAAAATTCCTAATGTGGGATTTTATTTCACTGGGATTATCGGAAACGTTGCCAGAGGAGAGGCGAATTTTAGAGATTATTTTGGCAGTGGAATTAGACTTCTCTAAGTTAAAAAAGAAGGTGGAACATGTATCGATCTCGGTCGTAAGTTGAAATCGTGATCTAATAAGAGCACCTTTGGCTTCATGTTTGTAACACTCATTCAGGGCATCTCTTTGTTCACGAAGAATTCTTTGAGTATCCGGGGTGAGATCAGGCGAAGACTGTAAATCATCAATACATTTTTGTAGAGAGCTAATTTTGTCTCGTTTTTCACGGGCAACCTTAACACCATACATTTGAGAAATAGTTTTAATGTGGGTCTTCCCTACATCCCACCAAGTGCTGATGTTGGAAAAGTTAGTTTTTTCAGTTTGCCAATTTTTCCAAAATTGCTTGAAAATAGCTTTGTACAATTCATCCTGAAGCAAGGAATTGTTGAAGTGCCAATAGACACTCCCTTTTTTTCTGAGTTCAGGAGATGTTATTTTGAAAACAACAGCACTATGATCAGAGAGGGAGCAAGGTTGAATGTCACAGGAGACAACAGAAGACAAAAGATGAACAGGAAAATATATTCGGTCGAGTCTAGCTTTAGAGATATTTCTTACTTGACCAGTGTTATATCTAAACCAAGTAAATTTCGACAAGTTGGGATTATTTCTACGCCAAACATCGCACAAGGAAAAAGTGTTAATGACATCTTCCAGAGCGGAGGCAAGTTTGTGTCTCCTTTCAATATTTTGTGAAAAACGGTCTAAAAGAGGGTTATGAGTACAATTGAAGTCGCCACCAAAGATGACTACTCCATTATCTTGTGAGGAACAATGGTCCTCAATTGCTTTCAGACAGTTCATAGCAACACCATCGTCTTGAGAAATCAAAATATTGTAAATATGATAAGTGGTTGAGCGAACATCAAGTTTGACATAATGAACGTAACCAGCAGATATCGTGCAAGATTGTAAGATGTTGAAAATTGGATTTTTCTTAATGAGAGTAGCGACACCAGACCCACGGGTAATTCCAGTGGAGCAAGAGACTTTATAAGGCCAAGTCTGCCAACATAAATCTTCCTCTCTGAGATCATTTATTTCCTGTAAAAGAACAATATCTGGGTTTCCAAGGGTGCTGTCTAGATACACACGAATAGAATTATTTTTGATGGGCATCGAACACCCTCCTGTATTTAGCGTTGCTAGGGAGAGTGTCATGCAGATAAAGTGAAGATGAGATAGAATCATCACGGAAGAAGATGAATAGGATCGGTTGGGTCAAGATTCCTGATCAGCTTACGAACCCTCTGCTGCATGTTCTTCTTTAACAAAGGGCTGTTGCGAAGCGGTTTCAGTTGTTTGATGAGACCGGGGATGTTATGAGTGAATTTTCTGGCAACCTCAAGTGGTTTTCGGCGTGATTTGACACATTTGAGAAAGGCGACTACCTCTGCATTGTTTAATGGCCCTTTTGACAAGTGCAGGTCCCCTGGGCCATCTTCATCTTGGGCAAGTTGACTCAAACCAGAAGATACAGATTCCTGGTCACTCTCTGTATCCTGTTGAGATGGGTTTATTTGTGGTGACTCTACAGACATTTGAGTGCTGTGTAGAATTGGTGATGTCTCTACAGATAGTTGAGTGTTGTCTAGAACTTGGGTAATGTTTTCCTCTGTTTCCATTTGAACTATATTTCTTTGTTTTCTCATTTTTCGTTGTGGAGAGGGAGATTTGAGTGTCACGAGAGAGATTGAGATATCCTCCTTTGCTTTAGGTGTTTTGTGTTTTCTTTTTGCCACCACCTTCAGCAAAGAGAGGGGAAGTTTCCCTAGTTGGTGCTGGGGGTGAGCCCCAGATTAGGGAGTCATTTTGATTGTTGGTGACGTGTGGAGGAGAGGATGTACTTTGCTTAGAATGTTTTGGAGTTGTGTTATGTTTGGGTGTATCTGCTAAATTATCTTTTTTGTTCTCAGATCGTTCTGGATGTTTCATTGAAGGTCGAGCTGCAAATACAGGTGACTTCTGTGAAGCTTCCGTCTCGGTCGGCTCATCTGTGGTGACTGATGATTTGCTTTGGACACCTGTATCATTTGTAGCATGTCTATTGTTTTTATGTAGATGTTTTAGATCAGATTTCTTTCCATGCATGAATACTGGAGGCGGGTTTAAAGGGTTGGAGTGCTCAGTAGTAGTTGCTGGTGCAGGCACTTCAGATGTTTTGGTTTTCTTACAGTGTTTACTTATATGACCATTTTCTCCGCAGTTGAAACATTTAACAGAGTCGTTGGAAATGAAAACCCTGTAGTTGACTCCCGAGTAGGTGATGTTCATGTGATCTGGGATAGTGACATTGGTTTCAATGATGGCATGAACTTGGCGTCTAAAAGACATTACATGAGACAGATCTTTGTCTTTTATCCCTAGGGGTATCGGTTTGATCGGTGATACTAATTTACAGAAACTCGACAAATTTTTGACAAGGATTGCGTTAGGCAGTTCTGGGTACACATTAGATAGCACCAATCTCTCTGTTGGTTGAACCAAAGGAGTGACTGGGATAAATGAGTCCTTATATTCTAACCCAAACGAAACAGCGTCGTCGACCGCCCCTCTGGACTTCAGATAGACGGCCACACGCCCATTCGATATGCGAGAGGCTGAGACTATTTCATTGGGGTCCATACCTGAGACGGATAGAGCATTTACATATGACTGGACTGAGACATTGTCTTCGGCTTTAAAAGCTATTCCATTGTTTCGAGTTATGTTCCTGAAAGGATCGGCGTTACCCGCGGTAGGTATGGTTTTTGAAGGGCCAGCCAACTGATCGCTCGACTGAACCCGAACACTGGAACGTGCAACAGCCCGACTAGCCATGGTGGCCAGCCCAGCTATCTAACGTTAAAGAGTACCCGAAGGTACGAAAGAAATAAACTCAAAATATCTGAAAATGGTAGAACGTAAAACCACCAAAGTAGGACCAATAGAGTCTACAACAGCCTACAATTACAACGGTATACAATTTTAGACCAACCTTGGTCTTAAAACAGTGAAAAACTTACGTTTTACGAGAGCCCAATATCATACCACCTTCAAAACAAACAAACAAACAAACAAAAAAAAAAATCTTGGATCCGTGCCTGATTATCATTATCGAGGGTTGATTATCATTATCGAGGGGCTTCCGCCGTGCGCGCGTCACGGCTGATGGCATCTTTATAGCCCGCCAGTCGACCAGCAAGGTAGCTAGCCCGATCTGGGGATGCTTCGTGGACTTGCGGGCGGCATACAACCACCTACACCGCCCCATTCTGTGGAAGATGCTGCGTGTGAGGCTAGGCAAGGAGGCGGACAAGATCGTGGACATCATCGAGGCGACCTATGAGGAATCGGAGGCCAACCTTGACGGCGCGCCCAGCCCCGATCCACTGCGGCGTGCGACAAGGAGCCGTGGAGTCATGTGTGCTATTCAATTATGCGCTCGACCTCGTAATGCGCGTGGCACTACAGCAGATCGAGCGCGAGTACCCCGGGGCAGGAGTGCAACACCGATATGACATCACCAACGAGTGTACAAACAGGATGCAGCAGGCGGAACATGCTGCGAGAGGCGAGGCTGTGACCACCGTGATCACCTATGCTGATGACATACTTATGCTGGGACAAACACGCGAGGAGTTGCAGGGCATGATGAATGTCATTTACCTGACGTTCAAGAACTATGGGCTCACCATGGCAGGGGACAAGACGGTCAGCATGTCCTGGAACACGCCTGAGGAGACGCGCAACAGCAAGAGCTTGATCACAGTCGGAGGGGAGGACCTGGGCAATGTCCGGACCTTCAAGTACCTCGGGCACGTGCTAGCCGACGACCCAAACAAGCCGCAACACATCACCCAGAAGATCAGCTCTGCACGGGCAAAGTGGGCGGAAATAAAGGGTGTCCTGACGGACAAGGAGTTGAAGATGACAACACGGGTCCGGATGCTGGAGGCGATGGTGCGCAGCAGACTAGTCTATGCAGTGCAAACCGAACGACTCCGAGCCTCCGAACGAGACAAGCTTGACAGCCTGTGGATGAATTTCTGCAGAAAGCTAGTCAAAGGCAGGTTCAGCAAGAAGAAGAACATGGACGGTGAGGACACCTACGTGTACAAGTATAACGCCAGTGAGATACTGAAAATCTGCCGGACATTTTGAGCGAGCGAGTTTTGTCTAAAACAGCACGTCAAGTACATGGCGCACATTACTCGCATGCCCAACTCGAGCGAGCAGAAACAGTGGCTGTTCACCAAGGCTGAGCATAAATACACCCAGAACCAGTGGATAGCCCTCGGCCAGGACCTGGACTGGACGAAATGCAAGTTAGGCGCATGCTCTTCAACCGGGCAGAGCTCAATGCGTGGCTTCGGCGCCACGAATCACAATGGACGTAAAACGTCTGCGAGTGACAACACCCATGATGATGATGATTGAATATTTAGGGAGCAAACTCACCGCAAATCCAAAATGTCTTGGGAGATTTTGGATCTCAATCTTGAAGATCTCTGAGGTGAAGTGCTGTTGCATCAGATAGTGATAAGGATCCGTTATGGCAGCACCAGTCACCGTACGTCAGAGGTGCTGGTGGAAGTCAAGATCTGATGCACAAATGAACAGATTAAAAAAATTGATATGGCTAGAGCTATATTGTCTATGTCTTCATCCATGACAATTACATAGCAACAATCTGACGATAGCTGTAGCCATAGCTCTAGAAGCCCGTTTCAGACACAGCCTAAGTAACAGATCAACAAACTTGCAAGTTATGCATTATGCATCTGATTCCAAATGTATACCAATCTTTGTGCATACATGTTGGGGTTTGAACCCCGGACAACTACAAAGTTAGCCAAGTAGCATCAGAACTCAGTTGATAAGCGGCGGCGCCACCAGATAATAAGTGGCGGCCGCCACATAATAAGTGGGGCCAGATAATAAGTGGCGGCCGCCACATAATAAGTGGGTCCAGATAATAAGTGGCGGCCACCACATAATAAGTGGCGGCCAGATAATAAGTGGCGGCCGCCACATAATAAGTGGGTGGTCGCTGTACAAAAAATTTTTTTCACAAGTACCAAAAAAATATATTATATATTATTGAGTGGCACTATCCGTCTTCCGTACATGAGTGATTTGGATGATTCTTGTAGTAGAAATGTATAGTCAAACAAGACCAGACCAAATTAAATTTGGTCTTGAATGACAAGTTTTGGTTGACTTTAGCAGAAATTCTAACCCAAACAATTGGTTATAGAACAACCCAAGTTTGGGTACCTAGTTCCAGTTTTCACCCTTTGTTGGGTAAAATTAACCCAGGCAATTTGTCAGTGTATTCTCCCTCCTCATGCTAATGTATTTCTTCTTTTTACACAAAGGTTAGTTTGATGATGCTGCGAGTACAGCGCTTCACCTCGAGTATTAACAGTCTGATACATGCAGTCGAAATGTTCTCTTTGAAAGCATTTGTGATAGTGATACGGTCACAGTCCGCGTTTGATACCTTATTTTCACTCGTAGGTAAATCAGGGAGGTTATAGTCCGAGAGCCCAGTGAGGTTTATTTAGATATTGCGCACAAAAGGTTTGATGATGGCAGCGAGTAGGTGGGGGCGTCTAACCTTCGAAACCGTCGTTCTTAAAGTGTCACCCCCCATGCATTTGGGAGGGGGCACCGCCTAAAGACCCCCAAAATTGACTTTTAATTAGAATATCGCGCACAAGCACGATTCTAACGTGAACAGATAGGCCTAGTATTCGATTAACTATCAATAACCAATAGTTTAAGAATGAGAAATCCCGTGCATTACATGCTTAAGAATGGCCTAATTAGTGCTAATTATTCACCTTTAATTAGAATTTTGAGCAAAACAGCGAAACCTTCACTAAAAGCTAATTAACGTCACCAACATGCAAGATCCGCAACTTAAGAATGGATTTTCGCGTGAATTTTGTACTTAAGAACGAGTTAAAGTTCAATAATTAGCCGCCCGCTAAGAATTAGTTTTTCATGTGTTTGATTAGAATGTTGAGCACAACGATCATTCCAACACCAAACGATAGTGTATGAGTCAGCGTTTGCAAAATTTCAACTTAAGAATAAAAAAATCTTGGGCAAAATCTACTTAAGAACGGCTTAGGCCAAAAAAAAAAAAGTCTCCGGTTTCTGGTATGGAGCTTGCCCCAAAAGTGGTGCGGCAACGCGGCTTTTTTTTTTTTTACATGTTTTTTTTTTTTTTTTGGGCTTCAAATGTCGGCTGATGACTGCAAATGGTGCCCGACTAAACTTAGTGCAAATATATGGGAGTCCAGAGAGGCTACATAAAGCTTATTCTCGATCATAACCCAATCTAAAAACACGTTAAAATTGTGCAGCAGTGGGAGTCCAGTCAAACCAGTTAGTTTGGCAGTTTTGAGACATCATCTTTTTTTTTCATTTTGCCGATGCGCATGGCTACGGTGACACGCGCGCATACCAGAAACCGGAGACTTTTTTTTTTGGCCTTAATAACCGCTAATTACTATTGTATGGTACGGAGGCCGATTTCCATCTCAAATTACACCTTGAAATCAAGCAGTAGGGTATGAACCAAAGACTCCTCAATTCCTACTAGGATAACTGAGATTACACCTTGAAATAAAAAGGGATCGAACCCAGGGTCAATGGAAAAGAAATCAAGCAGAAGGGTATGAACCAAAGACTCCTCAATTCCTACTAGGATAACTGAGGTTACACCTCGAAATAAAAAGGAATCGAACCCAGGGTCAATGGAGAAGAAATCAAGCAGTAGGGTATGAACCAAAGACTCCTCAATTCCTACTAGGATAACTGAGATTACACCTTGAAATAAAATGGAATCAAACCCAAGGTCAATGGAGAAGAAATCAAGCAGTAGGGTATGAACTAAAGACTCCTCAATTCCTACTAGGATAACTGAGATTACACCTTGAAATAAAAAGGAATCGAACCCAGGGTCAATGGAAAAGAAATCAAGCAGAAGGATATGAACCAAAGACTCCTCAATTCCTACTAGGATAACTGAGATTACACCTTGAAATTAAAAGGAATCGAACCCAGGGTCAATGGAGAAGAAATCAAGCAGAAGGGTATGAACCAAAGACTCCTCAATTCCTACTAGGATAACTGAGGTTACACCTCGAAATTAAAAGGAATCGAACCCAGGGTCAATGGAGAAGAAATCAAGCAGTAGGGTATGAACCAAAGACTCCTCAATTCCTACTAGGATAACTGAGATTACACCTTGAAATAAAAAGGAATCGAACCCAGGGTCAATGGAGAAGAAATCAAGCAGAAGGGTATGAACCAAAGACTCCTCAATTCCTACTAAGATAACTGAGATTACACCTTGAAATAAAAAGGAATCGAACCCAGGGTCAATGGAGAAGGAATCAAGCAGTAGGGTATGAACCAAAGACTCCTAAATTCCTACTAAGATAACTGAGATTACACCTTGAAATAAAAAGGAATCGAACACAGGGTCAATGGAGAAGGAGTCAAGCAGTAGGGTATGAACCAAAGACTCCTCAATTCCTACTAGGATAACTGAGATTACACCTTGAAATAAATAGGAATCGAACCCAGGGTCAATGGAAAAGAAATCAAGCAGAAGGGTATGAACCAAAGACTCCTCAATTCCTACTAGGATAACTGAGATTATACCTTGAAATAAAAAGGAATCCAACCCAGGGTCAATGGAGAAGAAATCAAGCAGTAGGGTATGAACCAAAGACTCCTCAATTCCTACTAGGATAACTGAGGTTACACCTCGAAATTAAAAGGAATCGAACCCAGGGTCAATGGAGAAGAAATCAAGCAGTAGGGTATGAACCAAAGACTCCTCAATTCCTACTAGGATAACTGAGGTTACACCTCGAAATTAAAAGGAATCGAACCCAGGGTCAATGGAGAAGAAATCAAGCAGTAGGGTATGAACCAAAGACTCCTCAATTCCTACTAGGATAACTGAGATTACACCTTGAAATAAAAAGGAATCGAACCCAGGGTCAATGGAGAAAAAATCAAGCAGTAGGGTATGAACCAAAGACTCCTCAATTCCTACTAGGATAACTGAGATTACACCTTGAAATAAAAAGGAATCGAACCCAGGGTCAATGGAAAAGAAATCAAGCAGAAGGGTATGAACCAAAGACTCCTCAATTCCTACTAGGATAACTGAGATTATACCTTGAAAAAAAAAGGAATCGAACCCAGGGTCAATGGAAAAGAAATCAAGCAGAAGGGTATGAACCAAAGACTCCTCAATTCCTACTAGGATAACTGAGATTACACCTTGAAATAAAAAGGAATCGAACCCAGGGTCAATGGAAAAGAAATCAAGCAGAAGGGTATGAACCAAAGACTCCTCAATTCCTACTAGGATAACTGAGATTACACCTTGAAATAAAAAGGAATCGAACCCAGGGTCAATGGAAAAGAAATCAAGCAGTAGGGTATGAACCAAAGACTCCTCAATTCCTACTAGGATAACTGAGATTACACCTTGATATAAAAAGGAATCGAACCCAGGGTCAATAGAAAAGAAATCAAGCAGTAGGATCTGAACCGAAGACTTTTCAATTCATTCAAGGATAACTAAGGCTACACCTTGGAACAAAAGAGGAATCAAACTTGCTACTTACTTTATCATCAATGGTGTCAATCTTAGTCAGCACTACTCCGTCAATCAGTGGAGGTTGATCCATGTCTCAATGGTGTGCTCGATTGATTGCCTGGTCCACTGCTTCGTTACCACCCAAATAACTCCCCAACTAAGAGAACTAACTCAGACAGGTTGATTTCAATCAGCTGTTTGAGCAAAAATAACAAAACAGGAATAACAGTTAATCATAAGGAAATGAAACATTTTCTATCTTTGTGCAGTTCTCTCTTGAAGGCAATAAATTATATTCTTAAATTAGGTTGTTGCCCTTCACCGACGTTTTAAACACTGGGCAACAACCTAATTTAATTTATATCACCCCGACGCAAAATTCCATCTTATAATAAATTATATTCTGTTTTTTTTTACATGGCGTTTCTGCTTACACATTGGAAGCTACGGCAATAGTTGAAAATATGTTACAACGAGTTGCAATACGACGGCTGTTTCTTGTAAAATGGATTCGCTCAGACTGTATGGTTGCACATTATTATACTATCGGTTGAGAGTTTGTACAAGAAACAGCCGTCGCATTGTAACCTGCATGCCGGATCGACAAGATTGACATGGCCGATTCCAGAGTCACTCGCATTTCACTTTTTTGCATCCTTTTCCAATCTTAGTGGTGTACTTTTTACAAAAAAGAGAATTCATTTTTGGTTTGGAAATACTCAACATAGGCCTATAAGGCATCAACCGTATGGTATTATGAAAATTAAATGATACTAAATATGAGCATGGCACTGTTGGACAAAACCGTCCGTGACTCGCATTTCGTGAAAAGTGCATGCCAAAAATTGTCTTGGTTTTAATTGAAAAATTTCCTCAAACCAAATGGACCACAACCAAATGTACTAGATACCTATTAAACATACTAAATGAGGGTAACAAAATATATTCAACAACTAACTGTATTGGAGGGGAAAAATGCCGTCATTCGCATTTCCCTCACTCGCATTTCAGTTTGTTCATTGTGAACGAAATGAAGCATTTCCTCCATAATTCTTATCAAGTCTTAGCTAAGTCTTTTCAAACAGCCTTTATAAACCTTTTCAGTGTGCTCAAAATACTAATTGCAATGAAAATAAGTCAGGTGTGTTTACAAACACAAATGCCCCGCAACCGTGACTGTTCCCATGACATAACACCACTCTTTTAACATCAACTTACACGTACCCTACATGTACCTTGGTCACATGGAACGTTCATTAGTGTCTTCTGTAGGTTTTATATGAATTAATCCCTAATCCCTTTGATCTCAGAATAAATACAAGATTTTTATTGTTTAAGCCACTGTGACCTTGACCCTTGACCTTTCGGCTCCAAATGCAAAAAGACAAGATATGTCCGGACACACACACACACCCACACCGTCGTGTTTTACTATACCCCTGAGGACAACCTATTGTGTTTCCCTTTGTCCCTCTAATGTAACACTTTCCCATAGACTAAGCACATAACCGTACAATCGAGGACCGGTTTTAACAATAGGCACCGTCGTCTGAGGATCAAAGGCTCCTTTGTGCTCCTTTTGTTGTCTGTCCTCGAGCGTATATACAATACAAGAGCACCCACCCACCCACACACCCACCCACCCACGGAAGGACAAGGCGGAAACAGTATGCCCCCTTCGGCTTCGCGGCGGGGCATAAAAAGTATTTTAAGTTACTGGGGAAAAATGCTGTCACTCGCATTTCCGTCACTCGCATTTCAGTTAGTCCATTAAAAACCACCTGCATTCATGCACTTTCTGGCCATTAGTTTTGAGTTCCGATGCAATTTTGATTAAACAAAATTGCCAGAGCATACATGTGTACAATAGCTCAACAGTACGGAGAGTTATGTATGATTCAGTCAACCAGACAACTGATCAGTGAGATGTGAGACATTTTTAAAAACAGCTGGAAAACAATCCGTGGCGACGACTTATAAATCAAGTCCCTGTTAAAAACAAACGGAAACATGCCCATGTGCATGCACAAGAGCCTCATGGGTGTGTGTGGTGGAAAAATACAAAAATCTCTTTGGGAAAAATAAAGTGGGAATGTTTCAGGTTGTAACAGCTAGCTGCTTTGTTCTTTGCTTGAATTCTCTTTCTCAGAATGAAACTTTTTTCTTTCCATTCATTTATTTAAAATGTAAGGCCCCTAACAAGCTGCTACATGTAAGGCTCCAATAACTTGTTAAAGGCACACAGGATCATTTGCATTAATCCCAAAAGTAATCTACTGGTGCTGATTTTTTATCAAAAATCAGCTTATTTGGCTTAAAAAAAATCACACTGACCATACTAAACACCCCATGAAATTATTCTGTCCAGCTTGCTGTCATTAAGAAGAAACAAAGAATTGTATTGGTGATTTCCAATGATTAGTCAATTCTTGACTGATTTTGCGAAATATACAGAGTGCTATGGATGAAATTGTGTCTTGTGATTAAAAGGTTTGTGCACGCACGGTGGGTTTTCACTGTTTTCACACAAAGTGTAATATGGCCATTTTCACAATCAGTGGTGTAACTTTGAAATGTTGAGGTTTTGGTCTATATTTCTTGAACCAGAGGATAGAATTCTTAGATTTTTGGTCCTACAACTATCCTGGGTAAAGGCTACCTCAGTCTTAACAAAGTTCCTGTGTTTCTTCATACATATGGATATCTCGGACCCCAGAAGGGGCTTAATCCTACCACTTCAAGTGGTACGTTTTTAGGTACCTTTTTTTCATTCAACCTATTTATATTATTGAGCATGCAATTCCAAGTTGCTTTTGGGTTGTGATTAAGCACAAGACTTGGACCTTTCTGCCATATAATTTTGACCACTGTTTCTGTTTCCGTTCTGTAGCTATGTCATTAAGAGTTGTCATGTTTCGGAGGTTACATTTTCCGTTAACTTTTGGTGTCAATATATTATGCATTACTTCTCACATTTGGAAATGGTAAATATCCTACATTTTCAAACATTTTGCTGGTGATTACATCTACGTTTGTTCAACATGTTACCCTTTTGGCTTAGCGGCAGCTTCGGGATATTGCATGCTTTCAAATATTGTTGTTAACTTTTCCGTTAACAGTTTTGTAACCTCCAAAACATTGGATTATGTGGTCTAACTCTGAAATGAAAGAAAGTGGTAACAAAGTGGATAAACTAAAAAGAACTGTTATGACAACCCATCATCCATAGAAAATATCTTTGGAAAGGAATGTTGACTTTTTGGTTAAATGTGTACTGTTAAATTTCCGTTAACACGCGTAACCTCCAAAACACAATGTAACCTCCGAAACATTTCAGTTTGGTTTCATTCAGTTTACTTCTCTCAGGAAATACCCTCAGACCTCAACATAATGTGTATTAACACTGCAATCACAAAAATAAAAATAGTTAGGTTTGAAAGAAAAGAATCAAGAAAATGTGTTATTTGAACGCATGATTCTGATACAAACCTGTTTCGGAGGTTAAATGTTAACATTTACAAATGTACAACACAAATCTGTAATTTGTAGGCACATTGCACTTTTTTCTTTCACCTTGTTTTGTATTTTTGCATCTCAACCCACTTAAAATTACTGACAAAAAGAAAAAAAATTGTTTCCTTTTTTTTTTTCTTGGGCTGCAATCTTTAGTAATTTGTGTTAACATTCTCCGAAACAAGCACATTTGTGAAGTTTTTTGGTGACAAACTTTAAATTAAATTTCACTTTTTTGTAAATGCAATTGGTCAAACCATTCCTGCCATTAATGTAAACATTGCATTTAAAAAACAATTCTGCCATGGCTTTAAATTGTAAAGAACATAAACAAGTCAGTTTGGAACTTTCAAATTCACTAGTGCTTTACAATAAAACATGCCTTAACCTAGGATGCAGACAGTTAGGGTCATAGTAAATCTGCAGCAAACAAATTATGTTTTTGTCAAATTTCAGGCCTCAAATCAAGTTTACCATAAAATTTGGCGACAATGATGGATAAATCAAGCTCCAAAACCAATGATTTCCTGAGAAATGTGTCCAACCTAAAATATTTTTAATGGAAAAAAATTAATATAACAGGTTTGAAATTTTGAACCCTTGGATACAAAGTTACACCACTGATTGTGAAAATAGCCATATGCACTGAGCTGAAACTTCAACAGGCTGGGTTTTTACCATTCTTCTTTGGATTTTGTGTGGTGTTATTAATTGGAAAGGAATGAATTGCTTAAAAAGCAAATGAACCTGAATGCCTTTAAGCACAGAATGTCTTAGTGGCTCAGTAAAGTCATGTTACCAGCCAAAATCCCATGCTATATTGTCTGTGGCTGGTTAAGAGCTTCTCTGTCTGCATTCTAAGTTATAATAGAAAGTGATATCGTCAGTCGCATTTCATTTGTCACTCGCATTTCATTTGTCACTCGCATATATATTCAAATTTCAAGGGCTCTCTATTATAATGTGCTCGGTTTTTGGTTAAATTAATACTTGTTGCTTTTATAGGCCTACTTGGTATTGGTGGGAGAAGCAAATTATCAATTGTCAGCAATATAATCACTACCAGTTTAAAATAATAATAAAAAAGATATTTTTGTATCAAACGCATATGCCTAAGCATCCACAGCTGTGCACCTACAAGTCTTAAAGGTATAAAATCATACTACTAAATTGCGTAATAAGTTTGTGACTACTGTTTTTCTAAGAAAAAAATGCAAACAAAGGAAAATGCACATAAAGTAGTACGGTACATTTTATAAACCAAACATCACAAGGAAGAAACTAGACCCATGAACGTGGCGTTGCACACAATGCCAAGCTGTTGTGTATTTTCGAACCTAGCGAAATCGATCCGCCATATACATAATTTCGTATGGATGTTGAGTAGGCCTACTCACCTGGAAATCTAAATTTGCCTGTCCGCGTGTTCAGGATGTGTCATTTCGACGACATTTGCCATCAATGAAGACCCATACGAACGTGTAGAAATGAGATTTTAACCTGACAAGTGACCATGACAAATGACCCTGGACGAGTACCCAGGGTCATTTGCGTGCAAAATTATTGGAGCCCTCCGAGCTACCCGTCTGCTTCATGTGGCGCATATGAAAGGCGGCGTCTGATTGGCCAATAACGAGACCACGTGATAAACGCAGCTAATAATTTGGAATCGCACTTATGATCCGGACATCAGGAGTGCCCGGAGTGTCAGTGCGATACCAAATTATCTGCAGCATTTATCACGTGGTAAATCACATGCATCAGGAGGAGGTTGCAGGACGTCGAGATCTTGCCAGATTTTACCTCGAATATCGTTTAAATGCCAGATTTGGCGTAAAAGCAGATTTCAACATGTTCAAGAAAGCTTGATATGTGAATACTTATTACACGGTAAGGCAATGTTCAGTCTTTGTCACAGAAGGCCGATTTTGCTTGGTTCGAACATGTACAAGAGCGTGGCGTAGTTTACAAGCCACGTTCACAGGTCTAGGAAGAAACGTGACAAGGATTTCATAGAAGACGATTGAGATTTGACTAAAAAAGTTTATATCCTGATCCTTACATCTATTAGCAATAACTTTTTTGGGGCCATGTCCCTGTTTGCTTGGAATCGCCCATTTGCATTAATACGATGTCACAGCTTTTGGGGTCACGCTTCTTACGGAAAGAATGTTGCAACCTGACGCTAATTTTTTCTTCATAGGCCTACATCATCTCAATGAAGGTCAGTCAGTGCAAAAAATGATGATAAGATATGAATCTGGGACTAAGAGTAAGAAACATTTCCAATTTTGTTAGGAAATAGGCCTAGGCCTTCTACTTAGAAAATTTTCTTGATTCTCCATAGACTTTGTACAAAACCTCTGAAGTAGCGTCAGGTTGCAACATTCTTTCTCAAGCAGACTAGCTGCTGCTGCATAGATGAAATACAGTAAAGCAAAAAAGTAAAGTCAACACTGACAAAGGAAATTGTTCTACCTTGGCTAAGTTGGTTGACTTCCAACACCGCGCCGTTGGCAAATGGTAGGTGCCCCTTGGCTCAGCTTAACTTCAGCCGTCCTCAGGCGCTAGGCATGTTGCAAAAGATGGTTTAAATGCCACTTGCCCAGAAGTAAACACAGTTCATCCAAAGACTCCTCATGATATTCCAAAGGAACTGAGCGACGGAGGTTGTATCTACACCATGAAAACAGAGCATGAAACTAGCAGAGGTTTCAACCAAATGTTCGCATTGAAACTCTCGCAGGAAAGTAAACAAACACATCAAACGAAAACGTGTTTGGCATTTAAACCATGTTTGGCGCCCTCAATATTGAGGGCGCCAAACAAGTTTCATTGCCCAGATTCCACAATAGCTGCATAAATAGTATGCTAACCAAGCCGTGTGGAAAACATCCCATATAATTATACTCCAAATCAGACTTTTCTGGGCATAAGGTCAAAAAATGAGATTTTTGCATATTATTAAAAATGTAAATTTTCCTATAATTGATGGTTTAATTCCTGGGTAAAGTTATGCTATTTTGAAGTTCATCGTGTCAAAAAGTAGAAAACGGAGAAAATGGCAGTAAAAGTTTGGGGTCTATTCTAAGACCTGTTTCAAGTGACATTTCTGTAACTGATAAACCTAAACAAATCATCAAAAAAACTAAATTTAAGGTTCAAATTAGGGTTTCAAACTTTTGTAGTATATTTTAGATATGTTCAAGATTAGAAATATGCAAAAATTCGAAAAAAAAAAAAATCACCCCAAAGCATTTTTTGCCCTATCTCAATTTCAACCTCTGCCCAGACGCACGAACAGGATAGCGTATACGAACTAATCGGTGTAGAAAACATGCTATATCTGCGTTTTACCTCCATAGCATTAGCGCATACGAACCAAGGGAGTACAAGACATGTCATTACAGCGTATCACTCCATAGCATTAGCGCATACGGGCCAAGGGGCTTGAAAAACATGCCATTACAGCGTATCACTCCATAGCATTAGCGCATACGGGCCCAGGGGCTTGAAAAACATGCCATTACAGCGTATCACTCCATAGCATTGGCGCATACGGACCAAGGGGCTTGAAAAACATGCCATTACAGCGTATCACTCCATAGCATTAGCGCATACGGACCAAGGGGCTTGAAAAACATGCCATTACAGCGTATCACTCCATAGCATTAGCGCATACGGGCCAAGGGGCTTAAAAACATGCCATTACAGCGTATCACTCCATAGCATTAGCGCATACGGACCAAGGGGCTTAAAAAACATGCCATTACAGCGTATCACTCCATAGCATTAGCGCATACGGGCCAAGGGGCTTGAAAAACATGCCATTACAGCGTATCACTCCATAGCATTAACGCATACGCGGGGCAAGGGGCTTGAAAAACATGCCATTACAGCGTATCACTCCATAGCATTAGCGCATACGGGGCAAGGGGCTTGAAAAACATGCCATTACAGCGTATCACTCCATAGCATTAGCGCATACGGGCCAAGGGGCTTGAAAAACATGCCATTACAGCGTATCACTCCATAGCATTAGCGCATACGGGCCAAGGGGCTTGAAAAACATGCCATTACAGCGTATCACTCCATAGCATTAGCGCATACGGGCCAAGGGGCTTGAAAAACATGCCATTACAGCGTATCACTCCATAGCATTAGCGCATACGGGCCAAGGGGCTTGAAAAACATGCCATTACAGCGTATCACTCCTTAGCATTAGCGCATACGGGCCAAGGGGCTTGAAAAACATGCCATTACAGCGTATCACTCCATAGCATTAGCGCATACGTGGCAAGGGGCTTGAAAAACATGCCATTACAGCGTATCACTCCATAGCATTAGCGCATACGGGCCAAGGGGCTTGAAAAACATGCCATTACAGCGTATCACTCCATAGCATTAGCGCATACGGGGCAAGGGGCTTGAAAAACATGCCATTACAGCGTATCACTCCATAGCATTAGCGCATACCGGCCAAGGGGCTTGAAAAACATGCCATTACAGCGTATCACTCCATAGCATTAGCGCATACGGACCAAGGGGCTTGAAAAACATGCCATTACAGCGTATCACTCCATAGCATTAGCGCATACGAGGCAAGGGGGCTTAAAAAAACATGCCATTACAGCGTATCACTCCATAGCATTAGCGCATACGGGTCAAGGGGCTTGAAAAACACGGCCGATTTTCTAACTCAGCACTCGCCATATGGTCGTGTACAATGCGCCTGTCCATAGGAAACGGCCAAACGGCCGATTTTCTACCGCGCTATTGGCAATACACGCGTGCACAATCGGCCGTGTACAAAAACGGCCATATACGGGGTTCAAATAGGATTTTCGCTACGGTCCAAAAAGCTGGTCTTCGGTTTGTAGGATAAGTTTACGCTTTAGAGCAGGGAACCAGTTACCGTGTGTGTCGCAGAAGTTTAGAGTAGAAGTTGCTCACGAAAAAGGAGTGGATAGAGTCTTTTCGTGTAAACTTCAACTTGCAATTAAACACAAAAATACAACAAGAGGTATTTATTTCATGATTTCAAGGGTTTGGCATCATATTTGAATGAATTAATCCAATCTAATTTCAATTAATTTTTGAAAAATCTCGGCACACCGCCATAATGGTCGCGTACCAATGCGCTTGTCCATAGGAAACGGCCAAACGGCTGATTTTCTATCTCAGCACACGCCATACGGTCGTGTACAATGCGCTTGCCCAAAGGAAACGGCCAAACGACAGCGTATCACTCCATAGCATTAGCGCATACAGACCAAGGGGCTTGAAAAACATGCCATTACAGCGTATCACTCCATAGCATTAGCGCATACGGACCAAGGGGCTTGAAAAACATGCCATTACAGCGAATCACTCCATAGCATTAGCGCATACGAGCCAAGGGGCTTGAAAAACATGCCATTACAGCGTATCACTCCATAGCATTAGCGCATACGGGGCAAGGGGCTTGAAAAACATGCCATTACAGCGAATCACTCCATAGCATAAACGCATACGGGCCAAGGGGCTTGAAAAGCATGCCATTACAGCGTATCACTCCATAGCATTAGCGCATACGGGGCAAGGGGCTTGAAAAACATGCCATTACAGCGTATCACTCCATAGCATTAGCGCATACGGGCCAAGGGGCTTGAAAAACATGCCATTACAGCGTATCACTCCATAGCATTAGCGCATACGGGGCAAGGGGCTTGAAAAACATGCCATTACAGCGAATCACTCCATAGCATAAACGCATACGGGCCAAGGGGCTTGAAAAACATGCCATTACAGCGTATCACTCCATAGCATTAGCGCATACGGGGCAAGGGGCTTGAAAAACATGCCATTACAGCGAATCACTCCATAGCATAAACGCATACGGGCCAAGGGGCTTGAAAAGCATGCCATTACAGCGTATCACTCCATAGCATTAGCGCATACGGGGCAAGGGGCTTGAAAAACATGCCATTACAGCGTATCACTCCATAGCATTAGCGCATACGGGCCAAGGGGCTTGAAAAACATGCCATTACAGCGTATCACTCCATAGCATTAGCGCATACGGGTCAAGGGGCTTGAAAAACACGGCCGATTTTCTAACTCAGCACTCGCCATATGGTCGTGTACAATGCGCCTGTCCATAGGAAACGGCCAAACGGCCGATTTTCTACCTCAGCACACGCCGTATTGGTCGTGTACAATGCGCTTGTCCATAGGAAACGGCCAAACGGCTGATTTTCTATCTCAGCACACGCCGTATTGGTCGTGTACAATTGCGCTGGTCCATAGGAAACAGCCAAACGGCTGATTTTCTATCTCAGCACACGCCATACGGTCGTGTACAATGCGCCTGTCCATAGGAAACGGCCAAACGGCTGATTTTGTACCGCGCTATTGGCAATACACGCGTGCACAATCGGCCGTGTACAAAAACGGCCATATACGGGGTTCAAATGGGATTTTCGCTACGGTCCAAAAAGCTGGTCTTCGGTTTTTAGGATAAGTTTACGCTTTAGAGCAGGGAACCAGTTACCGTGTGTGTCGCAGAAGTTTCGAGTAGAGTTGCTCACGAAAAAGGAGTGGATAGAGTCTTTTCGTGTAAACTTCAACTTGCAATTAAACACAAAAATACAACTAGAGGTATTTATTTCATGATTTCAAGGGTTTGGCATCATATTTGAATGAATTAATCCAATCTAATTTCAATTAATTTTTGAAAAATCTCGGCACACCGCCATAATGGTCGCGTACAATGCGCTTGTCCATAGGAAACGGCCAAACGGCTGATTTTCTATCTCAGCACACGCCATACGGTCGTGTACAATGCGCTTGCCCAAAGGAAACGGCCAAACGACAGCGTATCACTCCATATCATTAGCGCATACAGACCAAGGGGCTTGAAAAACATGCCATTACAGCGTATCACTCCATAGCATTAGCGCATACGGACCAAGGGGCTTGAAAAACATGCCATTACAGCGTATCACTCCATAGCATTAACGCATACGGGCCAAGGGGCTTGAAAAACATGCCATTACAGCGTATCACTCCATAGCATTAGCGCATACGGGCCAAGGGGCTTGAACAACATGCCATTACAGCGTATCACTCCATAGCATTAGCGCATACGAGCCAAGGGGCTTGAAAAACATGCCATTACAGCGTATCACTCCATAGCATTAGCGCATACGGGCCAAGGGGCTTGAAAAACATGCCATTACAGCGTATCACTCCATAGCAAATGTGACCCGCTCTACAAAAAAGGCCCGTAAGTCGCGCTATGCTGTGTAACACGTAATGGGTTGTTGTACGTGGAAAATGTGAAAAATTCATCACACATGATTTTTTTTTATTTGATTTTTGACATGTTAATTTCCATAGTTTCATAATTGATTGGCAGGTATTTTGATTTTGATCAATAAAGATGGAAAAAACGTGTTTTGTTTTGACTTTTGTTCTGGCTTTGTGTGGTTCATTGGTTTAGAACGTTGTAAGATTAGCGCATACGAGTCAAGGGGCTTGAAAAACATGCCATTACAGCGTATCACTCGATAGCACTAGCGCATATGAGCCAAGGGGCGTAGAAAACATGCCATTACAGCATATCTATCACTCACTGGATGGCAATACAACACAACCGCAGACAATTTTAACGCGGATAGAGGGCGCAATAACCACGGTTGTACAGTTGGTTAGACGCCCCATTGATAAATTGTCTACAAAACACTTATCGCGGGGGAATTATTATTCGTTGTATTAAATTAAATTTCCTCTGTTAATTGCCTGTTATCAAAGACGTGTTAATAAATATCAAGAAAATGGATGGACCAAGAAAGTAAATAAAGAGAGAATATATTTTATAGTCTTGAGCGCGAAATCACATACTACAATGCTTTAGCTATCTACACGTATTTTTTTTTTTTTTATTGTTTGGTGACTCCCCCTTGATATTCAAGAAAAATGCATAATTTAATTACCATCAATAATGGACATTTTTCAATACAACAGGTGTTTCTGGAAACGAGTAACTCGGTATTGTTTTTGTAGGCAGGTTTTTCTCCGCGGTGACAATTTTTTCCCCGGCGACCACTATTTATGTAGCGCGCCCTCTTTTGAAAATATTTCACGTGCAACACACGCAGTGTTTTGGTTTTATTATTTGTATTGTTTTGACGAATTCCCTCTAAATATTTAAGAGAAGTGTAAACTTATATGAAAAACAATCACTATACGACATTTCAAATGGATACAATAGATATTTCTTAAGTTATCGTCCGGAAAACGAGAATATCGCTTCTGTACTGTAGCGTAAGCAGCTTTTATCCGCAACCACTATTTCTGTAGCGCGCCCTCTTTTGAAAGAAATTGGCTATGGCCATGTGCACAGCCCAGAGTGTATGGCGCCCTCAGCGTGCATGAGAATCAAACCATGAAACGTGTTTGGCGCCCTCAATATTGAGGGCGCCAAACACGTTTCATTGCCGGCCGGCCCGTCGATTTGTAAACAAACGCGCGTAATTCGTAGTCAACTAATTTTGCCATTTTTGTGTTTTAAACTCTGTCAAAATACTGATGTTTAGTGATTTCATTTAATGATATGCCAATCTTTCTGCATGTGGGAAGATCGTCAGATCAAATGAGCTGTAGAACTAGAAGGATCGTCAGCTGATCGTGTGAAATCACTGGACACGGTTTCATCATCAGATCATGATGATCATTCATGAACATGATGAACTCTTGAAGTTAAGTATGCACTGCCTAAATAAACTAGTTTAGTTAGCCTAGAGAGCTCGATGTCAATTGTTGTTATGCTTGTATTTCTAAGTTGTATTAGGCATATTTTCTGGAGCCTTAAATCATAACATATGTCTCCCCCTCCCTCCAGGCCAGAGATCCAATAGTCGAAGTTTGGATGTTCCAAAAAGTGAAAGTTTTAGTTTTCAAAGTGGCTATCGTTACAGCAGCTGTAACCATCGTTATTGCAAAATCACTGGCATTGATGCAAATCTATATCTCATTTATACTACCGTCCAAAAAACTTGGACCCTACACGCCATTTTAACATTGGCACATGGTTTGAATATCACCAGACTTTGTGCCAATGTTAAAAAGGGGATTTGTAAGGTTTAACTTTAAAACTGTCCAACCAGAATGTTTAGATAGCTCAATTGCTTGCAAGTTTGACCATTGTGCCGGGGACTCGGGTTCATAACCAGTGCTGCGCTGCTAAAAAAAAAATTCTCTCATTTTTACATAGTTTTCTGTACCCCCATTTTTAAAAATAAAATTAGATTCCATTTTCTTTTTCACAGTCCGTTGCTTTGGGAATTGTTAAAAGGGAAATCAAGTCTGAGAACCATTTGGTTGAACGATAGTCCAGTTCTAACAGCTACAGATTCTGACATTGAATACTAGGTCAGGGAGCCAGATGCATTTAGATGGTTGCGTAATGATACCCGTTGATTAACGCGATACGACTGCCGTAACAATAGCCACTGCTTTAACTTCCCCATCATGCCCATGTGCCTGGGATATTGCTGTGCTATCGTAGCCACATCTCCCACCTAGAAAAGTCTGCCAATTCTTTTCCGGATGCAAGAAAATGTAAGGTTTTGAGGTATTGGTTGTCTTCTATGACCTCTCAGGTTTTGTGCCCCGAGTTGATTAGGTAATCTTACCTCAATATGTAGAGTTGACTGATGGTAGCCATGTTGAGTGTCAGAATTCAGATGACCCCAAAGCTGTGACATCAGGTGATGTAAATCGTCTTGCTCTGGCCGGCACGAGTTGCAATGCGATGGCTGTTTCATGTAAAGCTCCAATGACCACACTCCAACCCAGTCATGTCGTTGCAGCTGTGTGTGTGACGTATCAGGGGAGAGGGTACCAGCCTAGACTAATCCATTGTACACGACCATGTCCCAGTGTTTAAAAAAAAAGGTCCAAAATACTAGGACTAGCCCACTACGTGTACTTTGTGAGGCCTACAATGTACATCAACAAGTGGACGTGGTTTGATGTTTAGCTCAGCTGCATCCTAGCTATATAAATTCTACCTTAATGACTGTTAGATTTTTAAAAATAAAATTACAATGAATTTGGAGCTCAGGATTGGCCGGCCAGTAATCAATACCTAATGTTCATTTTCCAGATCTTGATGTGTTAGGCCTATCTTTTTAATTTTCCAGACATGTAGCTGATCAATGCTGAAATACCAACTGCAATCCGAGCCTACGACAACTGATAATAGCCAGTGATTTCTGACAAATCAGCCCTGATCACTGAGCTGCCATGTCCAAACCAAAGCACTATGCTCCCGTCTTGCAGCCTGCTGCTAAGCCTAAGACTGTTAAAGGCAAGAAAGTTGCATCTAGGAGGTCAGCTGAAGCTCAGCCATTGGCAGAGCCAGTCTATCATTCCACAGTGGCACTCGGACATCAACTCAAGAACTTACAAAGGATGGAGTTTGATGCTGAAGGCGGAGTGCTCAAGGCGTTAGAGGAATCAGATATGGCTAGAGTGAACTTTGCTGAGAAAGTTGCTGAAGCAGTTAACGTCTCAAAGAAACAAACTAAATATTCAGGTCTTATTAGCGTGAATGTGCCAGTAGAAGCCACTATCGCTCAGGAGGTGGAGGGTCGTATGTCGAGACTGAAAACCAGTCACAATCAAGCTTGGCGTAAACCCTCCAAGGTATTTTATGGAACCATTGCTGGAGGTGGGGTTATTTTATAGCTATATTAAATTACCAGAGGGTTAACTCCTCATTCTCACGCGGCAGAAATAATCCTTCCTGGGCGAACACGGTTTGAATTCATGTGCATGTTTGTAGAACATAATGACATTAGATACTACATTGTATATTTTGAAAGTGTATTCTAAATGCAACGCGCAAGTACAACATACCCAAACAAATTTAATAAACGCGCCATGACCGTTAAAAAACGAACAGCGAAAATCATCTGCAGCGGATACGCGCACGCATTTGCATTGTTTGCGCAGAGCAAAATGAAACGCACATTTACTGATTGAGATTTCAGTTTTGGGCATATCACCTTCGATAACGCACCAGTATTGAACACAAATGCAGATTTGCAAATAGCCGTACAAAAGCCGAAAAAAAAAATTCGAGTTTTCCATAGATTGTGCGCAAACATGGATGCACCCAGTAGGCATCACTTTGTACATCGAGTCAGCATTCCAGTAATTTAATATAGCTCTATGGGTGATTTATAATAAATGCCGTTAGTAGTGGATCTGGTTGGGTGGAAAGTTGGAACGTAAAGGAAGCATATTCAAAGTACAAACCTCCAACAAATTTCTCAGGGATTTCAAAGTCATGAAACGGCAAATGTTCCACCTTAAATTGTAGTGCAACACAGTGGAAATAAACCAAGTCGACTCTCGTTAATTGGGACACCAGTCCCATTCATTGTGCACATCAATGCACAGTCGGGACCAAGGCTTTATGTTTGTTATAACCAGAATTTGTATTAACAGAGTTTGTACTAACAAGAGTCGACTGTATATGTGTATTTTTAAAAATTCCAGATTTGTTTGAAATTTTTAATTTTTTTTCTCTTCTTTTTACTATTTTCAGGCATCAGAGGTCCCTCCTCCAAACATCAAGAATGTGTTCACCCCTAATTTGATAGTGGAGGAACCCATCATGGATGTCCCAACATTAGCCTCTCTAGACGTTCGGCCTGAACCATGTTCTCCCAAGGTAGCTTTTGAACTCTACAAACACATGATGTGTTGGGACTCATGAGGCCTGCATTCAAACTGTTGCATACAATGGACGTCAAAAATAAGAAGAAAATGATATTTGAGAAACCAGATTATGAACATTCAGGCCATTTCAGATAACATACTGAGCAATTTCATCAAATAATTGGCAAAACAGACTTTTATTTTACTGTGTCTTTTTTTTATTTGATCTCTGCAGCTCTTATTTACATAAACTATGGTAAGATTTTATATACAAATAAAATACACATGCACACACACACAGAATGGCTAACTGGCTTATTTCGATCCCTCTTGAACACTAAGATGTATCAAATGTAGAAAAGTAAAAAGCTATTTGCAGTTATTTTGGTTTTGTGAATTGACTAAGTTTGAAAAATGTATTGTGTCACATTTTTGTTTGCATTTGTTTTCATGAACATTACATTAGTAAGTGTTTTAAGGTAAAAATATTTTGATTTTTTTTGTTGCACAAACGCATTCCCTGCCAATTATTCAATCAAGTTTAAAAGATTTTGTTTCTGCATTTTTAATGGCAAAATTACCTTTCACACACAACAAAGCAACATCAAAAGTTGTCAGAAAATCTTTGGGACGCCTATACATTTTTATAGTGAAATGAACAAACCTTTTCATTTGCCTTTCTGTTATTTAAAAAAATGCAAAATCTAGGGCATTTCAGAGCAGTGCAAAACAAAATTTATGCAAAATGTAAAGACTACAAGGAAGAAGGAAACAAGCAAATAGTTTTACCTCCAAAACAAAATGTCCACAGAGAATTTTACAAAATGTGAAATGAGCCCAAGATTTGTGAGCTGGAAGCATTTTTTCTGGGATTCCGTCTTCTAAAGCACTTTTTGGTTCGCAGCACAAACGTTGATAATAAACAAAGAAATTAGGATTTTAAACATATCTGAATGAAATGGCATCAAATTCAGATGGCCATTCTCAAAATGGCTTAAAACTAATAAAAGGTCCAAGTTTTCACATGGTATGATGGTTTGAAAACCAACCCTGTCCAATAAACGGGCAAATTTGGTGGGATACATTTGGGACTGTTATGAGTGCTAGGAGATTCTTGGATCGTGCAGGGTTTGCGGCAGGGTTTATGAGATGTATTCAACCATGCCTTTGATTTTGAAAGGTCATTTTGACGTGGACATTTTGTGGTGGCACTACAGAAGCGTTGATGTTATTAATAATTTGAGAGAGAGCTATCCACGGCTTCTTTGAATTCTTTGATTGCCTCTTCAAGTTGTTTTCCTTTCTCTTGTCCTTCCACGGTGCCAAATAACAGCTCACTACAAATAACAGGAGTAATCACATAATCATATCAAGCAATCCAACGCACAGACATCTGGCATAAACTAGGCTTCTAATGTGTCCCAAAAGTTTAAACGGACTTTATCTCCAGTCATTAAAACAGTAAATTTTGAATTTGAATGCAAAAAAAAAAAGATTGAAAGGTTTATAACCTGCCCATCAATACTATCACTTACCATACCCTTGTTTCACATTAGTTTAGTTGGATACATAATTATAAACTTAGCGCATCAAGTTCAAGATTTTCTGGCAAATTTACAACATGGCAAAATGCAAGGTCACATACTGCACATTCATAATGTAGGTTTTCTGTTATAAAGGTGTCATGTCACATGTACATGTTTGCTAAAATGGGCCGATTTCTAATAATTCAATGTCAAATATTCATTAGCTGAGAAGACAACCTAATATTCGAAAGAGCTGAATATCTAGACTGGATAAGCATGTTGTGTCATAAAATTAGCAATATTGATACAGTTCTAGGTGGGTTAACAAGATAATGCCTGCCACCATGTGTTAGCATTTTGTGCGCAGTACATTGAATGTGATAGATTAATAGTATCCAAAATAATAAGCATGTTATATTTTTTAGCTGTTCACTAATTTGTACTTGAAGGGTAGATTAAAATACTCTTTGCAAATTGCAGTGCACGACATACGAAAGCAGACATAACAAAACAAGTGTTTTTACATTGATTGTTTAACAGCTTTAATCTATTGACATAATTTCTCCATAATATTATTTTTTTGAAAAATAAGTACTTTATTTAGTTGCTACATACTGCACATGTACAATTATAAATGAATTAGCGATATTGTTAAAATGTTAATATTGTGGCACATCACAGGATTACAAATGTATTTGTTAGTTGTATTAAAATTCCACACTGTATATTCAGGGTTTTTTATTGCATATTTTGGCCGATTTCTAATTTTTTTTTATTACAATGAGCCGATGTTATTTTTCCTTGAGGATTTACTGTGTAAATAAAGCTTATACTGACAAAACTGAAATAAGAGAATACTTCCTTAATTGGCTTGTATTATTGTGGAATTAGATGTGACGTTCAAGTTTAATCAAATAATATACAGGGGAAAAAAATCAAAATATTTACATCTGTATGATGCAAATTATCACTGGTCCCCACATCTGTGTAATGCTTTTTCTTCACAAAACTAAGATTGGGTTACCAGTGACAGGCTGTGCACATTCAGATGTCTGTTTTGCTCTTTTTGTTTGAATTTGGAGACGGGAGGAATCCATCAATGCCTCTACACAGAAAAAACAACAACAAAAAAGAACCACAAACACACTCGGATTAACTCACACACAGACAATGCATTGATGAAGATATCAGACTGAAATAAACATTTCATATAATAAAAAAGGAAAACGCATTTGATTAGAGGTGCAGTATTTGATTTTATTGGAGGCAGGGATTAGTCTCGTAGACCATCGCAAGTTAAATTCGAACGTATTCACATACCGACAACGACTGACGCTCACGCGAAGACGCGGTAGCTTTTGCACATTCAGGAAGTCGTGCGTATGTCACGCGCGAACCAGTACAGTACAGTATGCGCACGTTGTGTGTCCCGTCCACGGAGCTCTCAAAAGAGGTAAAAACGCGCCCTCTTTTGTTGGCGCACGGAGCCCATAGTTATTCAACATTTGCTTATTCCAGTCTGATATCTTCATAGCAGTAAGAAAGATTAGAACACAGATTCATTGTTAATACGGCCATTGTCCCGTTTGTTGTAACGACGGGTTGAATGCACGCTGGTTAATACTACGTACTGACCTTTATGCCTTGGCAAAACCAAGGTAGAGCTCACTGAAGTAGGCATGCAAGTCAAAGATGATAGTAGTTAGATACATTGATCAAAACATCCATAAATCATTGTTGTTCACATGCAATAACAACAACTTGGTCAAGCAACTGATTTGGAGCTTTCTTGTTATTCAGCCATTTTTTTTGCTAAAACTTGCGAGAACACTGACTCCCATGCATCATGCAAGTTTAATGTACATTTTTAAAGACAGCTGACTGGCAAAACAGTCAACTTATCAAAACAAACATTTAAAATGGAGTATTTCTTTGTACAAATTTCACAGCAAATTACCAACGCATGCATACAATTCCAAATTTGATTATTTGAGGCCTGCACACATACATGTGTTAATTAACAAGTCAACTTAACACTTTGTGGGAGTGTGGCGGAGTGGTTAGGGTTCGTGACTCGTGATCAGAGGGTCAGGGGTTCAAATCCAGCTGCTTGTACTGTCCATGGGCAAGCCACTTCACCTCCACTTGCCTCTCTCCACCCAGGAGTATAAATGGGTACCGGCATTAGCTGGGGAGTAACCTGCGACGGACTGGCATCCCATCCAGGGGGAGTAGAAATGTTCTCAGTCATTTCATGCTACTGAAACAGAGATAAACGCTGGCCTGCTGGGCCACAGTGGCTTGTAACAGACTTTAATAAGTATTTGTCACACCAGGAATTAATGGGTCCAAGGTATTAACTGAATACGCAATTTGCTCATTGCTCATTGGCTGATAACATTCCAGTCCAAATCAATTGTAACACGTGCACACAATACCATGGTAACTACCAACAAGGGTCAAGTGTCATAAGCATGCAGTCACTTACCTGACTGTGTCAAAGGTTAAGGGTCATGAGTGGGAGGGGCAAAGCAATGGAAGGGGGCGGGGTCACCTGGTGCTGAGGCCTAACACCATATAGCTACAATGAAACATTCAATGCTGAACGGTTACCTTGGTTACGCGAATAAGCGTACTGACACATAATACAGAAATACTTAAATCATGCAAAAATAAACACATGCATTCATGATAAACCAACAAGCTTAACAATTTTTGCTGTGTGGTGAAAAAAAATATGCAACACGCTGATATTCAAGGTTAGTTTTTCCAAAGCGTACAGCCGCTCTAAACATTTTGCATTAGCACTGCGTTATCTGCGTATGTTATGGTTTGAAAGCAAAAACCATCAAATTTGTCATTTTATTCTATGAAGTTAAAGTGTATTCAGCAATTAACACAATTCAGTGCAAAATGCACTGTGTACTTTGTTCTCAGATTCTAAAGGGCAAGACACAATGCAAGGCGAGGATAGACTGTCATCTTATGAATTAAATTTAAAATTAATACTAGGCTGCTCTATTTTTGTATTAATTAAAATCCACAAAAACACTAGCTTTTGATTTGGTCAATAATAGTTTTTACAGCAAAGCAAGCGCAGTGTAGATGCACTCAGTTCTATACTGCAACACAAGCATAACAACAAACAAAATAGCAAAGCCCCCACCCCCCCCAAAAAAAAGGAAAAAAAAGAAAAATTGATAGCAAACAAATTACAGATATTATGATGATAAAAGCTTAAAGAGACTTCAAGGAATATCATGAAATTATAACAAGCAAGTGTCATTCAGTGGAGAAACTGCAGGTCTTGACTACCCCCCCCCCCCCCCCCGACCATCCCCATCCCTACCCCAACACCCTGTTGTCAAGGATGATCCAACCAAGGTGATAAAGGAGAAAATGTTGAAATACAAACCATGCAATATGGGCAAAAGGAGTCGAGCAAAGTAGCAAGACGATGTGAATAAGATGAAGTTTGTTTAGGTTGAGAAGAGAGGATTAACAGAGCTGAATGTTAACGCTATAGTGATAGCTGCTGCTGACTGTAGGGAACCAGTGCAAAACATGGCTGGTTGCCGTGCCCCACGATCATGCACTAAGACAGATCGGTAGATGGAACTATGTAAAGAGAGGAATAGTCAAATGGAGGAAGGAAAGAGGAAAGAAGTGGAGATAGAAATGAGAATGCAGCCCAGAAATCAGCCTTATTCTCACGGTAATCTGTCGTTAGCAACTCATGCATCCACTGTGCCCATCTTTGTATTTTGTTCTTTCTTTTAAGCTGTGGCAGGAGCTTCAACATGTCACTTGGTGGTCGGTCAGTTGGTCGGTCGGTCTGTCTGTCTGTCCCCGAAAATTGATCAAAAATAATTCACCAAATGCTGTGCTGTGGTCATAAAATGCACTCTTGCTGACAGGTTTCGGAACAGCGATTGATCGATGCTCATGCGGGCTTGTTTTGCATATATGTCTGCCCCGAAAATTGACCAAAACAAGCCCATAACTTTCCCAAAAAGTATAACTACAAAGTTTTGATTTTCAAAAAAAGCAAACCGGCAAAATCAAATGAATACAATTTGGAAAAATGTTTATGAACATTTTGTAAATGGAAGCAAAATACATGCAGTAATGTTGTAGTCATGTGGTATTTATCACAGATCGCTATAAATCTAGGTACTTCTGAAGTATGGTGTTCGATATGTGCCATCGGCGTCGCATTTTTGGGCATCACTTCTTTAAGCTCTGGCAGGGATCGTTTTGATCGATTTCATGCAAGACTTTCATGCAAGATGGCCAGTGCACTCGCAGTTGTTTTTCTATAAATGCAAGGGTCATCTGATATTATGAGATAATTGTTCATGTCACTTGTTGCTGTATCTAGTGTTTCTAATTACAATTGGGTAAATTGAGTACAGGTGAAACACAGACAAAAGTAGCACATCTTCATTCAGTATTCCCCAATGTCTTCTGTTGCCCAAGACAACATTTAATCTTCAGTTTTCTCATGACCAAGACAAGATTCCAAATCATCCTGGAATACATGCTCAAGTCAACATTCATCGGATGCATGCACTGTGCTGGTGGAATAGTAAGAACATACACACAGATACATGTACATGACAACCGACATGACATACCTGTAGTTGATTTCACCGTCGCCATCTTTGTCCAATTCAGCAATCATAAACGCTATCTCTTCTTTGGAAAGGTCTATACCACTCTCCTGTAACATACAACACAACTCAAGGTCAGTAACTGCGAAAGGCTCAATTGCAGAGACGCGGCTACAATGCGGTCGAGCCAAAAGGCATTAACGCGCCTTAAGCAGCTCTCATATGACCCATGTCTTACCAAGGAGCACAGCTAGAGATTGAAAGTGATGATTTCTAGCAGAGGGATAAGAACCGGAGAACTCAGAGAAAAACCTCAAGGCACTGGACAGAATTAACGAACAACTCTACTCACATCTGGAATCGAACCAAGGCCACAACAGTGAACTGGAACTATACTTAGGCCAAACAACATTGATTTTTAGGTTTTCATCACTCAATTGGAAAAAATCTTTCGGGAGGGGAATTTATATTTTATATTTTATAAAATCCCTTTCTTCAAACCTCACAGTTTATAACAGACAGGTTTTCAGTTGACTGAGTGTTCAAACAAACAGCACAATAATTGGCCTACCCTTGCCATGCCAGCTAGATGTCAAACTTTGAACTTAAAAAAAATTACGACCATGGTTGTGTACAATATGCGCTCACTGTATGGTGCCTAGAGCGTTGTCCTATTGATACCATATCGACTCGTCATGGTTCCCGACTATGCAATGACGTCTGCATTAGCAGTGTGAATTCGCACGATGTGCTCAGTAAAGTCAGTATGTCGTGCACAATGTTGCGTGCAAATCAGTGCAACTGTGCCTGTGGATTTGGTGAGAAACTTGTCTGCAAAATGCACTTTTATTGAGGAAAAAACACTTTCAGAAAAATATAAAATATAAAATTAATTGGGGCAGGAGTGAAAATCGAGGCGGACGGTGATGAAAACTTCAAAATCAATGCTGATTGGACTTAACAATTCTTAAAATAATGCCAAATTTTCAAAATGTCAACAAGACATATTCAACTTACTATGAGTCCTTCTTCAAACTCGTCATATGTCACACTCATACTTCCATCTTTATCAAACTTGTTGAAGAAATCCACCAAGCGTAAGTTGTTCTTCTGGATGTAGCGTTGGAGTTTGAGCATCGGGTTGAGCTTCTGTTTGGGTTTGACGGTCTCCTTCATGCCGCCGTGATGGACCTTGATGCTTGGCCGTGTTTCCTTTAACTGATTGTAAAGATCTTCAAATTCTTTGTTGACTTGGATCCCCTGTCATGACGGAGTTATCAGTGATATGTGTCACATGTATTACCAGCGTTGTCAACTCCATCACAAGTTCTCCCAAGTCGTTCTGTTCCAAGTCAAGTCACAGGCCATTCCAATCAGCTTTGTGACCAGAATTTTGAAAGGATTTTTATATGACCTGCACCCGATTTCGTGTAACTCATTGTTACTTAAGATGCATCGCAGCGCTGTGACGCGTCGTATCCCTACAATGCCTGGCAGCTGCAACGCATCCTGCGATCCATGTCACAAAACACATCGTAAGTGCGATGCATCGTAGGTGTATTTATAGCACAACTCGGTGACTGTTTTATGAATTTATTCAGCGTACAGTAAATAGTCGTCTGATATTCAACAAAGAGTCATCAGATCTCCTTTCAAAAACTTTTAAAACGTCAAACAAAATGGCGAACGTTTGCTACAATTTTTAAGGAAAACAAGCTCTCAGTGGACTGTATAGCTACTTTGAAATTTCATCTGCAATATTCCAGGCTAATTCATTATTATTCAATGCAATTCTAATGACAACTTTACACACATTGTCTCGGTATTAGAGTCTTGCTTATGTATTTTTATGGCATAATACTGGCTAAGAAAGCAACGCTCCTTATTTTGCGATGACCTCTAGACTTGTCATAACTTGCAACGTGTTTACAGCCCTTGTCAAGGAACTTACGACACGTTCAACACGTTGCACGTTTCGCGAGTTGCGACATGTTACTCGGTTTGCGATGTGTCGCAGCGGTTCGTGAAATCGGGTGCTGACTTGTAATTTACACATGACGGAAACTATGGTTACAAATTGAGTCAGATACAGACAACGAAAATGAGATAATGTTAAAATCTGCAGTGTCTTCTAGGATGGCCAAGCGTGTTAAAAGCTACTAGACTGTCTGCCTCCGTAAGTTGGGCAAACGAATGAAAGTGTAAACTTACTGAAAAATCCAGTTCATCCATGATAGTGTTAGTGTTATCTTTGATGGCTTTTAAGATGGCGAATGCTCCTGCAGTTTGCATGGGGTTCTTCCCGATCTAAAGAAAAGTTATAGTTTACAAGGAATTAATAATATGACCCACTTAAAGGTAGGGTAGATCATTTGTGCAATTGTTTCTTGTTTGAACTTGAAGCAACAAAAGTGCTCAAAAGCTATAGAAGAGTGCTTTAAAACAACTAACCTGATGAAGTTTTAGCTCAGTGAATGCTGTATATTCAGAGAAAACAATGTTCAAAGATCTCGATTTCAATTCAAAAGTTGCCCAGTCATGTTTTGAATTGCGCAAGAAATCGGCATCTGAGACATGTTCTCATTTAGCCGATTGCAGCTACGCGATGTCACGCACTGAAACGACGAATTATAGCAACCGCGCACGTGTATGTCATGTCAATGCTTTTGCGCAACCATTCACGGATTCGCTGAATTACAAACCAACCACTGAGGGAAATTTCTAAAAACGTGTCACTTGACACATCTTTGGAAATAGCTTCTTTTTTGTCTTTTTTTTCTCAAAATGACAGCATGCCAGGAAGAATAATTTCACAGGGAGTTTAGTGTCATTACTATCTTTAAACCAAGTAAGTTTTTTCAACAATAATTTTGTCAGTTACTTTTTGGATCGCTGCAAATGATCTACTCTACCTTTAAACATCCTTTTTTTTTAAATCTGACATAACTGCCACCTGGACAGCAGTTCATTTATATCAAATATTGTACAATTGAGTCAGAATTCAGGAGCTAGCATTCTCTAATGGAGTGATTACTTACTCTCAGAATCTTGAGCGTCTCATTATTGCTCAAACCTTTCCCCAGGAAAACTGCTCCTTCACCAGACATTCTGTTATTCCTGTAGAAATAACAAAGACAACACGTGAAATGGACAACTCTGTAAAACTTGTCTGATTCCAAACCAAAACTAATGAATAGGAAATGCTACGGAGTGTTATGCATTCCTTCGATTCCTTATATTGTAGTTATTTCAAGCATGTATCGACTATTATCTGTTAGCAAATCTGTAACAAAAGTATCACAACTCTAACACCAGGTATTGTCCAAATGTAATGAGGCCCCTTAATTGAGCCCTATGACTACTGGTCCCCGACAAGTATAATTTTTCGGCCCCTTAATTAGGCCCTGCGTTTCTTGGCCCCTTAATTGGGCTAACATTGCTCCACCCCTGCAAGTTTTTATTTGTTTCCTTTTAACGTTTAACTTAGTTTAGTCTCATGCCTGCCAGAGTATCTATATATATATAAGAGAGAAGTTTACTCGCCTCCGAGACGATGTTTGCTCCTGAAAGGATCCGAGACCGCGGGCTCCCGCGGCGCCAAAATCGCTCCACGTCCGTGGAAAAATGCGAAGGGTGTCTTCCGCCGGGTCGGACACTTCGGGTCGTCCTAATTTTCCGGTACGGCCCGGCGATCCGTTTCGTCGATTTTTCGTGACTGCGTTTTGCGCAGGAATTTGCTGTCGTGTGCGCTTTCACGTTGACTGCCTGGCCGCCCCCTGTGCTGGCTTTTCTGCGTGTCTAGACTGTGCGAGGTCAGCGAGGTCAACGTAGGAGTTTCGTTTACGTGTTCTACTCGGCCGTTCTGCAAAAGTGTTCACCAAATGGTAGTATGGGGTGACCTTGGCAAAATATTTTTTCTCCATGGTGCGTGGCCACCAAGTGTCCCTATTGTTTCCTGTGCTTTGCTTGCCGCCCCTGCGCCGAGTGCAACGAATACTAAGAAGGACTACACATTAGTATGCCTTGCGCGGTCTGACCAATCGAAAGTCTACACTGCATAGTATTTCCGGGCTATGCAAAACTGTCGATGGCAACGCTTACTGCAGCCTGCTCCACACCCTGGAAACGAGGTTGGGTCTACGGTGTTCGCTATTTGAAGCGCAAGCATGTGACGTCGCGTGATAGAGTGCCATTGCTTCCATAATGTGTTTACAGCTCCATGCTTCCACCACCAAGGCTGAGCGTTGTGAGTTCGCTGCCCGCCACGTATAATTCAGTGTCGCGTTATAATTTCGGGGGCCTGTTTGGGGTCAACGAAGGATCGATGCATTGCTTCAAAATCGCGATCTTAACCGAAGTCACAAAAAAATCGACGAAAAAGTGTCCGACCCGGCGGAAGACACCCACATTTTTCCACGGACGTGGAGCCATTTTGGTGTCGCGGGAGACAGCGGTCTCGGATCCTTTCAGGAGCAAACATTTCTCAGAGGCCGAGTAAAACTTGCTCTTACATAGATGGTTGAACCAACTTGAATAAAAGTTAAATCGACTTTTTCCTCGCAGACGGTCTCGCAAATTGTAAGAAGTTCAAGTTTATGTTTGTTGAAGAGTCCAATACTGAAACTTAATTATGACCTTCCTCCATGATTCAGACCGTTTGTAATTTTATGGTAACACTCAACATTTTCATTTCAAATGACACCTTCACGTTTTATTGCATTATGATTTATTGTCAAAACTGTACAATCAGCCTTCGCCTGTGTACTCCAGTAACCTGTTTACTACGTTTTCCAAATGCGACTGCCTCACAAAATGCCCATTTCAGACCAACGGGAACATTTACAGACAGTTGCCATGGTACATAATTATCATGTGCGTAAATCGACAGGGGACAGGGGGAACCCCCCCCCCCTCACATTTTGAAGCGGGGGACATTGTTTGGTCCCCCCCCCCACTTTTTCTTCCCCGAATAAAAATTATAGCCTACAATAATGATTCTTTTGCTCAGAATACATGTAGCTGATTCAATTACCAAAACTTTAAAACATGGTCTTTTGCTCACATCGGTTTTAGTGGTCAGAAATTGCCTCAGATCACACCACAGAAATTGCTATTCTTTAACTGCATGTCTCCTCAACTTTATCCCCCATTCACATTTAACTCCCCACATTTTCATCCCCAACTCTACGCCCTACCCGATCTATGATCGGGTAAATCAGCTTGTTGTTTATAATACAAGAGAGGACCCCTTCCTGAAAGTGGAGTGACCCCTGGACATGAGGGTGCATTGGTTTGGGTGGTGTGGTCCAGCATGCTTTAGTGCTGTATCATCTACATGTACTATCAATTCCAACCGCCCTGTCTCTTATCTCCCTCTTTCAGCTCGCCATTTTCAAATCCCCTACCCCCCATTACACAAATAAACACTCTTACATTCAGTAACCTCTGCGGGCTGAATTCTTGGAAACTTTAGTTGGTAAAGTAAGGATCAATCAGCGCTAGAGTAGTTTTAAGTCACAGTAGCATAGACTTCAGGACAAGTCGTTAGAAGTGTTTTGTCCGACGAGGCCTCCGATAGTTACTACTGGCACGGCGCTCGCTAGCACTGTACTTTAATGCTTGTGTATCGTGTTTACATCAGCCATTGATCCGACATGTCTAACGCCTTGACTAATATGAAATCAGACAGTTATTACTCCATGTCCCAGCGAAATGCATATGCATTACGTTTCCATAGAGAGAGCCAATGATAAGCCGGCTGAATCGCTGGGAAGCATCCATTATTAGAGTGGGGATACAGTTCGCAGCATGTTTGATCAATGCATGTTTCTGTTTTTTCTCTCTCTTTTTCAAACGATTTTTGTTACAATATTATACACTCAGTGGTAAAATAGAAAATATAATGTTCAAATCGTTTTGTTTTTTTAACAAGAATATAATGATGCATGGATTCCAAATAACCCAAGAATTAGCTTTCGACCCCATGTGCAATCGATTCGCTGTTGCATGATGACGCACTCACCGTCAGTGAAATATGACACCCATGAGGTGCGTAAATGTCAGGTGTAATTCTTAGCCAATCAAAATTCCGTGATGTTTCAAGTCGGTAACTGGAATTATTCACAATGTTATTAAACCCAGGCATGCAACTGGGAATTTAGAAAAACGAGGAAACTCCAAATCAAACCAGACTTTGTACAGTATTTTTCAATTTGTAATGGCATTCATGAGAAGTCAAAAACGAGGAAATCAACGGATCCGAAAAGTTGCTTGTCTGTATGCTGCACGCTTCAACGTAACCCAGGGACAGTATGCAGTAGTCAGAGCCGGTGGTACGTCGGTGCAGTTTGCAGCAGCGCAGGTGGACTAAACCTGGCCAATTACCGACTTGATTTCAAGTCTAAGGAGTAAACACAACTTACGTGATGTCCAGTTCTTCCAAGGAACTATTCATCTTGAGTGCTTCACCTAATGCCTGAGCTCCTTCATTGCCAAAGCCATTCCAGGAGAGGTTCATGATCTTCAGACCGATATTGTTCTAAATGAAACGAATACATCAAAGGCATCAGTTACGGAGAGATTAAAGGGGACAGATGCTGACTAAAACCAAAGCAAGTTCTTGGAAGGCAAACCAAATCTCTGATTACCAAAAAACTTGCCCTTAATTCAATATTTATGTTTACAGACAACACAAATCCAAAAGATGGAAATGAGCCCGTCACTTTGATCCATTAATATCATGAATGCTTTAACCATTATACCCCAAAACATTCATTATTTAAGCACTCAATAAAGCTGCTTGTAATTATAAAGGAAATACTGTAGCTGATCAAGACATTGCAAATGTAGTACAGTGCGAGTCAGAATGATCTGGACCCAAGTTCACCAAGTTTTGTTGGCAAATAGAGTATATTGAGACTAAAACTAAGTGTTTTACATGAATGGTTACTACCTTGTCTTCCACAGGAATTCTGAATTTTTCAAATTAGTGGCTTTGGTGAGGAGTTATGCCATTTTCATTGAAGTGGCTCATTTTTCAGTCTGCACACGGAATTGGTTTTTCCTTTTTTAAATGTGTCAGTAACTTCAAGTGAGTCAGTCACCATGACAAAGTTTGTATTTGTTATTACACTGCTTCACATCAGTACGCGATTTTAATAAATTTGTTGAACCATGGAACCGTGGTCAGGGTGTTTTTTAGCGTGTGTTCTTTGCTAGCGATTTTCTTCAAAATGGAACAATCCTTCACCAAGTATGTCCAAAATACCAGCCTATAACATATCTCATTTAAACTTGTTTTGATAATTGCTACATATTTTTAATATTTTGTTTAAATATGGGTCCAGATCATTCTGACTCACCCTGTAGGAGCCTTATTTCCCACTCTATCTACTGCTCCATCTTACCATGATGCCTCTAGCCAGAGCTAATGCTCCTTTCCTTCTGACGTGATTCCAGCTCAGGTCGATATGTCGGATGCTGATATTTTCTGAGATTGCTGGGCCAAGCAGCAGACCGGCAGCCTCACTGAATTCATTGTGGCTCAGATTTAAGTACTCAACTTTGCTGTTGTTCTGAAATATAAAAAAACACCAACAAATTTCCATTAATGAGTCTATCTTACATTTGTGGTTTTCTTAATTTCATTCAGGTAATGAAACCAAGGATTCCTCATCAGTGCCCCAGGCACTGTAGCTCACAAGCCTGAAGAAACCTGTAGAGAGAAGACAATGAGAAGAAGTAACAGTTTTAGGGTTGGGAGGAAAAGCCCAGAAGAATATTCTGGGGAAAACCCATGGAATCAGGTAGGGACTGAAAACCCAATCTACATGTGGACCAGGGCAGGAATCTAACCTAGGCCACAGCGGTGGAAGGCGAGGACAGTTAACTCCTCATCAAACCACAAATAAAAACAATGCAATCATATTGTCATACTTTTTTTCAAAGGGGATATCTCATTATGAATTTCCAAAATATAAAGGGAATATAACAGAGAATGGACAAATAATTCACAACTGAATCTGTCAAAAAAATGTTTGACAGTCATTCTTTCTTCATCAATGTGAAAATAAATTTTATATCATTTGCCTTTGAAGAAGTCCTTGCTAGGTATGAAATATTGGGCCACTCTAATTTTCTGATTTTGAAATAAAAAATTAATTTAAGAATTCATTTTCATGTTCTTTTCTTTAAAACAATTTACTCACCAAAAGAACCTCAGCAAAATATTCTGCACTCTTGTCTTCAAAACTGTTTCCTGAAATGACAAAAAGTACATACCACAAATTCAAACCACTGCAAAATTGTTTGAATTTAAAATTACACTAAAAGTTACATATTTAGACAATATTGCCCTTCTTACCTTTTAATGTGAGATGTGTTAATGTGCTGTTCTGTAGAAGCATTTCACTCAGAGCTTTGGCACCGGTGTTACCCAATTTATTCTCAGAAAGGTCCTACAAGTATTCAAAACAACAAAAGCACAACAAATTAATTTTAAAATCTTTTATATTAAATGCTGATGGTTATTCAAAGTTTGGTTGTATTTTTCTTGTATTAAACCCGTTTCGGACAAAATTTTACAACAATCATATGATCCACTCTCCAACGGAAACCAGTTTTTCCAAGTGCACTACAGCCATGGGATTAGGCCTTTTCACAAGAGAGCCTATCAACCGGTTAAACTCAACCCTGGGTGAACTCGGTTCTGCCCCGGGTTGAGTTTTTGATTTTTCAACCCCGCGTTCAACCCCACATTGTTTCACACTTGTTTTGTGCAAACCGAGCTTATTTCGCTCGGTAACTACTGTTTTGAACCCTGGCAAAATGTCAGGTCTGGTTGAAAATCTCAACCCTGGTCTGCAGCAGGGTTGAGTTCAACCTGGGGTGAAATCAATTTCAGGGTTGGCGCTAGGTTGACGCAGGGTTGAAAACTTTTCAAGTGTGAAACGCTGCAGGTTTTCAACCCTGCGTTAACCCTGCATCAACCCCGAGATTTGTCTGGTGTGAAAAGGGCTGATAAAAGGTTGAGATGGAGAATATACATGTTCCCCCTTTGCTAAGTTGTTTTTTTTGGGGGGGGATGGGATAGTCTATTGGGCCCCTCTTCATGTTGCTACATAGCGCTTTAAAAAAATCAACTGTTTAAATAAAAATGGAGCACAGAATTCAATGAGAGTATTTTCTACTGGTTTTGGAAAGATTGGCAGACTGGACTATCTACTTCACTTACCAGATCAGTAATGTAGCAGTTTTCTTTGAGCATATCAGCAATGGCAACTCCTCCTACAGCATCCAGCCAATTATCACTCAGGTTCAGCTTACAGATTGTCGTGTTAGTCTGCATGAGAAAATAATCACTACGTAAACAATATGACAATATCGTTTAAGCACATACAGAGTGAGTAAAAAAGAAAGTGACCCGACTTAATATATTTATTTCCTTAAAAAGCAATCAAATTTGAAAACACCAATGAAGTATGTCCGAAAAGAGCATGGTCTTCCACTCATCTAAAAAAAAAAAGAATTACTGAAATTGATCCATGCTATCAGAAGTTATGAATGTTTTACTAAAAGAACCCATTTTTATAGCTGTCCATGGAGTGTCATTAGAAGCTATTGCACTGAATGAGAATTACAGATTACACGCAAGCATTCAAATACAAATGAGATTTTGATCATTTAAATCAAGACTGAAACATTATTTCTACTGTCAGATTTTGTGTAACTTTGAATACGAGGAAGAACTCATCTATTTTTTTCTGAAATATTCGTTGCAATTTTGGTATGTTTTCCTTTGCAAGTTCTCGATTCATCGAGGTGGGGAACATCCATGTTTCATTGTATTTAATGGGTATTCATCAGTTCGTAGAACGGTAAATGATCAGTGGTGGATAGCTGAATTTTGTGATCAATGTATTAAAATAGACTTAACTTGGGAAAAGAGTATGCAAATTACATGAAATTTGTAAAGTTACTAGTCAATAACCTGTACTTTATAACTATGGTTTTTGTTAATGAAATGGTGTGAGTTACATATTTTTTAAATATTTTCTCTAAAATCTGTCACTTTCTTGTTGACTCACCCTGTATACAAAAGTCATTCAGGAAGTTCAATGGTCCTAGACCTGGTGATATGATGATTCATAGCCACTACAGTCAGCTACGACTATGTCTGAATGACTTGGCTTAATTGGCTGATAGTCACATGCATCTATGGGAAGTGGCTGTGGCTACTTCCATTGGCACATGTGGCATTTCAGGTCATAGCCAAGTATCAGAGATGTAGGCTTTTTCTAAGACAGAAGGATATGGCTTACCACCAGGGATATAGCGATAGCCTTGGCTCCAGCAGGTCCGAGACCATGATGCTTCATCGTCAACTCAGAATCAGCTATGTGTCTTAGGAAGTAGGATACAGGAATCACACCGTTCAGCCGACACGCTTCTTTGTACGTTGATTTACCGGATGCGTCATACGCTTCCCGAACATCTACAATAAATTTCAGATTGAGATGTGTCAGATCTTGCTCTCATGCAGGACATAATAAGACAATGATGTTTACAAACACATATCCACAGCCGTCAACATTCTACTAAATTTTCTTCAAAATGCTGTTAGAATGCTTCTGTAAGAAGGACTATAAAGTTAATTTCAAAGGTTTAAAATGGATACTGACTAAATTATACATGTGTTTCAAATATCTGTAGGCCCATATTCATTAACATGCAATCATTAGTAACAATTTTTAAGTACTTATTTCAGTAATGAACCATCAGAAAACTGAAGGTATTTGGGGTTTTTTTTTGGTAATGTTTGATGGTTTGAAAGGAAAGCCCCTGTCACACTTTTGCGTATCCTAATTCCTTATGAGTTCCTTATCAAAATTTTTCAATACGCAGCCGTACGCTCAATTAACGTCGAAACGTTTTGATCACTTTGACTTATGTGCGACGCACATCTCGCATATAAGTAACGAATTCAGAGCATCCATTGCGTATGAGATGCGTATGAGTTGCGTATGCAGTGCACAACATTATTTTTCGGGCTGCGAATAGGTCAGTATCATTGATCTCCATATATGGAGATCAATGGTCAGTATGCAGTGCGCATGCCGAGCGTATTCCGGACGCACCCGACTTATGCCGACCGCATGCTTGAGGCACTTCTGAGCGTATTCCCGCCGCATTTCCGCTGCTCGCCGTTCAGCGTGCGTTGCATCTGCGCTGCAAGTACGCTATGTATACGTCCAATACAGGCGGCTCATATGCTGACGGGGTGCGTCACGAACACATAGCGTACTCGTAACGCACTCGACCGATGTGGGACCGATGCGCTGCGTATTTATAACTTATGACCTGCGTAACAGCGTACGCAGCGTAGTTTTGTGCATGCCCAAAACTATCCTGCGTACTGGGCCGTACCATGCTTATATCTGCGTACATAAAACCTACACAAAACGAAAGAGATGCATATGAGGTGCGTATTGTGCGTACGACTGCGTATGACAAAAATGTCAATGCGCAACTCATAAGGAATTAGGATACGCAGAAGTGTGACAGGGCCCTTAAGGAAATCATACATACGTATTGGTTTTTGTTTTGAAAGTTAAGGAAATCTTACATACGTATTAGTTTTTGTTTTTGTCCGTTGCATGCATTAAACCGAAATGAATTACCTTATCAAATGCGTGTTTTGAAAAAAAAACACCAAGGATTGCATGTTAGTAAACAAGAAATGTATCCATCAGGTCAAAAAAATCAACTAAAGTTGTTTTAATTGACTGAAGTTGCTTTCAAATAAATCTTCATTTTCCCAATCAGTTGGACATAAACAGTGGTTAATGTTATTTCTTCTACAAGATTATACACGTAATATCCAAATGTTAACTACATACATGTACTTCTCAATTTTCAGGGTGGGTGTTATACGTACATCCTTTTTGATGATGACTTTAATAGTGAGTGTTACATTTTAGGGGCGAGAGTATTTTGACCAGTTACAACATTTTAATGTTACTCCTTTAATACTTTCTGGTAAGCTGTGTGTAATATGAAGTAATAAGTCGAGAGGAATATACAAATCTGCAAAATCCTATTTTTGTAATGCACTAGGAAATAAAGGCACACAATGACAAGGATAAACCTTTGAAATATGGAGCATGAATTATTTACAACAGGGTAGGCTGAAAATAGAATATTAAGGAATAGTTATGCAATCTACAATATTTCTGCTTTTTCAGCACTAAAAACGGTTTCTGATTTCTACTTTCACATCAGATTAATTCTTGGACTATTGACGAGAAAGTGCACCTAATCTACTGAATTACATATCACCCGCACTGCAGTGAAATGACATTAAACATACTTTCGTCAGTACATTGAGTTGTTAGTGTGATGTGTTCTAGGGCTACAACCGTGAAGGTTATAATGGTATGGTTGCTAAGGTTAGTTTGGATTAATATTCGCATAAAGGCCAGTGGAATTTACAATTTAAGTACATGTATGAAATGCAAGATTTAAGTTTGGTTTAAATTTGGATTCTTTTCATCTGATGAGATCATTAATAATAAAAAAAATGACAAACAAAAACTAAGGACTTTGATAATGCTTTGAAAATGCGGTGTACTTCAGAAATGATTAGCAACCACCCAGAACGTTTTTAGCAAATTTAAACAATTTGAGTAAATTACCCTTATCACTAAGAGGTAACCCACAGCAACTGAAAGGATAACATACATGTACACGAGTGATATTTGCCATACAATTGAGCACTGGAGTGCCGGTATTAGCTATATCCACTGGCCTTGTTTACTGACTAAAAGGTTAATTAAACACAGAATACAATCAAGTCTTTATTCTTACTTCGTCTCAGTGCCAAAATGGTTTCTGTAGGAAGAAATGATTGCAGGAAACGTGCATGCAGGCAAACAAAGAATTTTTGTTATATAAAAAGGCTGTCAAATTCATCATCAAATTATCGGTATTATTTTAAAACACATTTTAGCTGAAAAATAATTTTTGATCTGAAATTTTCACATTATTGTGACAATTAAGTGAAATCGTTTAGGCTTGAATCCACAAATGTACTTTAAATTTGAGTGACTTTGATGTGCCGTCTTGATAAACCCTCAAAATCCCTCTTTTACACAAAACTTGAATATGTGCTGAATCGAGCCTTTTTCCTTCATGTGTGTTGGGGTGTGTGTGACCGTGTGTGACTTGGGGTGTGCTTAGGTGCTGTGATGTCACAGACATGATGTACATTTGTGATAATGAGCCAGCACAGGCAATGAAGCCACAACACATGCAAGTGAAATGGAAAAGTTTGGACACTCCAAAATAGGATGCTCACTTTAAATCAGATTTGCATTAATCTGTTATTACAAAGACGTGAAGGCTAAATGATCCAAAGGATTTTGCTACTCCTTCCTTGAACATTCTTAAAGTGCAGCTACAACCTTTGAACCTTAAACCCTTCATTCGCTCTCGCAGTCTCGGAGTCAGTTTTTCATAAAATGAGATGACAACTCCTTAATTGCTAAAATTCAAAAGGTGTCATCTATCATGTCACAAAGACTTTAGTATGATCCACTGAATGTGGTTTTGAAGAAGCAGCCTTGTGTTTGCTGGCCATAATCTCATAAGAAAGGATTCCTAATCCTAATTACTACTCAAACAGGATTAGACGCTTGGGAACTAATGCCTTAGAGCACTCTCTAAGAATCTTGAATCTAACTGTTGAAAGTTGTGGCACTGACAGCAACATGCAAATAACATCGATCGTTGGTCCCAAATACTACGCAAAGAAGTAGCGATGGAATAAAGGATGTTTGCATCCAATCTCTAAACAGCTTTGTCAATACAACAGCATCACAACATTTGAGACACGTAAGAGGATTTCATCAGCTTCTTCAAAATAAAAGCTTGGAGGGAAAGACAAGACTGAAAGTGGTTTAGAGAAACACTCTCTGCAACTGTTCTCTGCAGCTGAAATGTTTCAACGTCAGACTAAGGTGTCCAATGTTGACTTTGAGTTTGACTCGTTTTGTCAAAAAAGAATTTTTCTCTGGCTTCAAAGCAAATTCCTCTAGGACTCAAATCTACGCTTTCTTTTCAAATAATTGCTAAAAATGCATAAAATTCAGCGTTTGCACAGTGTATATTTATATGTTTGCAATTTTTGTATTAAAACAGCTTTTTGAGATTGATATTATTAAAGGGAATATACAACATTCGCTTTTGCTGTAAGTTTCAGAATCGATTGATTTGGGGGTTACTATTTTATAGCAAATATTGTTGCACTGACTTTTTTGAAGTTTTGTGTTTGTTGGTGCTGGAAAAACCAAGAAAAACAATCATCTTCTTGTAGTCTGGTTCCCTGACCCACTTATGATGAAACGGGGAATTGAATGGTCAGGAAACCAGTCTTACTGGCTTGTACCCGTTCATAGGAGTGCAACTGATTGCAAAAACAATGCGGAATAACTAAATATGGTCAATTGAAGACAGTTTTTGAAAACAAGCCAGTTTTTTTCCAACGCTGGTCGGCCAACCAGCGTTGGAAATCGTTACAAAAATACAACATTTCTTACATATGTCAGAACACCAGGTGCCATGATTTTACAGGATGCTTTAGACTGTCATTCACTAACAGCCCAGTAATGTATTTCATAATAATTTGGTGTTGTTTTTTTTTTGGAAATGTTGTATACTCCCTTTAAATTTTGATCAGAAGAGTGAAAATCTCTAATCTTGTCATTTTATAATTTTCACGTTGCATGAAGCGTGTATTTTTTATCAAGACCCAAGTGAATCACCTTCCACCTCGAGGTCCGTATCAAAACCACTGCTCTCACTGTACGTTGTCTCTGATTGGGCCATTTCATCAACTGGGGATTCGTTATCATCCACTCCAGACAGTCTGCTCTCTGGCCGAGCTGTCGAGCGACCACCCTTCCTCGTTATTGTCTGTAGCAGGTGGAATGATAAATGGAAAGGAACAAGGTTCAGCGTTTATCATTAGCAAAGATTCACACGGACTTAGACTGACCTTTTTGACTTGTAAATATGACACTGTCATTTAATGATTAATCCCAGACTGAAAAACACTTGAATGATAAATTACATTTGGTAAATAAGTTCTGTTGTGTGAAATTTATAGAATATTCTTTGACCGAATCAGTTATCATGGTTATTCCAGTGCATAGGAACAAGCTGAACTGCACACCGTGAAAGGAATCTTTTTGTGTCATAAATGCAATACCCAACATTCAACTTGTAAACATAAAATATGCCCAACAGTAATTCAAGTGGGTTTCTTGCAAGATTAAATTAAAGACAATATTTTTCTTATCAACAATGACACAGGGTGGCAAAAGGCCTTTACGTTTACTAACTTAATGCAATTAATCCTAACACGTATAAACCACAGGTAAATATGCGCTGGATATTTGATCACAAAATAAACACAAGTTGCTAGGATACTATCGAGAACGACTTAACTATCTGGATAATAATTGTTCAACAAATTGTACACAAAGGATAATTATTGACACAACAAACTCCTGTCTAGTTGATTCTCTTGGTGGTCCTTTTTCAGCATGAAATGTACATTTTTAGTGCCTATTTAATTATTTAAATTGAAAAAAATCTCTAAACAAATTAAGAATCCTGGACATGTTTTCCAGTGGTCCTTGGACCACACAGCACAGTCTCATTGAGATTTTGTTGCACGTGTCTGAATAACTTGGTCCATACAAAAGAAATCTTTCAACATTTGAACTGGAAAGATAATTTTATGTAGTAATACATGTTAAAAATGGCAATTTGTTGGATTTATCAAAGTTTAAAAAATAAAATAAAAAGTAGGCCTAACAAGGATTGAAAAACATTATGGAAAGAATGTTGCATCCTGACGCCACTTTTTTCATCATATATTATCTCAATGAAGGTCAGTCACTGCAAAAATGTGGAAAAGACATGAAGTTGGGTTGAGAAACATTTCCAATTTTGTTAGAAAAAAACTGAAATGCACTCAACTCTCCACAGACTTTGTACACAACCACAGAAGTGGTGTCAGGGGAAAAAATGTTGCAACCTGACGCCACTTCAGCGGTTGTGTCCACAGTCTTTGGAGAGTCAAGAAAATTGTCCAAGTATTTTCTAACAAAATTGGAAATGTTTCTCAGACCCAGATTCATGTCTTATCATCATTTTTGCAATCACTGACCTTCAATGAGATGATATATGAAGAAAAAAAAAGGCGTCAGGTTGCAACATTTTTCCCGCGTCAGGATACTACATTCTTTCCAAAATTATTGCACTTGAATACAGGGCATTAACATTAGTTACTTTTACTGGGGCCCCATTCCTATTATAACAGAACACAATTTCATTCTTAAAATAGTTTGGACGACAGCCAAAACTGGCAAGAGTGTCATATTTTCTCTAGATGCAAGTCCTGTTCAAAATGATAAAAAACAGTGTCATTAAATGTAAATAAAAAAAAAGACTGCTTGAGCCTGTAAATGTAATTTTGGAACGATAAACACCTTGCATTTTGTAAGACTCACTAAGAGAAGTAAAATAAAAGAATGAGCAAACCCCCAAAATAGCGGGGTCCTAAAAGTAACTAGGCCCTGTAAAAAGAAGCTCGAGTATTAAACTCCAGCTCGCACGAATGTCGGACACTTCACCCCATTTCCACGTCGCCCCATGTCACTTCGCCCCTAACCACTTCGCCCCATCCCCACATCGCCCCATCCCCACTTCGCCCCATTCCCACTTCGCCCCATCCCCACTTCGCCCCATCCCCACTTCGCCCCATCCCCACTTCGCCCCAGCTGTTACATGTAAAAAAAAATCTCATCTATTTTATTGGCTTAAAAACAATTCCAACAGATTCACTAATTGCTAACCAACGGAAAGAATTAGCCCACCAACATTGACCAAATAAACAATTCATAACCAACCTATCAAGCTATCACTCTCCCCTGCTGAGAAAAACAGCTTGAAGTAAAAGATCCAACTTTTTTCCCAACCCGGCTATACCAACCCGTCTCCCACTTATCTGAGAACGACAATACCTTTGACATCCTAATTTCACTCTTGGAGGAACCAATCTACATGGGGCGAAGTGGGGATGGGGCGAAGTGGGGATGGGGCGAAGCGGGGATGGGGCGAAGTGGGGATGAGGCGAAGCGGGGATGGGGCGAAGCGGGGATGGGGCGATGCGGGGATGGGGCGATGTGGGGATGGGGCGAAGTGGTTAGGGGCGAAGTGACATGGGGCGACGTGGAAATGGGGCGAAGCGTCCGACACCCGCTCGCACTGACTCATATGCTCATCGGGAATTCGACATTTCCTGATGAGCATATGAGCTGGAGTTACTGAAGCTTCCAAAAAAGGAACATTATTTATTGTTGTTTACAATGGAAAAGGGTGCATTAATATTGCCCAACACGCAGTAACGATAAGTGCTAGGCCCCCTACGTTTAAAACCTTTTCCCGAGTTACCTTGCGTTCATCACCGATACTTCCACGGCTCTTGGCCCGGCTCGGGGCCCGACTTCCCGCCGGTGTCTTGTTGGCATTCTCGTCCGTTACAAACTCCATTTCTGCCTCTTCCGTTTGCTCGTCTGGCTCATTTTCGTTCGACATTTTCGTCCCTTTAGTTCTGGGTCAAATTTTGCACTAAATTAACCCCATACAGAGAGACGCAGTGACTACTGAAGTATTACTTCGTTCTTTTCTAGTTGAAACCCCCGGGTTAGCGCTAGTGAAAGCGTCTAGCATTTATTGTGTACATCATTGCACACATTGTAGGCGTTCAATGGAAAAATGGCGCCCTTTGTGTGGACTGTTTGTGTTGCTATGGGGCCGTCCTACCGCTAATTGATTGATTGATCTCTGCACTTTGGAACCCCGGTAGTTTTTAGTGAAAGTTTATGTGCAGTTGAAAAAGCGCCCTCTATAAAAGGAAAACTAATTACTAACAGGTGTATAGCGCCCTCTATAAAGGAAAACCAATTAACTGCAACAGGTGTATGCAGTCTATCCTAAGAAACAAATGCAAATGGCAAAATATGCTTTTATTTTGATGCTTAAAAGTCCTTCAACTTTTTTTTAATGGAAACAGAAGGCTGATAAATTGTCTTTTTTTTACTTTCAATTATAATGATAGTTTCTGCAGCCAGAAATATTCACTCCTAAAATCTGGGGACACATTGAATAAAAAAAAAGACACAAATGCACAAAGTAAACTTTAAAAATACATGGCGTATATTTCTTCATCTGTGAATGCACACCAACTTTGCAAAGCACATTCTCAAGACATGTTAATGACAAAATTCATAAAATGCTAAATGTTGTTCCATTAACTTTGGCTTAGAAACAGTGCCAAGCTTGTAAACTTGTGTCAACAAATTGGGAGGGAGTGTTGATCTGTTGTGTTTAATTCAACAAAAAAGACAGTGACATGAACATAAATGCGACTTCAAACTACCAAATCACAGATAATACAACTTGGGCAACTTTTACCAAAGTAAAGCTTGTTACATCGACCTATGTCTATCTTTTTTAACAAAAACCTAGCAGTTCCATGCCAGAAGCAGTCATTTTTTTTATCCTTAAAACATTTTCTGCCCCCAAAAGATTCTCAACTGTATGATTATAGGGAAGAAAGTCTCCATGTAAATCAACAATTCAACTGCGTTTAAACTACACAGGCCTTGCCAATCAAAAACTTAGCAATTTGGAAATACAAGTGCATTATGGACACTTTTTATTTAATAACATTTACTTGCTGAAAATGAGAGATTTGTTTGTATCACAGACAGCTTTGAAATGTACAACTTTGTACGATGAAAAATACGTCACCCGAAAAATAGCCCTTACTTGGTAACACAACAAAATTGTGATTTCCACCATGCGATCTTGCAAATTTAATATTAAGTATTTAACAAGAAATATGATATTGAACATAATTTATGTGTGGATATATTAGCCCTAACCCCAGGCATGATTTACTAGGAACCATACCCATCCTGGCAAATTCCAACACCATATGGGAAACTACACACACATCTTTCTGACTTTGATTCTGGAGGTGTGCCAACCCAATGTTAAAAGACTGTCAGTTTAGGGGTACTGTACCCATCCTGACAGATTCCAACAAAACATGCCATTGGGGTTTGATGGGTTGAGTTCTGTTAGGATTAGCATAGAGTTTATGACACAATAAAGATGGCGCTTTCATGGATAATGAAATACTCTATAAGACGACAGATTTCAAATGATTTCTGCGAAAAGAGCACAAGTGCAGGTTAGACCAGACTTGTAAATATACAAATAATTAAAATAAATCTCTTATTTCATCTAACCGCCAGAAGAAAAAAACAAAGATAAAAACGTCAACCAAACCATGAAAGTGAAAGAAAAAGGCTGAAGGCTTCGCATTACAAATGGACTGATATTTTTTAGATGTGTTTTTTTTTTTTTCGTTTGAGATTGTTCGTCATCATTGCTGATGCAGGAGGTTACTGAATATTGTAAATATTCTCAAATATATTTCAAAGCATGATTTAGAAAATACCACCTTCCCAGACAAAACATAATTCAATTGACAAACAAGAATGGTAAATGTTACTTTTCAATGTGTATTCCTTTTGGCTATCATCATAAATTCAAGAATCATAATAGTTTGGACACAATAAAGAAGACCAATATAAAAGTACACTGGCCTATTGGTAACTGGTACCTTAATACTTGATTAAATTATTCAAAATGTGCATAATCACTGGAGCAAGACATTTATGCGTATAAATACGTCAACATTACACATTTCTTTTTTTTTATTTATTAAAGTCTTTACTCTTTAGAGGATTCAGATATTCTTTTTTTTCATTCAGCGTACAACTGTGTCATCTGCTTCAAATGGAGGCTCTGGCTGATTGACAACTTTGCGAAGCCTCTTCAGGCAATCAGTCAGGTTGGCGGCTGGTATGGAGTCTAAGCTCTTCAGGGTAGACTGAAGATTAACAAAGATTATCAAATGTAGATTAAGAAAAAAGAACAACTCAAAAGTTATGTGGAAAAGGTTAGCAATTAAGATTAAATTTTAGTTTCACAGAACATGCAAATAAAAACAGATCTACATATAAGGCCAAAAAGAAAGTCTCAGTTTTCTGGTCTATGCATGTATCGCTGTAGCCATGCGCGTTGGCAAAATTTAAAAAAAAAAAATCCATGTAAGACGATTTCTCAAAATCACCAAACTCTCTGATTTGACTGGAATCCTGCTGCTGCACAATTTTAACATGTTTTTAGATGGGGTTACGATCTAGTATAAGCTTTATCTGGCCTCTCTGGGCTCCCATATATTTTGCACTAAATTTAGTCGGACACCATTTGCAACTTGTAAACGCTTTTAACTAGCGCAACATGTAAGGGAGCAGACTAATGACCAGCCTAGCAGCTCATGCACAATGTCGATGTCGCTGTATGGTCTGACGTTACTGTTTTCTCTGATTTTTGTCTTGACTATCCAAATTTCCTGAAGACTGTTCTTGTCGGTCGAGATCATAAGTTGGGTGCAGAATTCTCAAGCCTTGTGGCCTTACTGAGGTCACCTGCGGCTCCAATCTGAAGGATATTTTTGAGAGTTTAAAGGGGATCGAAGAGTCATCTGCAACATCAGCCGACATTTAAAGAAAAAAAAGTAGGGGGGAAAAAACTGTGCCACTGCACCAAGTTTTGGGGCAAGCTCCATACCAGAAACCCGAGACTTTTTTTGGCCTAAAGATGAAGGCTTAATATTTGGTTCTTAAAGTTTGAAAACACATGATTGGAATTATTTACCTGTACAAGGTTGTCGTTTCGTCTCATCTGTAGTAGCGCCACCAATGCTATCTCGCTGTCTGCCTGTACTGCCGTGTTCTTGTCTTTGGTGTTGCTCACAAGAATGATGACTAAGGTTTTGATGACAGACACGCCCAGAGGTTTATCTGTTGCCTTGGCGATTTGTGTTATCATCTGTGCAGCTGTCATTTTGATATCGCTGGATGCATGGTTCAGATTCTGTCAAGAGAACAAATCAGATCAGCAGAATACTGGAGTCAATTGTGGCTTGAAATTTCCAACACGTAAAGACAAAGAGACATAATGCACTAGAAAGGAACATATCTTGTTTACATTTTCAAAAAAAGCCCTTTTGTTCTGTGTCAACTACGAGAATTTGGTGACTCGCATATCAATAGAACTATTGTTATATCGTGTGCTTGGATACTGTAATTTCATTGGTTGAGAAGGGCCACGTGTCCAGTTTGTAAAAATGCATGTACAGTGGCTAACCTCATATACAATGCGCGTTGCACGCACGCGTGTAGAACCTGCGCGCATTGCACGCACGTGTGTAGAACCTGCGCGCATGCTCAACTGAGCTGCATGCAATGCGTGCGAATCCGCTCAGTCTCATGTCGGCAGGAAGCAATTTTTTTCCCCAAACAACATCCGTTTCCCATCTTCTGATTGGTCCATTACGTGCATATCTAATGCCTTGTTCTCCACAACACAAACCCAAGATAGGCTTTACGTCTTGTGAGAAATGTTCCTTCCTCACTTTAGTTATTTAAAAGGTAAAATGAGAAGAAGTGAGAAACGCTCACTGGGGTTGGAAGTCGGATCACCTGATTAGAAGTCAGGACTACTTCCAACCAGTCCACGAAGCAGCTGCCAATCGTCGGTGATTTAAACACCATTATTCCTTGCTATATAACTTTTTCTCCAAAGCCCTCGACATTATGCATAACGCAGAGAGAGAGCGCCCTCTTTTGATATTGTTGGATCTCGTTTTGGAAAAAATATTTCGCGGGCAGTTATCAAGAGTTACACCACACTGATTTTATTTACTTCTTGCATAGTAATGTCCAACCATTTATCGTTTTGACTTACTGGTACGATATAACAAAACAATTGTTGACTGCTGTGATGTGGGATATGCGGTTTTTAACCTCATCTGGACGCATAGCACCTGAGGCGAAATATGCGCCCCTCAGGTGTTAAAAACGTCATATCCCACATCACATCAGTCAACAATTGTTCATCGTTAAACTGCACTTAATTCATGATTAAACTTCAATAAAATTCATTATTAAACTTGACAATGGAACAAACCCGGGCCCAGAAACATGCATACTGTAACTTAATCCTGGAACTCCGATTAAAATGATGATTGCACTACAGAATACCCACCTTGACAAGAACAGAGATGACATTAGCTGGTAAATCCTCATCTTTCATGACGAGATGCTGACCAAAGAATCCAATCGCTCGCAAACCACTAACAGATATAGGGATCTGTGGACAGCCATTAACACATCACATCATCAGAGAAATAATCAAGCCATTCAATGCGGAACAATGCTTGAAGAAAGCAGGCATGTCAGACAAGACATCCACACTCACCCTGTCATTGGCAATGTTTCTAGACACAGTCTCTAGCACCAGGGACCGGTATTTATCAGACAGTAGTTTCTCTGGAGCTTCTTTGATTGCAATCGCTAGAGCCACACTCCTACCGTGCTGCAACACCCACACAGCACTTGTATCATTCACTGCAATTTAACAAGGAAAAATAGTAGCACAAGTTCAGAGAGTAGTTTCATTTCAGCATTCTTTCCATTGATCAAGACAGAATTTAACCAAGAAATCTAAATTGCTTGAGAGATTTGGCATGTTCTGCTCTACCCCTAACCCTGCATGACGCAACACAGTGCATCAGCTCCATTTTATAAGTTACGATGGTTGATTCGGTAAAACTTTTGAGTAGCATTTTTTACAATAGAAGCACAACATTTTGTTGACATAATTTGTTTGTTTGAGTGTTTCTTGCAATACTCACCCAGAAGGTTTGATGAGACAATAGAGTCCAGTTCCTCATCAGAGAGTATCGATTTGTTTGTTTGAGTGTTTCTGGCAATACTCACCGAGAAGGTTTGATAAGACAATGGAGTCTAGTTCCTCATCAGTGAGTATCGATTTGTTTGTTTGAGTGTTTCTTACAATACTCACCCAGAAGGTTTGATAAGACAATGGAATCCAGTTCCTCATCAGTGAGTATTGATTTGTTTGTTTGAGTGTTTCTTACAATACTCACCCAGAAGGTTTGATAAGACAATGGAATCCAGTTCCTCATCAGTGAGTATCGGGCACAGCGTCCCCACGCAGCCTGCTGCTGCCATACGTGCCATGTCCTAGCAACGAAATCAGATCTTACATCAATATTTGAAAATTCACAGGTTCAAATTTGCTAATGATAATTAATTTTTCACCAATAGTAAGGTTATTCTATGATAGAATTTCCTGTAAGTTGTTGAAGTTACCGAGTTATCATTCAGACAATAAAGGCGCCTTTCCATACGCACGTTTTCCGTTGCATATACGTTGCGCTCGTGATGTGTTTTGTGCGCGTAATTTACCTTTCCATATATACGTGAAGTATGCACAGTGAATTTGGTTTGCAATGTAGGAAGAAGAAAATGGCAAGCCCTCAAAATCAAATGCGTCTATTGATTGCAGATGCAGCTTACAGAAAAAGAATTCATTCCAATCAAAAACAAAAACACTGGGTGTGGGTCCATGAAATCTTCCAAAGCAGGAAAGACAATCATTTAGATTGCAAGGCGGTATGGTAGGGGGATATTGCGCTTGCGCCAAGCGTTGCGTATGCGTCAAAATCGCTCATAGAGTGATTTGGACGGACAGTCGGAAAGTACACGCAACGTATATATACACATGAAAAGGGACGTGTGCTACAATATGAAGTCAATTTTTGTGGCCGTCAAAATGAAACGCAATGTAACGGACCAAAGAAACGTGCATATGGAAAGGCACCTTAAGACCTTGAATCTGACCTCTGGTATTGACAGTAATCCTAGCAGTGTGGCAGTGATGGCTTTCCTGTTGGCATCACTCATCTTAGTTCCTCCTCCTCTGATGACTCCACGTATGGCTTGTAAGAAAGTCTCCCTGTAGCAAGGAACAACATCAGTCACTGATAACTGAATCTTAACTATTTTGAAAGTGACGGAATCAACTTCTCATAATTATATCAGTGTGTTACTACCAGCTGAGCCAAATAAATCAGACGCCGGCCTTTCATCGGGCTTGAGCAAGACGCATCAAAGCTACCAATTTGAAGGCTGTTTCATGTTTGTTTTTATCGCATGACGAAACAGTCGTTAAAAAGAAATGCGCAAAACCAACTTCCCGTGTACATGCATAGAACACAAATTTTCACCAGAAAATAAAAAGTTTACTCAATAAATTTCACACGCAAGGTAGTACTACACAAGATGGGATAGAGTCGTTCTTGCTCCCCGTTTCATCACTCTATTTTAAAAGTCGACTAGGTTTTGGCATACAATTAAATTTTGTAAACAAGCTATTTTGATTTAAACTACCCACATAGCCTTATCAGAAATCTTTCAAATCTGTTTCTACAGCAGTTTTCTTCCTTGAAACTATAACTCTAGGCTGACACTCATCTTTAACGGGAATGATGTCCAGACGATATACAAATTAACATACGCATTAATGAGATAAGACGACCCTCAGACCGATCACAAGACGAATTCAGTCGTATTATTAAGGGAGTTAGGACGTGTTGAACAGGTCTTAAGTTTAGTACAATCGATCCTAGGACAAGTAGCGAGTTAAGACAAGTTACCCTTCCTAAGACACGTCTTAGCATCTTCTGAAATCTACCCCTGGTATCTGAGTTAAGAATCCATCACTTCTGTCTCACAGTCTTACCTGACTCCTATATCATTATCTTCATTCTTGATGCCGGTATGTAGCTCAGTAAATAGCGGATCTACCCTTGCGTGTATGATGACAAGCTTAGACAAAGCTGAGGCTGCTTCAAGGCGGACTGCTCGGTTAGAATCAGACAGCGCCCTCTGGAAGGTTGTTTGTAGTTGAGGAAGGAAGGGCTTCAGCAGAACACCAACCTTAAAGCGTAAACATTCAGGACGAAGATTTCAACACTACTGTGCACTCAGTGTAACATGAGACGCTTCACCAAAATTAATATTATACAGGGGTGAGTAAAAAAAAAGTCCCTTTGGACAGGTCCTTGTCTCCCACAAAAATGGGAACAATTATCGTTTTTTCCTCTTCAGCCAACATTCGGTATGGGTATCAGTGACCACATTCAGTACAGATTTCACTGATATCCATCCATGCATGCAAAGGATACAGGCCTTTCTTTGTGACTACCTGAAAACACTACCAACACAATGTTTTCTAATATTTTTAAAGGGATATGTAACGTTATTTAATGGCCAGCACACTGCAAGACAGAACATTTCAAAGTAGCCATGGCAAGGCCACAGTTTACTGCTGTCCCATGGGCCTTGATGGTCAGAATGTTTATGAAACAGGTAGTGTTCAAGACACGATAGGTCAATTTGGAGAACACCTTCCGGAGGTACCACAGCCCGACACTCTGACAGTGCGCAGAAACGTTGTAAAATACGGACCTCCAGATCTTACCCCCTTTGATTTTTTTCTTTGGGGGTACCTCAAGGACCGGGTGAACCACATTGTGCCAAACACCCTGCAGGAATTTCACCAATAAATTACTGGTGAAATCCAAGCCCTCAGAAGAACACGGATGGTCCGCAGAGCTATTGCAGACATGAGGACACTGGCACAACTATGCATTGATCTGAATGACAGACAGGTGGAGGGTCGAGCAACCTTATCTGTAATTCAGGTTCAAGTTCAGTAAATGTAATTCCATTTAATTATGACCTGTTCTGTTATTCCTTTTATTTCTTTCATTGCCCAGAGGCCCATTGTTGCCATTGTGTTGATAGCAAGAGGCCTATTCTAAACATTGTGTTGGTAGTGTTCTCTGGTAGTCACAAAGAAAGGCCTGCATCCTATTCAGGCATGGATGAATATCAGTAAAACTTTTACCGACTGTGGTCCATACCCAGACCGAATGTTGGCTGAAGAGAAAAAATGGTCACCTTTCCCATTTTTGTGGGAGACAAGAGCTTATCCAAAGGGACATTTTTTTTAACTCACCCTGTACAAGCATTCTGCACAAAGCAAGACACTAAATGTAAGCTTGAAATAAACCACACTCTGTATGCTATTTAGAGACTTCAAGGGGCATTAAAACAAAACAACTGTAGTCTGATGTTGACAGCTCGAGGACCCTAAGAGCGCTTTTCAAGAATCCTTAGTTTCATTGCCAGAAAGATTTCAGATAATAAACAAAAAATAGCTAAATAAGTAAATAAATGATTGGATGTTGTCCCTGCTACATGTAACATAAGATCCTATTTGTAATAATCTCACCTTCCCCAGTAGCAGAGTCAGCGTTTGTAAGATGGCCACTTTCAGTGTCCATGTGTAGCGATCACCTAAGACTCTGATCAACGGTCCAGTGATATTGACAACTTGGGACTTCAGAGCGTCGTTGCTAGTCAACTGGATGACTTGACCTAAACCTGAAGCTGCTTGTTCCTTCAGCTCTTGGGGACCGTTCAGCAACGCTTCCCTGAAAATGGGTAGGATCGGGGAGATGCCCTTCTTAGGCAGACAGAATCCTGGTAGTTCTTTGCCTTGTAGGCCATCAGCAGCGTAGCGAATGGCTTGGCGGAGGGAGGCAATATGCTGCAACTGATCTGCTGAAGTCAGACTCTGCATGAGAACACCAGGGAAAAATGACATGATAATCAACGCCTCTTGTCGAGCTCGTCAGTTTTTGAATAGCTAATGGATGAGGCTGCTCTAGTACACATTGATAGTTCCACGGTTAAATTTAAACTGCGCTACTCTGAATGTTATCATAACAAGCTTGATCGGATCTGGGAAGCTGCGGGCCAACAAAATGTTCACCTTATTTTGGCCTTTACCTCACAGCTGTAGGTCAGACGGAGAGGTCACAATGGACATTTTGTTAATGTTTGACCAAGGTCAACATGTTGGCAGCGTTACTTTTGTCATTCAGCTTCTTTGAAATTTGACCTATTTTGACATCGACCCCATAGCTGTAGGTCAGATGAAGAGGTCACCATGGACATTTGTTAATGTTTGACCAAGGCCAACAAGTTGAAAGCGCTACTTGTGTCATTGAGTTTATTTGACATATGACGTTATTTTGACCTTGACCCCATGATGACCTTTGACCCCAGTTTAGTCACGTGAAATGTAGGGGCTGGGCTACTGATACTTTTGACAAGGTTTGATTGAAATCGGTCAAACTATGTAGCAGCAATAGACAATGTCAACGTTTGTTACTAACTAACTAACGTACGGACTAATGGAGAGACATGATGATTTGTCGAGCTGCTACTCGCAGCTTAAAATATTGCCAAGATTAAATCGGTGACATTCAATTTCTAGGATAACATCAGGCTCACGGGAATCACGCTCAGGTAGTACACACGCCCTTGACCAATACCGTTACCAAAATGCGCACGCACCTCGTCTTTAAGAACGCGTGCAGCATGAGCACGAACGTGGTGCCACCTCAAAAACGGCTTCTAATTTTGTTTGCTCAAGTAGTCCAAAGCACAAAACATTTCCCAGCATGCTGCTCAAGCTAGACTGCCAAACATTACTGAAACCATCTTTGTGTCCATGGGGAACAAACAAGTCAATTTTGGTACTTAAGGCACACAGGGTTAACCAATTCTGCCCTCACAGGTATTGCATCTGTTGGAAGGAAATCAATTCATCAAATGGAAATCCGTAATCAAATAACATGACAAAATTCTTACCTTAGTGACTGCATTGAGTGCGTCCCATGTGACATCCAACACACTGCGATCGTCATCCTTCATCAGGAATATCAATCCACGCAGAAGCGCTGGCACAAACTGCGAGTAACTGACTTTAGTTTGGCTGCAGTAGACAAACAGGATGGTGGCAGCAGCACGACGTACCCCAGCGCTTGGGCTCTTAGTGGCTGGTAAGATCTCATCCATGATAATCTGAAGACCTAACTCATCCTTGACTGACAGAACAACAGTCTGACAATGCTGAAGCTCCTGAAAATTAATGAAGATCAAGTAAAGCCAATAAGAAATTTTATTTCTTGAAGTCTTCATTCCGACAAGATGGTGTGACTGTTGTTTTCGTAATGGCCGGAGTTACTGGAGATGAAAATTTTTAAGGACGTACTCACCTCCTGTCCTTGTGGAGTTCCTACACTGTTTTTCAGGGCATCCATGAGGGCAGGAAGAATCTTATGAAGATGCTTAGTGAGTGATTCCCCAGCAACCTCAGAAAGGATGGCTAGAACTCTGGTGTTCACGGGAGGTTGAATCAGCTACGGACAACCAAAGAAAATACATTGTTGCTAGCATCGTGACTTAGGGCGTGATCCCTGTCTACATGGGTTAATGGCTTCTGACTAGCGCCCTTGAACAACGACATTGACAAAATGGGGAACCACCAACATAGGGCTGGATAGCTCAGTTGGTAGACCACTGGAACGGCAATCCAGAAGTCGCAGGTTCAAACCCTGCTCCCCTCAATTTCTTTGTTGAAGTTTCAAAAACAAAATACAAGATGAAACAAGTAAAGGTTCAGGCATAATGGCTACATGATGGGAGTTTGAACCGTCTACAAACAAATGAAGACAACACATGACTGGTATACCTTAGGAATCAGGAACGGTAGAACCACTCGACTCTTGACCATCATAACTTGCTTCAAACCATCCAAGGCATAAGGACCTTTCACGTCATCATCAAGTTGCTTCAACAAATCTGGTAGAATGTCATCCAATGCTTTGTGTCCTGCACGATAAACATCACACACATGTACTCAGAGACTGTGAGGTTCATCTCAGTAGTCGTGACAAAAAAAATCTAAAGGCCCTCTCACACTGTCACGTCTATTCATGGCGTTCATATTGCGTTGTTGAAATAATTAAAAATGTAACAAAACGCCATTTGTCCAGGCGTCAAGTTAGTACGTACGACGTTCTTGGAGTCCTTATAGTGAGCTTGATGCGACCTTAAAACGTACGTGTGACGTCAGCAGCCAGAAGCACGGTGTATATTAATACTCGGGCCCAAACGGACGATAGTCATTGAGTCTTTGCATTTTGAACAGCATAGACGCAGAGGAGACGCACAGTCCTGATGCATGCACGTTCGTGGAGTTCTCACGACGTCGCTCCCGCCTGCCTGCGCGTTGCGAGTACGTCATGGCCGTTCACGAGGAGTTTGCGCACAGTCTTTACCGCGTTCTGGTCAAAACGCCGAGGCGCGGCGTTTGTTTTGTGCATGTCCAAAATGAACGTGGCAGTTTGGCGTTCAGCGAAGTCCTTGGAGTCCCTCTGAAGTCCTCAACTAGTATCAATGAGTCCCCACGCCGTCATCAGCGTTCCCAGCCTTTTAGTCAATTTTCTTCGTTGCGGTACGAACTCCATACCGGAACGTGACAGTGTGACAGGGCCTTTAGCACAGGAGTTGCTTTCAATGAAACGTTTTCCAACATAAACAACATCACAATGGAAATGCAAAATAAAGAGGAAATTTCTTACCAATGGTGGAGTGTAGATTATCAAACGTCTTGGCTGCTGCTTCTCTGACGTCTGGCAGCGGATCACACAAAGCTTTCCTGACCGTTGGAACAATGTTATCTACAAAACCCAAAACCTACAACAAAACAACAGGGGACTTTGTTTAAGTCTTACTTTGCCCCTGGTAACAATGTTAGTAGTTTTAAAACTGTTGACTGCTCCCAAATTATTCTATTATATTCTTTTCTCTACTAACTTTGAATATATTGATTGTTGTAACTAAGATCCATTCAAAATCCATTTAAATTCTACAAATCACATTTTTATCGCGGCTGAAACAAATTTTGGAATCTCAGGCCTCTGAAAGTCCGACAAATCGACAAATTTGTTGTTAAACTTTCCCAAATGAACTCCTTAGCAGTGCACATTTCTATAAACGCAATCACAATGAAATTTGGAGTATACATTCATCACTTGTCCTGATTATTTACACAAATTTTCATCAACATTCTATGTATTGTAAGCTGTATCTCAAAATATAGCCGTGCAGCGTCAAACTTGTTTTGTACCAGAGGGTCACTTGTTCTTTACATTACCTGTTCCCTGCTGGTGGATTCCATGATCTCACTCAGACCCACACATACTCCTTGTCGCTGGTCACTCTGATCAGAATCCAAACCTTTCTCTAAGATTGGAATAATCTCAGGAAGAACTCGCTCTCCTAACTTTCGCACAAGATCTCCCAAAGTACGAGCTGCAACCTACACAAAGGCAAAAGGCAAATCCCACAAATTAATCATATCTGTTTATAGACAGTAGAATGTCAGTCGTACCATGGAGGTAGGAATAGAAGGAGTTAGCACAAGCACAGATCAAACGGGCCATGTCTCACGCCGCGATCGATCAGATAACGACCGCAAAGTAAACACATTCCACGCTCAACCTGCTGAAAACCGCAAAAATGCATCCGCAAAAATGCATGCGCATTGCATGCGGCTAATACGGAAAACTGCCACTAAGTTTCGTTTTTCGACCTTGCAATTTTTTTTTTTCCAAAAGTGCTAAGCATCGCTAAGTTACGATTCTGGCATCATTTGAAAGCGCTATGTTTCCAAAACATTTCCTGTTATTTTTATTCAAAGGGCATGGCAGGAACCTGCCAAAAATGCCTAACATTTCACCAGGTAATTCACGAAATTTCACATTTATCCGAAATATGACAAATTTACTTGCCAAACCAATTATTGGCCGATTTTCATCGTTCAAAAGATGACATGACAAAGATTTTTGTTGCGCATCCAAAAAACAAGACCCCGATAGCATGTCTACGCTCGAAACGTACTGCGCATGTCCGAAGTATATATTTGATTGTTGGATGGTAGGAAGTATGTACTCCAGTCAGGCTTCTTCGGTAGGGAACGCGACAAAGCTGAGCGCGCGGTCGGCATTAGACATAGCGTTCAAGGGGATTAAAGGTGGTCGTTAAAATGTCAATGCGCTGCATGATATCCCATAGCTCACCACAGTGGCCTGGAATATGCTAATTGGGATTAAAACCAGGGGGAATTTCGTGTTAACTCCTTCTATTCCTACCTCCATGGTCGTACATAGGTAAAATTCTTTTACAGTTCTTTTTATATTTACAAGTACATTATTAAAGGAAAAATGTGTGTTCCGGAGGTATTATAACACTCTGTTTAAAACCGGTTTCAGTCTGGATGGGTAATTATCATCCATCCAGTGAGCTAAACGAACGCACCCATAGAGAACACGATGAGATGATAACAGTTACCAACCTGTCTCTTATCATAGCTGGTACTCGCCAAGCAGCCAAGCAATAATCCAAACAGTGTGGAGAGAATCTCTCGTAGTGTCCGTGGAGTGTTGACTACAACCACTTTCCAGACATGCAGAGCAGCTTGTCGTACCATCAACGCTGTATCAGATCGACCCATGTACAGACCGGCAAGTACACGGTTTCTTCTGTCCATACCCAACACTTTCAGAATGGACTACAAACAGAAAAGAAACCCACCAAATTATCAATGGGCAACAGTCGTTGACAAGAAGTGTACAATGCCGAAAGTTCGGCTGGAAAACTATTTTCCTGGTGCAAAAATGCTGGCAGTTCTCTGTTAGTCCGAAAACTTGAGACTTTCAATACTGTGTATGAGAGTCCAAAAACTTAAGGCATGTATATCATGCAAAAGTTTGTTGCGTAAAAAAAACAGCGTGAGTTAATTATGCAAGCTTCTTACTCGCAACAGTTTGCTCACATTTCTCGAAACGTCTGTGATGCTAAGTTGTTGTTGTGAGCATCGCACCATCCTAATTTCAGCTGTTAATTCTATTTTTACTGAAGTTCGAACATGATACATCATGTTGATGTGATCGCAATGAATTATGGATACTAACCAAAAAACTCCTCCGCTGTAACATTTTCATATGGTCGTGAAGTGAAACAGTGCCCTCTTGCTGTTACAACCTCGCATTTGCAATACGAATAATGTATGTTTTCAATAGAGGGCGCTATGTTATTTGGCCAACCATTAAAAAAACAAGAATACTTTGCGAAGCACACAAGCTTTCTAGAACAAAATGGGTGAAATTCAAGCTGCCATTAACATTGGATTAAAGGTCTAAAATTTCGCAGGAGACATGCTTGTAACTATAGCGTTTTGAGGTACTGTTGTGTGGGCGATAATTAGCCGAATGGCGAGTGAAAAAACGTCGGTAGTAATTTTGCATTTTTTGTATGCAGTTACGGTCCCAGTCTAGTGCAATGTACTTGACAGTTAATAGCGAGAGGAAAGAATGGCTCTAGGAAACTTGTAGTCTTTCAAGGCATTGTAGGTTAACATTTACGTCAGTCCAAGTACTAACCTTAGTTGAGTGTTCAGTTCCAAAGTTATCATCTTCTCCACTGACGGTCGACTGCTTGCCCGTGACCCCTGACACTCGGTACAACAGATCACCTAATAACTGGACAGAGCTGTAGCGAATTCTCCAATTCTCATCAAACAAACCCTTCTCTAATTCTGGTAGGAAGACAGATACAGATGTCTCTGCAAACATGTGGACGATGCGTTGGCCGGCTCGTAAGGCCGTATCACGGACAAACTCGGATTCATCTGCCAGGGCCTGGGATAAAAATGGAAGTAAATGCTTTTGAAACTCAGACAAATTTAATGAAGATACATAATAATCAAAATTTTCAATGGTACTTTTTTTGCATGTTACAAAAGATTTACTTTGGAAAGAGACCATATTGGCTTAAAGCATCATTATGAAAGTTTATGGAAATTTCACCCAACCATCCATACCTGAAAGAAATACAATGGAACGCCGCTATAACGAACATCGCTGGATCCACTGAAATTGTTCGTAATAGTGATCGTTCAGCATAGCGATTTTAAGCTGCCGGTGCTCTGGTACGCACTTTTCAATAAATATCGCCCTTCAAAACTTCACCCTGCACGCCCTGGTAGTTACTGAAAGACAACTTTGAACATGTGCCGACTATAAACCTCTGTCCAATGATGTCACACTGTGTTTACCTGTGCACTTTCCTATGGAGCCAGTGGGGGCCCACGGTCCACTGAGCACCATAGGAAAGCACACACGTAAACAAAGTGTGACGTCATCAGTACAGAGGCTTATTGAACTACGTAATCCCACAGTTTTTGAGCTTACTATCTACAGCAACGGGTGGCCGTTCCCCTCTATTCCTTGGGAAATAATAGCCGCTAGTCATTCTTCTGTTGACATTTTTCAACAACAATGTTAAGTACGTTTTGTACACAAAAACCGGGAGCCAAGGACGATGTTTGGTATAGCTGAATGTTCGGTACAGCAGTGTTCGGTATAGCGGCGTGCCACTGTACTGCAATTGGTTGGAAATACCACACTCTACTGAGCTATAATATCCATACATTCTTTCCTTACCTTTAAGATAGCAGGGATAACCTTGCCGACATACGCTGTGAATCTATCACCAAATGTCCCAGGTAGATAGATGAACATCATGATGTAACCGTCTCTGACATGAGGTGGGATGTCGGGTGCTTCGGCTGTCTTGATGATATCAGGCATCAACTTGGCTAGTTTCTCTATCCCCATACCTGCCATGACTTCACTCAAACCTGCAACAAATTATATCCATTCATGCATCAGATCAACAAATTAATTCAATCTCTTGAACATAAAACAGGTAATGAGTTTTGTAACAATTTACCTAATGACTACAGGTATACAGGGTGGTCCAACAAAAAAAAAAGTTAACACTTTTTCAGATGCAGATTTCTCAATACTGGGGAGACATGTTGAAATTGTTTTAAGATATTCCTAAACTACAAGATCTTGTCGGTATGTGGTGAAACCGTGTTGAAAATAAAGCCTAAATTAAGAAATGGCGGCCATTTAGAGAAAAATGGTCAACAACAATTTCTTCAATATGCAAGTCTATGAGACATGGTCAAAACAATAGCAAAGAACCACAGTAACGATGACCATATCTCATACACCATTTCTGTAAATGACCGCCATTTCTTAAGTTAGACTTTATTTTCAACGCCATTTTCACCATATACCACCAAGATCTTGTAGTTTAGGAATATTGTAGCGCAATGCATTTTATAGAGGGCGCACTTTAGTTCTTTACTGGCATGACTGGTAGCTAGCGGGGTGCGCGTGCACTCACCCAGGTTTATGGGGGCACCAGCCAATAGCGCCAGTGTATATAAGCGGCCGAGCGCTCAGCTTCACTCTCTTTCTGCTGTGGCCGTAACCCGAGCGCGGTCTCGTGGAGTGTTCTTGCAATGCTCTAATCTCCCACAATTAACCAATAACCAATCACCTATAGTCGCAGTGGAGGGAGCCTCATACTTTGTGTAAGTGTAATTGTCAAATGATTCCTGCATCATAATCCAGATAATTAAGTAATCTCTGAGTTTATAAGGGAAGTGATTTAGTATAAGATCACGTAGGCGGGGGACAAAGGTAGGCTGAAACTGGAATGGTGAATAAACCATTGAAGCTAAGGGTAGGCACAAACCAGTGTGGAGTGTCCAATTCCCCCCCCCCCCCCCCCCCCCCCCCCCCCCCCCCCCCCCGCTTACCTTGTGCGGCACCGGACCGATCCACTGAATTCTGCTCAACGGTCAGCTTCTCCATCAACCACGGCAGCAGATCATCAAAGCTACTCTCTCCCATTCCTTTGACCATGGCTCCTAAGGCACGGGCTGATACCTTCCTCACCTCAGGTACAGGGTCTAGAAGAGATGCCTTGAGCCCTGGCATGACCGACGGGAGGTAGGGAGCTAGATCCTATCAAGAAAATCATTCAAAATAGGTCTGATGGGCTGATACCTTGCTGACCTAAGGTACAGCGTATCACTGATTGGAGGTAGGGAGCTAGATCCTATCAAGAAAATCATTCAAAATGGGCTGATACCTTGCTGACCTAAGGTACAGAGTATCACTGATAGGAGGTAGGGAGCTAGATCCTATCAAGAAAATCATTCAAAATGGGCTGATACCTTGCTGACCTAAGGTACAGACTATCACTGATTGGAGGTAAGGAGCTAGATTTGTCTCTTACCTTCTGGTCAGTAAGTGAGTACATATTGCCGATAATCTGCGCTGCCATCTTCTTAGTATCGGTGGATCGATCTTGAAAGGCTCGCTGAACAACTGGCATGATCAGGGCAAGTGAGGGCGCATCAATGAAGTGAACAAACTTGGTTGCCAAGAGCAACTGTAGACATTTGGAGGTCTTGCTGGATGGATTGGACAGGGCGTCCAACAGCATGGGAACGATAGCTGGAAAAATGGAAGAGAAAATACAGGAAAAAGCCATTGGAAACACGGGTAGAATCGCTGAAAAATGGGCAAAAACTACAGGGGAAACATTGGAACATGGGTACAATTCCTTAAAATGGGTGACATGATAGTTTGAATTAAAGTGAAAGTTGAATGCAGAAAAACAAGTAGTCTAGGGGGTAGACGTTGTTATGGTTTGATACGCGATAACCCGCCGCCGCGATAACCCGCCGCCGCGAGAGGGCACTATCACGACCAACCAATATCACCCACGGACTTGTCAGGAACAACGTCTAGGCAAGCTCCTGAAATCTCGCTCCGAAATATGAAGGGAACTAGTGCGCATGCGCGACTTCTGCAGGCAATTACGGTCCATTTTCAGTCCCACACACGCTACACACAACAAAAGAGCTGACCAGTGAAGTTGCACAAAGGTCTTGCTGCATCTTTTATTGCACTGGAAGAAATTTAAAAGTTTGCTTCGGAACTAATATAAATTGTTTGAATTGCGCGCTGCAAATATTAGGCCAAACAGGTGCACGCGCATTATACAACCAATAGGAGATTTTCTAGACGTTGTTCCTGACAAGTCCGTGGACGATATTGGTTGGTCGTGATAGCGCCCTCTCGCGTCAGCGGGTTATCGCGGCGGCGGGCTATTGCGTATCAACGTCTAGCCCCTAGATTAAAAAACAAGCAGCAAAAACAAGGGAAATAAATTAATAAGTATGGAAAAAACAAATGCGATTTGTATATGTCATAAGGCTAAAGAGCGCCCTCACACTTCATGCACAGATCCTATTACAATCCTTACCTTGGATTTCTGGATTCCTGATGACAGCTCCGATCTGTTTGAGTGCTTGAATTCCAGATTTCTGTACCTTACTGTGAGAATCTGTCAATACTTCCATGAGTTTGGGGACGATGCTGGGCAGACATGATGATAACTGCTTAGGGGCACAGTAGGCCATGGCTCCTAACAACTCAACAGAACCTACACAACAAAAACCAGATGAATTCAATTATAGTTGACATACTACAAAAGCCAATTATAAATACGTAGCGACACACTAGCTTAAATCTCAACAATATGAGTTTTTACCGTGAATCTTTGAATCATTGTACTATCTACTCACCTGTTTTGGTTCTCCATGAGTCTTCTTCGAGTGCAGCTAGTAGTGATGGTAGCACCAACTTGACCCCATGTCCACTCAGCTTGCTCATGACAGCCTTGGCTGTATCATCAGCTGCCTGCAAAACAAAGAAAACCAAATATGCCAACTATACTCAATAAAAATCAATGTCACAAAGCCTTTTAGCAACAATAATAATGTGGCGCTTATATAGAACTTTAGACCAATGTCAAAAAGTGCTTCACAATTATTACCCCTGTTCATCAGGCCATGAGACCATTTATTGCAGCAGCTGGAGATCAGCGCAATCTGGTCTTTACCCTCATAGGTACTGCTGGATGGATGGAGGCAATTGCAGTAAAATGTCTTGCCCAAGAACACAAACACAAGGTTCCTGTCAGGGTGTGAACCCATGTATCATCACATGTATGAGACCTGGCCACAACAACCATTGGACCATGGTACTCCACATTGAAAACCTCACAAAAACAATGTAAAGAACATGAACCATTTGATATTAAAACAAATTTACTTATCTAGCTGGGACATGATTTACATCCCGAAGCACTGTAAGAAATGAGAAACATGACCCACACAATGTTCATGTAAACTAACCGACCTCTCTAACATACTGGTTTCCATCCCCGAAGCACAGTAGGAGATGAGAAACATAACCCACACAATGTTCATGTAAACTAACCTACCTCTCTAACATACTGGTTTCCATCCCCGAAGCACAGTAGGAGATGAGAAACATGACCCACACAATGTTCATGTAAACTAACCGACCTCTCTAACATACTGGTTTCCATCCCCGAAGCACAGTAGGAGATGAGAAACATGACCCACACAATGTTCATGTAAACTAACCGACCTCTCTAACATACTGGTTTCCATCCCCGAAGCACAGTAGGAGATGAGAAACATGACCCACACAATGTTCATGCAAACTAACCTACCTCTCTAACATACCCCGAAGCACAGAAGAAATGAGAGACATGACTCGCACAATGTTCATGCAAACTAACCTACCTCTCTAACATACTGGTTTCCATCCCCGAAGCACAGTAGGAGATGAGAAACATGGCCCACACAATGTTCATGCAAACTAACCTACCTCTCTAACATACTGGTTTCCATCCCCGAAGCACAGTAGGAGATGAGAAACATGACCCACACAATGTTCATGCAAACTAACCTACCTCTCTAACATACTGGTTTCTATCCCTGGAGCACAGTAGGAGATGAGAAACATGACCCACACAATGTTCATGCAAACTAACCTACCTCTCTAACATACTGGTTTCCATCCCCGAAGCACAGTAGGAGATGACAGACATGACTCACACAATGTTCATGCAAACTAACCCACCTCTCTAACATACTGGTTTCCATCCCCGAAGCACAGTAGGAGATGAGAAACATGACCCACACAATGTTCATGCAAACTAACTTACCTCTCTAACATACTGGTTTCCATCCCCGAAGCACAGTAGGAGATGAGAAACATGACCCACACAATGTTCATGCAAACTAACCTACCTCTCTAACATACTGGTTTCTATCCCTGAAGCACAGTAGGAGATGAGAAACATGACCCACACAATGTTCATGCAAACTAACCTACCTCTCTAACATACTGGTTTCCATCCCCGAAGCACAGTAGGAGATGAGGCAGAACATGGACCACGTAAGGTTCAAACAGACGTCCCAGCATGTTGCATAGCATCTCAAAGGCAAACAGAGCTCCTGTGTGAGTTACAAGAATTTCAAGCGTTTAATCAGAAAATTATGAAAAGTTAAACAAAGAAATTGACTGGAGCGGGGTTTAAACCTGCGACCTCCGGATTACCGTTCCAGTGCTCTACCAACTGAGCTATCCAGCCTTATGTTGGTGGTTCCCCAATTGGTCAATGTCTTTGTTCAAGGGACGCTAGAAGCCATAAACCCGTATATGCCATGCAGACACGGATTACGCCCAAAGTTAGGTTTGAACCTGATGCAGACCTGGCAAATAGCAAATAGAATCTCTCAGAGAGGAAACAGCTTTTTATTACACATTTTCAAATGAACCGCAAAGGGAAACTGACTAGGTGAATTATAACATTTTTTGAAAAGTTGAACAAAGAATGCATCGTGACTTTGGGTGTGATCTATGTCTGCACTGAATATATGGGCTTCTGACTAGCACCCCTTGAATAAAGATATTGACTAATAAATTGCACCACTTTTCATGGTGAAATCTCTTTTTTCCCCACCTGCCTTGATTGGCAACCAAATCCTTTCACTCTGTGACAACTGACACCTCAAAAACCACAATTGAAAAGTGCCACAATTCTCTTAATAGACCCTTTCATCAAATTGGTCACTGCTCAGTCAACCATGAATGTAAGGACATGATCAGGGTGTCATTTTAAAGAGGAGATTCAACCCTTACAGGGGATATCTCCGTTTGATTCACATGTGCCCTACTTCTGTTCCAATAAGCAATAATTTCTCGGTTTCGTTTTCTTTTATCCACCCTGTATATCTGTACAAACAAGATGCTGTTGATATCACTGGTTAAGTCATAACTATGTCCAAACAATAAATTGGAATAAGGAGTTAAGTTATCTGACCTTCTCTCTTCCGGAAATTCTTCTTGTCTTGAATAGCTTCTTGCAGTGTCGACATGATATCCATCTGTTTGAGGGATAGAATACCTAGACCCTTGACGAGTCCAGCTAAGCCATACGCAGCACCTTTCCTTTCACCATAATTCTCTGATTCCAGGAGCAATGCCAGAAGATTCTTGACGATCGCAGGTGCGTCGGTCTTGATGGCTGGTACGAGGGGTGGGAGGCAGTTGGCGACAGCTTCTTGAACCTTAAGTAAAGGTCATAATGATCAGGTTAAAGTCAATGTCCAAATTGCTTTTGACATTGAAGCTTACTACCTGACCCAAGGAATGTACTGTTGGATGATGCTGGTTAGTGCTACAACTTGTGTCTTGCTACAATCACTGACCATGTTGCGACACAATCGTGACTAATTTCAAGGACGTTAGAGATTCAGAACGGCTTAGGTAACCTGTAATTTCAGCAGGTTCTAAGAATCACAATTCAGTCATGTTTCAAGGCATATAGGATCATCCACTTGTCATACATTTTGTCGTGTCAATAACGACCCTCAAAATCCAAAGAAGAATGTTTAAACCCTAACCTGCTGATGTTAAACTCAGTGGATATTACACTTTTCGAAAAAATATTGAAAACAAAGCACAATTTGGTCAAAAGCACTCTGAATTCCAAAAATCAGTCAACTGACTGATCATTGCGAAGCACCTACATTTCATGATGTCTTCTAAATGACAGCAAGCCAGACGTAATAATTTCATAGGGTGTTTAGTACCAGTACGATCTTTAATCCAAGTAAGCTTCTTAATAAAATTTGGAAAAATTGTCGTGTCAGTGCAACAAGGTCTTAACTCGATTCTGCAACAAAGTTGTATCTCGCGCGAATACGCTCTGTACAACAAGGTTGCATCTCACGTATCGCAACGTCCATTGACTTTGTGTGTACATCCGGGTTATTTTAAGCGAGATACGACCTTTTGACACTCAAAACTCGCGTTTCACGTTTGACGTACACGACGTCACACGCATTTTTAGGAGATTGTTGCACAGACACGACGAAATGCAAATGAACCCACGTGCCTTTAATTGTATCTTGTACTGCCTATAGGTTGAAATAACCTTGGAATTTGAAAGTTCGGAGAATGTAAATAAACACATCGTTTACCTGTTGGGAAGGTGTAGACAGAGCTTCAATCAACTTAGCAACAATTGGTTTGACCTTAGGATCGTCTTTATCCAGATGTCTAGCGAGCGATCCCATTAAGATGACGACGCTGTGTCGCACTGCGTCATAGGATGAGGTATTAGGTGCTTCATCTAGGAACTTCTCAAAGACTGGCAGAAGCACTGAGACATTGTCCTAAAGACAAAAGCAAAGAGGGTAAAATTAGGATAGCTAGATGGCTACAAGGTAAAGGGACGAACCTGTGTTCACAGGAACAGAGTGCCCATCTCTCTTTCGAAGCGATTGGGCCAGACTTGAGTCAATGAAAAGCTGCTGTGGGGGGATCGCCACACCTCCTCCACAGCGAGTCTGTTACCTTCCCAGCATTGAATAATGCCGGTACCCATTTAACACCTGGGTTGAGAGGAGTAATTGAGGTAAAGCACCTTACTCAAGGGCACAACGCGCATGGCCACGGCGGGGCTCGAACCACAATCTCACGATCATGAATTCTGAGCCCTACTGCAAGACCACACGTGCCACCTAGATGGCTAGGCACTCTGTGTTGACGATGTTAGCAATTACTTCAAGAATTGCCAGTTTTTGGAGGTGTCTTACCTTGCCATGGTTGTCTATGACTGCAGTCGCTGCTTTTAACATGACCTGCCGGACCTCTTCGTTACGATCATTCAGTCCCTCAGAGACAAAGAACTCAAACATCTCTAAGACTTGTCCCCTGATGAGATAAGGGGATATCTTGCCTAGAGTGTTGCCTACCCCACATCGGGCTTCGTATCGATCGGGGGGCGATTCGGATATGACACGGCCAAGACTGTCCAGTACAGGTGGTGGGATCTGAAAGACATCAAACAGAGACAACATAGCAGATAAGACGGTAAACTACACGTCACATTTCCAACGTTTTTGTCAACAATTTTACTTCATGTTTTTTCAAAGACCAGCAGGCCATGTCTGTATTATCCCTTTAAGACCGGCCACGAGACGGGCTCTCGACCAATGGGAATGGGTAAACTGCCTATTTATGAATAGTCAACAGTCTTGACATAAAGGAATTATCAGAAGTAAAGATGTTGTGAGTGGTAGAATTTCAATTCAGATTTGTTTTCATTCGGTTTGAATTCCACTTTTCTGTTTTGATTTTGCCAAGGCCAAAAAAAAGAATAGTTCTGCTTCCGATTACATGCCTTTCAAAAATAGGGTCGGTCGGTCGGAAATTTTTTTTTTTTTGCCAATTTTTTTTATGCAGATTGAATGAACTGTTGGATGATGATTGAGTATTCAATTATATGCGAAGTTTTAGCCTGAACTATTTCCATTGCACTACAAAAGCTATACACAAAATTACCACAAAAAGTGAATAAAACCTACCTTAATTATTGTCAATATATTTACGTTCGATAATTCGTAAAAAAAATTGTGGGAAATTCAGGTCGTTCGCACCATAGGCACAACACTAGTCAAGAAGGGGAGCTGGCCAAAATAAATAAAACTCCGAAGTGTGTGATGCACTGTACATGTACATGTGTGGCCCGCGGCCAACGGGTCGAACATTTCAGGAAACACGCTGCATTGTATCACTCCAAATACGAGTAGTGCGATCTCAAAATGAACTCTTGAACACGGAAAATACATACACAGACAAGCTAGATCAAATCTGTGATTTAACTTGCAAAAATGTTCTTTCTCCATCGGTGTTTTTCTCAACATATTTACGATGTCGAATCCGACCAGTTGACAGAGCACGTGCCTGCGCCTGCAAAGCCATGCTAGCGCTAACGATCGCATAGCCGTGCACAGACTAGTTACCGCATTTTCATAATTGGACCCTGCGCGGCGCTGAGGGAACCAGTTGTCGCCGCATTGCGCTTATTACGCACGTGATTATAGACATCGAATTGCGAAGTAGTTGAATCGCGCAGCAAATTTGTAAAAATAACGGAGGTTTCTTTTGAAAAAATAGCGAATGTAAGTAAGAAAACAATAAATACAAGCATTTTTTGATGCAAAAGGGTTGTTGAGAGGTATTTTGTGAAGACAGACAAGACATAAGGTTTTTATTTTTATTTATTCAATCTTTTTTTTTTTTTTTTTTTTGAATTGCCGATAACATTTTTAGGGTCGCAGCCTAAAAATAGGGTCGGTCGGGTAACCGGAAGCAGAACTATTCTTTTTTTTGGCCTAACAAAGGTTATTGGACTTACGTGTAGGTTGTCCTTATGCAGACTAAACAACTTGATCAGCGTCTCCTCCACATGTTCAGGGTATTCATCTAAGAGTATAGCCAGTGATAACGCAGCTGATTGACGAATCACATGCTCAGTATGGATGACATCATCGATGGTCAGAGGGCAAAGGTCAGGGTCTAAGGCTAGGTCAGCTTCATCCCATAATCTATAAATAGTAACACATAAAAATGGGAACGATTCAGGCTTTGTATATTTACAACAAGTGGTCAGATCAACATGAAATTCACCGCTCAACTCAGGACTAGATAAACACCGCTAAAAAAGGAAGACCACGCTCATTGGAGGGGTCATAATTTTAAGTCTGATCGTCTTATGATGACGTCATTTATATAGACCTTTGGGGAATGTTGTTAGCTACATTTTGATACCTCGTTTGCTATTGCAGACTGTAAATCGTCCATGATTGACGACGGTTTATGAAAACTGATGCAGTTGGAGAAGTTGAAAATTTAAAAGATTATGCGAGGAGAAATTACTAAGTGTAACCAAACACACATTCTCATAATTGGCCTCTATAGACTGCACAGTGCCCGAACAAAATGCAGGCCATTCGAAAAGCCTGCGTGCTCCAATGCATACAAGCACTGTGCGATTGATATTCCCTGGCGTTTTCGGGCAGTGTGACATTGTCACACTCAGTGTAAACTTTTACATTTTCAACCTTTTCAACTGCATCATTTTTCATCAACCATTGTCAATCGTAGACGATTTACAGTCTTCGGTAGCAAACGGGGTATCAAAATGTAGCTAACAACATTCACAAAAGTCTATATAAATGAGGTTTTCATAAGACGATCAGATTCAAAATTATGACCCCTCCAATGAGTATGGACTTTCTTTTTTTGTGGTGTTTATATAGAAATACTAAGCACAGGAGTTGGCTGTAGATAGCGATTTGTTACGGTAATAAACTTGGGGAGCAAAAGATTACCCAAATTTTGAATCAATATGTATAAGAAATTGCATAAAATCTATTTCACTGTAGGCTCAGTTCCTTCCTTGATATTGAAGTAAAAAATCAAAATCAAAATCAAAATAATCTTTATTATATCCCACTGGGGTAATTTAAATACATTGACAGGCTTGCTTGCGTGAGACGTGAACCCACAACCACCAGCTTACTGGTTCATGTATCTCAAGAACCTTGCCAGACTTACTCATCGGCAAGCAGCTTGACTGTGTCCTCAGGATCCTGTCTTGCTATCAGAACTCTGCGTGTCAGGTTCAATGCGTGCTCCTTATCTGTGTCCATGGTGGGTAGTACTTCATTCAGCTCTTTCAATCCCTGGAAACAAGACAAAATGCTCGTCAAATATCATTTTCATTTTAAAGGTAGAACACATCATTTGCAGCCATCCAAAATGTAACTGACAAAGTTATTGTTGAAAAGCATTCTTTCTGGCATGCTGTCATTTTGAAGAAAACAATAAAAGGCCTTTTCCAACGATGCGTCTAAAGATGCGTTTTTGGAAATTTCCATTAGTAGTTAGTTTTTAATTCGGCGAGGCTGTGAATGAGTGCGCGCAAGTGCTGACACAACGCACAGGTGCGCGCAGTTGCAATTATTCGTCAGTTCAGTGTGCGACATCGCGTAGCTGCAATCAGCTGAAGGAGAACGTGTCCTGGACGCTGATTTTGGGTGCAATTTAAAACATGACTCTGTGAATTTTGAATTGAAAATGAGATCCTAGATATTGTTTTGCTTGGAATATACAACATTTACTGAGCTGAAACTTCATCAGGTTATTTGTTTAAGAAGAAGGCTTACCAAGCACCCTTCTTTAGATTTTGAGCACTTTTGTTGCTTCAAACAAACAAAAATGCACACATGACAAATGATATACTCTACCTTTAACGATCTTTTAAAACAAAAGAGGACAAACAAAGCGATCAAAGAATTTTCACTGGGGTAGTCGAGGTCCAAGATTATCCATAATAAATCCAACGTTGTTAAAATTTTACAGTACCACATCAAGCAACACATCTGCTACCGTTTCTTCAGCCTCGGGCGCAAAAAGTTGAACATACTTTCATTAACCCTCCTATGCAAACAAACAGTCTGTGCCAAGTTGTCCTTTCATTCAAAATCAATCAAGTGACTGTTTTCAACAGTTAAGAGCTCCCAGCCTACATAAAGCAGGATTGACTGGCTGGGACTGTTTATGTAACGTGATACAGCTATGCTTTGACTGTAGATGATTGATCAGATATCTGCGCTAGCTAGTTGCCTGCTATTGTCTGTTAACTGAATTTGACTAGTCAGAGTGCTTGCTTGAAATATGATCTGACGGTTGGTGACTAGCCAGTGTAAAAGGCATGGCAGGGGAATGTTGACTGTCTGTTACTGTTCAAACAGTAGATGGGTTAAGGTTTGGTTTCATCAAGTTATCTGAAATTAAGTGAATGCAACAACATGAAACTTGGTACATGTATGTCTCACGACCCGGATAAGCTAATACCTTGAGTGCAGCTTCCCGGACTGCAGCACATGGAGATTGTAACACCGTCAAGATAACATCGATCTCATCTTGCTCTGCCATGGTACAGCCTTCCAATCCTCCGGCGCTATGACACAGATCAACCAGGACAGTGGTAGCTGTCTGTTGTAGGACCGGTCCACTGATACCAATCAGATGGGTCAGGAGAGTCAACATAGCACAGCGTGGTAGCAGCTCAGGGCCGTTCTGTCAAAAATAAACAAGTAAAAAAGTCAGTGATGTCAAATCTTGACACAGCTGGATAACTCAGAGTCATTCTAAATCAATACGATAGAAGGTCTGGGATTTCAATTGATTCTAAATCAATACGATAGAAGGTCTGGGATTTCAATTGATTCTAAATCAATACGATAGAAGGTCTGGGATTTCAATTGATTCTAAATCAATACGATAGAAGGTCTGGGATTTCAATTGATTCTAAATCAATACGATAGAAGGTCTGGGATTTCAATTGATTCTAAATCAATACGATAGAAGGTCTGGGATATCAATTGATTCTAAATCAATACGATAGAAGGTCTGGGATTTCAATTGATTCTAAATCAATACGATAGAAGGTCTGGGATTTCAATTGATTCTAAATCAATACGATAGAAGGTCTGGGATTTCAATTGATTCTAAATCAATACAATAGAAGGTCTGGGATTTCAATTCTTCTCATGAACACTATACCTTCCCAAATCCTCCAATATATTCTTTGCAAAAAGGAGGATTTTGCAGGACTGAGGCTACATGGCAAAGATGTGTGGCTGATTTTGGAGGATGCACTGTGTCAAGGTCTTGGGCCGGACCTTGTGTTGTTTATGCTCAGCCGTGCATGAATTTAGACCTAGATTATACTTGAAATCCTCCGCACTGCTCCAGGATGTCACTGGCTCTGCCTCAACGTATTGACAGTGATTGCTGGAGGATTTTGCAGAATTGAGGCAGTGGTCACCCCTCCAAGGACCACTTCAAAGAAATAACAGAGGATTTTGCAGGATTGAGGTTGCATCCTGGTGAAAATGCCCAGGAACTTAGGGTTTAGAGACTTAACATTGCACAGCAAGTTAAAAAGTCTGATATATCAAATCTTACCTAATCAAATGAGACTATAAAAATTCCAAGTGAGCTGAAACTAATTATGAATTCAAGGAATTCATTTGAGGTATTCAAATAGAGATTTTGTTCCTACCTCATCAATTTCATCCAACATACTATCCTGGCATCTCAACTGAGCATGTGCAGACAGGATTGCGAGGGATTTATCAACCACCTCTTCCTTCTTGTCGACTGCAATGCCGCCATCTTTGAGCACACGGTTCAGTAATGGGAAGAAATACGCAAAGGTTGGCGCAGGAAAACGCCTTGAATGGAGACTAGGTTCATCCCTCTCATCAGATAGGTCATCGTCGTCACTGTCATCATCGGACGAGGATGCCCGACCACCATGAAGAACCTCCACTGCTCTAGTTGCCATGTCAACCAAGTCTTCTTTACACCAGTTGGGTTCAATGGGGCATGCTACAGAAGACAGTCGCAGAGTGCAGTAGGCCACAGTTGCTCCTGATAATGAACAAGAAAAGTTGCCTTGTGTTAATTTGTGTACTCGTATCCTTTAATGTGAGTTAAAAAGAAAATTCGCTCTAGTTTTTTTAACAATACAGGGCGAGTCAAAAAAATGAAACCCAAATGGCAGGGCCAATTTATTAATGAAGTTCTGCATGTAGCACTTTCAAAATCTAGGATATGAAAGCCCCATTAATAAGCTTTCATTTAGTACAAGAATCATTCAAATCACTCATTTACTTTCAAGTTACGAAATTTTAAACACGGCCATCGTTTTAAAGTTCTGTCCAGGGATCACAAAAAAGGTAAGTGTTCTTTCAGCAAAATGAAAATAATTCACATAGGGATGTGTGTGAAGTGTTTTCTTTTTGCTGAGATGTTCCTTAAACCACTGAACAACTGCCCACTCATTTGCAAGTTGAAATACATGATCATGTCGAGATTTGACGAAGACTTACCTGTATTATATTCTTCCTTGTCAAAGACACATTGGCCCAGGTCCAGGAAGAGACTGACCACATAAGGAGCTGCCAAAGGGGAGGACAGAAGGGACAACAGACTGGGCACTAGGGTGGGGATATGACGACACATTGCTGCTGGGTTGCCCTGGATGCTTGCATGCAGTAGACTGGCTGTGCTGGTTAATTCTTGATCAAGCTTTACGGATAAAATCAAGATTTAGAAGAGTTTAATTCTATCAACTTTATCAATCTTAAACTTCGCCCATTTGTCAAATATTAATTTGTGCACTTAGTGAAGTGAACTTATCAACACTTGAAAACTGAAGTTTTTTTTGGAAAATGATAAATAAAAAATTTGCGCTGTTGCTGTGATGTCATTTCAGGAAGACAATGTTCAGTTTAGGGATTTTCTGTTCAAATTGTGAACCCAAAATTTGCTCATTGAGAACATTTGTCAGAAAGGTTTGGTCGTTGCCTTACTGCCATGTACTGACACAGCAACAAATCACCAAAGAAAAGAAAATTGCAAAATAGCTAAAATTCTGGAAAAAAATTTGCGCTGAAATAGCTATAACATTGAGGTTTATGCCCAGAATGACATCACACTTTGCTCATGAATATGGAAATTTGCGTTAGCATGAAACCAAAAATAGCCACCAAAATACCCTTTAAAAATGCAAAATGAAAAGAGAAAATCAGGTTATATGGGACACAAAGGTGCATTTTCAATGATTGCATTAAAACAGTTACATTGCATGGTCCCTTTAAGTTTTGAAGAATTGATCATTACAGCAGAATCGAGCTATGATAATCTGAACTGTTCTATATTTTTAGTGAGTCAGTTGATACCATAGTCGTACCTGTTTGAGTCGATTCCTGATCGCCGATTCCTTGGCCAATTCTGCATCTTTTGCTTCCTGCTGTTTCTTGCTGAGTTTGACTTCTACCTTCATTCCTTTAGCTCTCTTCTTGGCTTCCATTTCCTGTCAGGGAAGCGAGGGCAGACATGTTACCTCGTTACTAGCCCTGGTGGACTCCCTTTCCTCCCTACGTTACGGAGGGAGTCCTGAGTACACATGTGCTCACAACCGAACGAAAACATTTCTGACCAATAATTTTAATATTTTTACCTTGTTGGAGAAGCTAATTTTTACGTCGTAGTATTCTATGTGTCCTTATCTGTTAGCACGCTGGGTTCAGGAATTCCATATACGATGCTGACTGACGTCAATCAGGAAAATAAACTCGAAAGCATCGTTAAACTTGTACGTGTTTAGTCTCTTTTCATCAGTTTCTCACCGCCGAGTCTATTCTAGTCGTACATCATGTACGTCTGTACTGTGCAGCGTGTAGTCTGGTTCCCTAGACCGGACAATTATTCTCGACGCTCATTATCACATCTGGTCCGGGGGACAGACTATGCCGCATGAATATGCAGTGCGCACGCGCGATTTGCTTAGTAACCACCCTCATACGCACGCGCACTTACTTGAAGGTGCGGTCGCTAATCCAATGACCGAGCGTGTTTTCGCGCCAGTTACCAGAAACACGTTTCGGCTTTGGTCATTGGTTGAGCGTTTTCCTGACATCGGTTGGCTGGAGTGACTTCACGGTTCCAACCAAAACTAAACAAATGAGGGCGCTTAGCGTGCGTGCGCGCTTTAGGATTGTACGCACGTACATTTGTACATTGTACATGACGTACGACTCTGGGAATAAACTGATGAAAAGCGACTACAAACACGTACAAGTTTAACGTTGCTTTGGAGTTTATTTTCCTGATTAACGTCAGTCAGCATCGCATATGGAATTCCTGAACCCAGCAACCCAACAGATAAGGATACATAGAGTATGTAGGCGTGAAATATTAGCTTCTAAAACGAGGTAAAACATAACAAAACTCTGGTAAAAATGTTGTATGGTTTCATGTAGAAAAGTCTTGTCCTGGACGTTTGTCGTATTGCAATGAAGACTTCGTCCAACCTGGGCTACCTCGTTACAAGTTCTACTACAAGCTGAGCACACTCCATCAAATGCTCACTTTTGTATAATAAAGTCAAAGCCTTCTTACAAATGATTCTCAGTAAATTCCTAAAATATAACATGACATGCCAACCATTGGCTCATCTAACTTTCATGTGATGTCACTGTATCCGCTCCGTTCACAAGTACCCCCTCACAGGCAAAGAAAGTACAGTTGGGGGTAACTGAACAATGCCATCTTGCCTGACTGCAATATTTTGCTGCGGAGAAGGCCACTGCATGTACATAGTACAAATCCCCTAGTGTATGTGCGACACACACAAGGAACGGTGCGCGCACGTCAACCAGCGAAATATATGTGTCCCGCCCATGGGACATCGTTGCTTGGTAAGAGGGCGCCCTCTTTATTGGCGCACGGAGCCTATACTCTGTGCTGTCAGAAAGCTTGATTCACACGCTTATTATTGTCAGGAATGCACGACCTCCTGCTTACTAGTGCAGATACTACTCAATCACTGAGCTTGCTGGGTCGGCTGGCTAGTTCAATCTGATGAATCAACCAATTACCGTAAACAAACACTATTTTAAGTGATGGAATTCAAAGTAAATAGTCACTTTCTTTCCCTTATTCGTGAACTATTGACCCTTACACCCTCTTTAATCCTCCAAAGTCCTCCAGGCGGTTTTGGAGGATTTTGGAGGATTGAGGCTGAATGGCAAACGAGTGTCGGTTGATGTTGGAGGATGCATCGTGTCGAGTTCGTAGGCTGTACCCAGCACTGTTTATGTTCAGCCATGCATAATTGAGCCCTGCATTATGCTTGATATCATCCACACTGCTTCTGAATGTCATCTGCACTGCCTCAACACATTAACAGTGATTGTTGGAGGATTTTGAAGGATTGAGGCAATGGTCACCCCTCCACTGAACAAATGCAAGAAATAACGGATGATTTTGGAGGAGTGAGGCTGAATCCATATTTTTACATGATGCCAATTGGAGGATATTGCAGGATTGAGGATAGCTCCTTGCCAAAAGCAGTGGGGCACCCGGGGGGGGGGGGGGGGGGCTCGGGAGGTCACCAACGGCGCCACCAACGTCACCAACATCAAAATAGTCCGGCCCATCAAACAAAAAAAACCAATTTTTTTCTGCGACCAAAACTTTTGGGCAAATTTTTTTGAAAAAAATTTAACTTCTAAAAATCTTTTTTTTTAAATGTGAGGCCCCTCCCAATCCTGGGTGCGCCACTGGCCGAAAGGGCCTGGGGGGTTAGGGTTAAGATATAAACAAATATCAACTGACCTTCCTGAGTTCAATTTCCATGACTTGATCTTTGTAGGAGTAGGCCTTACTCTCCCTCTTCATGTTAGCGGTACTGGGAGCATCAGGGGCCAACCTGCACGACAAACAGTGTGTTCATAATCATATCATGCACAACTATAAAAACACAGACAACTTATACTAAGTCATTACAGATGTACTCAAAATAAGGGAATAAATGTGTGCATGGCCGTTTTAAACACTATGTTTAAGACTTGTTGGAGTCTGGATGCTGATAATGACCCTTTTCAGTCCAAAAGTCAAAAATGATATTTGTACAATGATTTTGTTCAACAATTTTAATTCCTGCTTTTCGAGACACCCCTCCAGTTATGCTATGGTATGGCCCTCTCGCGAGTAGTTGTTAACAACTCCTTGTATGGAGATTGGCGCGCGTGTCGCGTGTACTGCATCAGTGGCGCAGAATGCAGCTGTGCCAGTGTAGTGTAAATTCAGGACTGTGAAATACTGACTCACTGGTAGTATTGCGCATGCCTACGTGAGGATTGTGAATGTTCAACCAATAAAACGGTACTGGCACCGGATTTCATAGAGTCCAAACTTCAAGTTTCAATCTGTTCAAAACTTCCGTGGTGAAATGTCATGAAAATCAATCCGTAGTGCCGTAGGACAACCGTACTGATTCGTAGTGTTATTCGTGGCTATTCGTACATACTCTTTTGAGATTCGTAGCTCATTCTTGGTAGAAATCTCTATGAATTCGCTACGAATGTCTTACGGATATGCCTGGATGTGCTAGGGTTCTGCTAAGGTTGTACTACGAATATCCACGCTTTATTCGTAGGAGAACCTTGGTCATCCGTGGCCCAATCGCAGACAACCGTGGCGTTAACGTCATTATTCTTAGTAATACCGTCGATATTCTTCACCAATCCGTCCATATTCTCGACAAAACTCGTAGAGAAACCGTAGGACAGTCGTGGCTATCTGTCCTGAAACCGAAGTGCATTCTTAGGAAGTCGATTTCTTCACGAATCTCAACGGTTCATCATGATCGATTGATTCTTGGTTCACCGTGGATATTCGTAGCTCCACGCCGTAAATGTGTGACTGGGGCTTTAGGTATTTATGAATAAAACTTAATGAGTATTCAATTGAGAAAACAGAGAAATCTCATAACAAGTTGAAACATCAATACAAAAAATATATGAATTTGAAAGTTCAATATTTTCAATCCTACTTCTCAATGATGGCTTTGTTGTACAATTCTCCTTCTGGTGTCTTCATAATGTCATATTCTTCCTTGGTAATCGTTACTAAGTCTGAGTTTCCAAGACAACCTACGGCATGACTGATGAGAGTTGGTAGGATCTGTTTGGATGCTAGTCTGACAACGGTTGCCATGGCATTGGAAGATGTCTGCAAACAACAATCAACAATATAAATATAAACAGTTAATTCATGATAAAAAAAGAATAACATTGCAATCACCAAGAACAATTGCAAGCAAGCATTCACAGCACCATACACTTCCGTATTTAACTTTATCTGTCACATATTAGTTGTGTTATGTCACATCCTAATAAACACTTACATCAGTTGAACAACAGTTTAAAGACGGATCATTTGTCGTGTATTTTTGTGCTTGAAGCAACAAAAGTGCTCAAAATCTAAAGAAGGGTGCTTATCAACTAACCTGATGACGTTTTAGCTCAGTGAATGCAGTATATTCTGAGAAAACAATACTCTGGGGTCTCGGTTTCAATTCAAAATGTTGGCGAGTCATGTTTTGAATTGCGCCTGCGATCACATCCAGGACACGTTCTCATTCAGCTAATTGCAGTCACACGGTGTCACGTGTTGAAATGACAAATAATAGTAACCACACGCATGTGTGCGTCTTGTTAACCCTTGTGTGCACCCATTCACAAATTCGCCGAATTACAAACCAACTACTAACTATTTCCAAAAATGTGTCACTTGACGCATCTTTGGAAATGGCCTTCTTTGATTGTTTTCTTCAAATTGACAGCATGCCAGAAAGAATCATTTCACAGGGAGTTTAGTGCCATTACTATCTTTAAACCAAATAAGCTTTTCAACTATAATTTTGTCAGTTATTTTGGATAGCTGCAAATGATCTACTCTACCTTCAATTTTATAAATCAATAATATACAAATAATGAATGTTTATGAGTGCAATGGTGAGAATATTTTCATGAGTTGAAGATTGAATATTCCATTCAACGAGGCAAAGCCGAGTTGAGTGGAACATTCCATCTTCCAATGAATGAAAATATTCTCACTATTGTACGAATGCAAAACATTCATTTGTTTTATATAACATCCAAGTAGATCTTTGTCATTCGATTGGAGGATAAAACTTTAAGAACAAACAAAACTCACAAAATTGTATCATATCCACTCCTTTTTTCAGCTTGTTCAAGGCTTACAAAGGTTTAAAAGTCAAATCATTGACAATAATGAAAACTAACATTGTAAATTCTTAAAACAATGGAAAGAAAAAACATCAAGGCAACTGCCTCAACTTCAAAGGCAAGTTTTGTACTCCTATAATGCATGACATGGTCTAAATAGCGCAAAGATCGTATAGCGCCGGGCCGCAGCGCGTCTTAGCGTGCGCGCAGCATGCAATAGATTAAAAGGGATGGGACGAAAATGCACGGTGAATGGAACCAAAAATGCACGGTTATGATGTAGGCCGTGCAATGGTTCGATTAATGAATGCCGCGGAACCTACAATCCTCCAATCAAATGACAAGGATTTACTTGGGTGTTATATAATTTAAAATAATAACTGAATGCTGGCCCAACGTACCTCCTTTGCACTTGTCTGTCCATTGGACAATGTGGTGAAGATATTCTGTGCATTGTCAGTCACTAGTTGGACTGGGTCTATCTTGAGTTTGTGTAAGATGCTGGACCACAGATTAGGCTTGGCACAAACTGAAATCAAACAAACAAGAATCAGATGGAAACATAGTTAAGAAAGTATGCGTTTAAACTAATGTTATGCAAACCTGACACAAAACCAAAACCGACCCGAAACTGACTTCGGGTCGGGTCGGGTCAGAAATAAACCGAAAAAAAAAACAGTTTGGAAATTCACGTGGTGCAATATTATTGTAGGGCTACTGTGCCCGGTACAACCAACATCAACCCACCACACAAATGTGCACGTGGTTTGCAATCTATCACGCACAGTCTACAACCTGTAGGCCTACCAGTAGGTAAAGTTGTGTAGGTAAAGTCTTCACCAACCGTACGGTACGATTCTTTACTGAGAGATGACAATTTTCACGAGATGCGGGTAAGTTCAGACACAAAAAGCGTACACAGGGTTGCTAAAGTTTGTTTATCGTTTGTTTAATAGGGTTTTTTGTATCATTTCGGTTTGCAGTAACACCATGTGGTGATAACTGCTGCTCTGCAGATGTTTTGTTCTGAAAAGAACTTGTCGTGCTTGTTTTGTTTTTGTTTTTTTGGCTAATTCTCAACTGTTTTTTTTCTCCAGGGTAATATTACGTCTTTTTACTTGCAACGAAACTTTTTTTACTGGGGGGGGGGGGTTGGCATTTTTCTCATGTTTTGTTGAATTATTTTCCTTACTTTTTCTAATATTTGTTTTTTTTATTGCGTGTATTGAAACTTTTTTAATGTTTAATGTGGACATCCACAATAATTGGGTCTTTGAACTATAATGGGGGGGGGGGACATTTTTTTACCCGTTCTTTTTGTTGGACTATTTTTTTGTTTTGTTTTTTGCTTTTTATCTTGTTTTTTTCTCAACGTGGTATTTTGATGTTAATTTTAGGGGACAATAACTTTTTAGCATTGATACCTCTGCCATTTTTAATATATGCTTTTTTTGTTAACACATTTTTATAGATTTTTATAGATTTATATATATTCTTTGTGTAGCCAGAGGTATTGGAATTGAAGGCCTTCGGGCCACAGTTTTTAGGTAAACTTTTTAATTCCGGGCATATGCCCCTGGCTTTTGTCATGTTCGTTTTTGTTTTCTTGGTTTTTGGTTTTCTCTATATGTGAATGTTTGTTGTTTGTGTTTTTAATGCCGAATAAATAATAATAATAATAATAATAAAGCCAGAAAATCTTTTTTTGGGGGGGGGGGGAGTTGGTTCGGTTTTGGGTCCGTTCAGGTCGGTTTTTGCTTGATTTTCATCGCTTGGGGTCGGGTCGGATTTGGGGAGTTCAGATCGGTTTCGGATTCAGTTTATATCTGTAATGTTTCAGGTCGGTTTGTCCTGGTCAACCCGACCCGATGCACAACATCAGTTTACCCTAAAACGGAGATGAATTTAAGCAAAATTTGTCACTTTCTTTGTGTTTATCCAGACTTACCCAGATAAGGCTGATGCACATCCAATAACGCATCCAACACCAACATGCTAGCCTCCTCTCCAGTCAAGCATGAGCCGGTAGTCACAATGAGTGACTGGAGTGTCGAGGCTAGCACCATCGCTGATATACCTTGTCTAGACTCAGGATTGGTGGTCTCTCCATTGGTGGCATCAGTCTGGTTGGGGTCGATAATCTTAGATGGATAACAAAGATAATAATGTACTCTATAATCACACAGAATTAATTACTGGTTGGAAGAACAGTAAGTCAATTATCTAAATGTTAATAGAGTCTATAAAGTATCGAAGAGTATTATTTCAATTTAAAAAAAAAGCTATAGGCAACAGTTAAATTTTAAGACTGAATTTATGTACAGGAACATGGAAGTATGGCCTAGTGGTTAGGGTTGATGACTCATGATCAGGTTAGGAGTTCGAATCCAGCTGCTGGCTATATGTTTTGTCCTTGGGCAAGCCACTTCACCCCCATTTGCCTCTCTCCACCCAGGAGTATAAATGGGTACCGGCATTAGCTGGGGAGTAACCTGCAATGGACCAGCATCCCATCCAAGGGCAACAGAAATATTCTCACGTGGAGAGAAAGGAAGATGCCAGCTGGGTCAAGACGTGTACCAACATAGTCGTGGGAGGGCCCACACCCGTCGGCCGTCCACGCAAGACATGGCAGAGTTCTGTGACTGATGACATGCGACTGCTTGGACTCAATGCGAGGGACGTGATGGACAGGGCCAAGTGGAGAGGAGCCATAGGGAGAAAGCAGGCCAACCCAGAACAGACTGGACAACGGCCTCAAAACCGACGATGATGATGATGTTTCATGCCAAGGAAACTGGAGATAACACAGGCCTGGTGGGTCATAACTGGTTCGTGAGAACCTCATTTTAGTTATAGTTAATAACATGAAAATTGATTCCTACCTTTTGTGTTGGCATAGCAACCCTGAGTTCCTGCATCAGTGACCTTGCCACCTGGAGACCGTTGCCGCTCATGACCAGTCTCTTAGCAACCAGCAAGCCACTTTTTCTCAGCTTCCAAGATGGATGGAGGAGGGTTGTCACTACGGCGCGGTGGTACAACCTAGAGATCAAAACACGGCATGAGGATTTACTTCTGATGAAAACTTCGCCAGAGTGATTTTTAAAAATTTATATCCCAACACAAAGTCATTTATTTCTGGTAAGACTGTGATAATGGCCTGTGCACGTATAGAGCATACAACACCAGACTAAAGTCGACACGCAACTGCAGCTGAATTTCTGTGAAGTCTCCCCTGATTGGGTTTCATGTGGGGCGCGCGCATGAGTTTCTTGCAAAGGTGTATTGTATGTTCTACATGCGCACAGGCCGTTATCACGCCTGTAGACAAACCGTTCTGTACACTTTGTAAACGAGGTCAGATGAGTCGTTTATCCTTGTGTAGAGGATCCGTGATTAATCATCAGCATCGTTATCATTAACCATTGCATTTTGTGCTTTCGCACTCTCATTAGGCCTTTTACAAACGTGACACACAGACATCAGACAGATTTCAGACAGACAGACATCAGACAGACAGATAGCAGACAGACAGCATGCGATATTTCAATATACGATGTTGCCATATCAGATTCGTATCAGATTGAAATCAGCTAGACCATGCTGGATATCAGATCCAACCTGATTCAGCAGTTAAGCAGGTTTCTATTCTTACCTTTCGCTTCCAGTGTTGAGTTTGTCTTCATGCTCCATCAGTAGTTTCTCAGTAAGATGAAGTAACGTCTGCAAAGCTGGAAGCAAACATAACGATGTCATTACTTCCAAAGTTTCATTTCAAATAAAAACTTAGCTGTACAACTCATGAAATGATACAATCTATTTTGCCATCCAAACCAATTTATAGTTTCAAGTGAGATATTTTGTGTCGGCCATCTTGAAAGACGTACCTTCTTCTGATGCTGAAGATAGAAACTTCTCGGATACAACGAGCTGTTTATCAGGATCAGAAACAACTCCAAACACCCAGGCCAGCTTGGACTCTACAAGAAATAGAAGTTACCAAAAATATCAAGAGATTTAAGATGACTATGAGATCACTGATCATGCAGGTCATCAATTAAGCTTCATCTTAATAAAGTTCCAATATCCGTACACCTTTCAACTGTTCGACACCAGGGACCCCTCCTTTGGAATAAAATTAGATCTTCCTGCCCGATGACGTCAATTAGAGCATTTAAAATGAATTATAAAAACTTCTTCTCACTGCAGTTAAAGGGAATATACAACATTTGCAAACATCGAAAAATAAAACTACCAAGATTTTACGAAATACCTTACTAGGATGTTGATAAATGACAGTGGAAAGCATCCTGTAAAATTATGGCACCTGGTGTGAAGTAATTTTCAAGAAAATAGTATTTTTGTATAAATTTCCAACGGTGGTCGGCCGACCACCGTTGGAAAAACCTGACTATTTGTCAACTACTGATCTAAATTTACCATTTTTTCAGTCCAAATTTTGTTTGCTATTGGTTGCATTTTTATGAATGGGTGCAGGTAGGCTAGACTGGTTCCCTTACCTTACAATTTTCCGGCATCTATAAATATTGATCTATTTCATCTTGAGTGGAGTCAGGGAACCAGACTGCTTAAACATTTTAGTTTTTCTTGGTTTTTCCAGCATTTTCGAACACAAAACTTCAAACAAGTTAGTGTAATAATATTTGATCTATTATACTAACCCCTCAAATAGTTCATTTCTAAAAATTACAGCAAAAGCCAATGATGTACATTCCCTTTAATGTCAATGGTGATGAAGAGCAAAATTTTTACTTCATGTAACTTATTAATTTATTTAATTTGTTTATTAGATTTTGTAACTTTATTTGGTCATGAATTTAATGTAATAACATCTATTATTTATTATTATTATCTCATTTGGTTAATCATGAATTGTATAACTACATGTAGTCTTTGTGAAGGGGGCAGACCTAGTACAAGATTCGGCTTCTTGTCTGACCTCCCCATACTATTTTTTCATGTTCCATTTACAGTATTCAACTTAGTATGGAAATAAACCTGAAACCTGAACTGATATGTTTATTTCATTGTCATTTTTTCCCCGTTTTATTTTGTTGGTGCGCTTACCTGCTTCAATGTCTGCACCGTACATCAGTAACATGAGATACGCGGCCGACAGACTTTCTGTTACTATGGTTACCAGGTTGGATTGTGACTATTTCATTGTCATTATTATTTTCGTTTTATTTTGTTAGTCCACTTACCTGCTTCAATGTCTGCACCGTACATCAGTAACATGAGATACGCGGCCGACAGACCTTCCGTTACTATGGTTACCAGGTTGGATTGTGACTGAGCGCGCTCCAAGGATTGCTTGAGCAGAGGTAGAAGTGTCATTGCCTGAAGAAGGGTGTCACCTAGAACAATAAAGACAAACAAGAATTTGTTTTTTCTAAATTGCTTCATACTTCAAGGGTAGGTGTCTAGAAATGTGTTTAGGAGCTTACTTTATGAATATATTTGAACTGATTTATCTAGCATTACTAACCTTTGAAGGCGGCCAGCATGCACTGGATGTATCCGTTTCTCACAGCTGATGTGGACTGCTTGAGTGTCATTCCTTTCTGGAACCAATCAATTAACTTCTGCGGCACCTGACTGGTGAACTTGGCACACCACAATGACATCATGGACAGGGTGTGAACCAATGTAGCCTCATGAACTGTGATATCATTCAAGACAGGATTATTGGGTTAAATAGTTGCCGGTAGAAAATGAAGTGATATTATATACAGACAAATCTTGTTTGTTACTTAAATAAATTACTTTACAGCATATCTGAGACTTTCAAATGAGTTTCATAAATACGTAAGACAGTTTACCCATTCCTATTTGTCGAGAGCCCATCACGTGGCCAGTTTTAAACGGTTATAAGACATGGCTGGCTAGTCTTAGACACTTTTCCAGTGTCACATGCGATTTGGACTTACATGGGCATGCACAATACTACCAGCACTTCAAAGTCCAAAATTCACAATACACCGGCACAGCTGCGTTCTGTGCCACATCGCGCCGTATGCGCGACACGTGAGCCAATCTCCATATAAAGAGTTTTTTACATCTACTTGCGAGACTGAATATACCATAATATAGCTAGAGGGGTGTCCCAAAAACATGAAGTAAAATTGTTGAACAAAATCGTTGGAAATGTATATTTTTTGACTTGTTTTGACTTTTAGGACTGAAAAAGTGTGATTTTTTTTACCAAAGAGGTTTTGGCTCAGGTAATTATCAGCATCCAGACTCCAACTGGTCTTAAACGTAGTGTTTACAACCGGCCAAGCACATAATTATTCCCTTAATGTATACACATGGGAAAAGGTCAGAAACTATGCACATCTGAGCTCACTAGATTTAAGACTGACTTGCCTTCTTGTTGTAGTGGTCCAATGAACTGTTCAATGACTGTAGATGTCAGTGAGTGGACAGACCCACTACCCATGACTCCATTGTAGCTGAGATGACCGATACCAGACAGCATACTCATACGCTGGGTCACGATAGTAAGCTTGCCCTCAGAACCTAACGAAAAAGAGTGGACAAGAACTCAGTCATTTGTAGCTGAGATGACCGATACCAGAGAGCATACTCATACGCTGGGTCACGATAGTAAGCTTGCCCTCAGAACCTAACGAAAAAGAGTGGACAATAACTCAGTCATTTGTAGCTGAGATGACCGATACCAGACAGCATACTCATACGCTGGGTCACGATAGTAAGCTTGCCCTCAGAACCTAACGAAAAAGAGTGGACAATAACTCAGTCATTTGTAGCTGAGATGACCGATACCAGACAGCATACTCATACGCTGGGTCACGATAGTAAGCTTGCCCTCAGAACCTAACGAAAAAGAGTGGACAAGAACTCAGTCATTTGTAGCTGAGATGACCGATACCAGAGAGCATACTCATACGCTGGGTCACGATAGTAAGCTTGCCCTCAGAACCTAAGGAAAAAGAGTGGACAATAACTCAAGTCATTTGTAGCTGAGATGACCGATACCAGAGAGCATACTCATACGCTGGGTGACAATAGTAAGCTTGCCCTCAGAACCTAACGAAAAAGAGTGGACAATAACTCAGTCATTTGTAGCTGAGATGACCGATACCAGACAGCATACTCATACGCTGGGTCACGATAGTAAGCTTGCCCTCAGAACCTAACGAAAAAGAGTGGACAATAACTCGGTCATTTGTAGCTGAGATGACCGATACCAGACAGCGTACTCATACGCTGGGTCGCGATAGTAAGCTTGCCCTCAGAACCTAACGAAAAAGAGTGGACAAGAACTCAGTCATTTGTAGCTGAGATGACCGATACCAGACAGCATACTCATACGCTGGGTCACGATAGTAAGCTTGCCCTCAGAACCTAACGAAAAAGAGTGGACAAGAACTCAGTCATTTGTAGCTGAGATGACCGATACCAGAGAGCATACTCATACGCTGGGTCACGATAGTAAGCTTGCCCTCAGAACCTAAGGAAAAAGAGTGGACAATAACTCAAGTCATTTGTAGCTGAGATGACCGATACCAGAGAGCATACTCATACGCTGGGTGACAATAGTAAGCTTGCCCTCAGAACCTAACGAAAAAGAGTGGACAATAACTCAGTCATTTGTAGCTGAGATGACCGATACCAGACAGCATACTCATACGCTGGGTCACGATAGTAAGCTTGCCCTCAGAACCTAACGAAAAAGAGTGGACAATAACTCGGTCATTTGTAGCTGAGATGACCGATACCAGACAGCGTACTCATACGCTGGGTCGCGATAGTAAGCTTGCCCTCAGAACCTAACGAAAAAGAGTGGACAAGAACTCAGTCATTTGTAGCTGAGATGACCGATACCAGACAGCATACTCATACGCTGGGTCACGATAGTAAGCTTGCCCTCAGAACCTAACGAAAAAGAGTGGACAAGAACTCAGTCATTGTAGCTGAAATGACCAATAACAGACAGCATGCTCATACGCTGGGTCACGATAGTAAGCTTGCCCTCAGAACCTAACGATATATCATAAAAGAGTTGACAATAACTTAGCCATTTAAAATATGAAAAGAGACATGCATACAATAGTCCTTTTTACATCTGAATGAACCCCTGTCATCTGATTAGTGGGTCGTCATTGAATTATTTGCCCCAACCCACGGCAAAAATAGAAGTTCTATTCCACAGTACAAATGTAAATAGAAGTTCTATTGTACGGTCATATGATTGGTGGCTCTAACCAATCAGATGAGGAGGATTTAGTCAGGTGTTTTATTAAACAAATAGTGAATGCATCACATTCGTGCAATGGAAAGAATAATTTCATTGGGTGACAGATGGCATGTTCCATGCCACTCTGATCGCCTCGTGGAATGGAACAACCATCTGTCACCTCAGGAAATTATTCTTACCATTGCACTCATAAACTGTGAGTTTCTTTGAAAGAAACAAAAGAATCGTTGCATAATCAACAACTTTTAGTGTTTTAACCATGCGTTCACAATTGACATCGTTTTACCGCTGGAAAATCTTTTGCTTTTAAATCCTATATTTAGCTTGTAAATAGGTGTTACTTCAAAACGAGCTTTATCGTAGTCATGAATAATTCTTTCAAGCTTAATTTAGATATTTGGATATGTTTGTTTTCTGACATAATGCCTAGTTTACCATTCAGGACTGCAAAGAAGAGCGTCGCTAGTTGTTGTATTGCTTCTCCATCACTACACTGCATAGCAAGATGTTTAGCAGCAACGGCTGCTTCATCTCGCAATGTGTCTTCCTTAGCATGTAACTGAGCTGAAACGAAAACACAAAGCAAGAAAAACACTCAAGATCATTTCAGTCAAACTACTTGCTAACATAGCAAATCACTGGTTCTCTTCGTACATTTTTGTGGCTTGAAAACATCTCACAAAGGATGAGACAAAACAAGACAATTTCAATGCACATTTCACACATCTTTCTCTGTTTTCCAAAATGAAATTTACTTGGACTTAATTAAGAATATTATGTCTCATAAAATTTAAATTTACACTTGATGACTTACTTGCAATGTTCTTGCCTAGATCCGGAGCATACTGACTCAAATCCAGAGAAACTCCACTCAACAAGTAACCAACAGCTGTACATGAAAACCAATTAGGGAAAACATTATTACTCAATTACTCAATGTACCAAATGTTTCTAGTGCAATTTACTCTTACAAGTCCACTTCTCATTCTTTCTTATCCAAGGTTTGAGTGGGTTTTAACAATTTGTTTTTGCTTCGGCTGAATTAAATATAACCTCTTCTGAATGTTTGCGTAAAGCTTACGCACCAACCCTAGCAGTCTTCTAAACAACACACTAGGTGTCAAAGGCAACAAATTATGGGGAAAAGCTAAAAACAACCTTTGAACCTTGACTTTCTCCCGTTTCTGGTATAGGAAAGTTTCAGCATTGTGTAATGTCTGTGACAGAGCATTTAAGAGCTCAGTGAATAAACCTGAAAATGTATTTTTCAAATCTTATACATCCATCATCTAGTGATGGTCAAGGAGATTACAGACTAGGAGTTTGGGATCATTTCTTTGAATCATTAACCGTTACTCCTGGACATTTTTGCTAGGATGCAACCTCAATCCTGCAAAATCCTCCAACTGCCTCAATGTCAAAATTGCATACAGCCTCAATCCTGCAAAATCCTCCGTTATTTCTTGAATGTGGTCCTTGGAGGGGTGCCCCTGCCTCAATCCTGCAAAATCCTCCAGCAAACACTGTCAGTATGTTGAGGCAGAGCCAGTGACATCCTGGAGCAGTGCAGAGGTTTTCAAGTATAATCTAGGCCTAAATTTTTGCACGGCTGAGCATAAACAACACAAGGTCTGGCCTATGACCTTGACACAGTGCATCCTCCAAAATCAGCCACACATTTTTGCCATGTAGCCTCAATCCTGCAAAATCCTCCATTTTGTAAATAGGATTTTGGAGGAATTGGGAAGGTTAGGGTTAATTAGATACCATGATTAAATGGCTGTGTCACGGACATTACAGACGTTAAATTTTCTTTCCTAATGCTGGAATTGCTCCATAACTGACAGAAAAGTAAAGACTGTACACATTGTATGGAGAGGTACCTTGCATGACGTTCTCCGGACTTCTCAGCATTGCTTTCTGCACAGCTGGAAGAATGACTTGTTTGAACTGCTCATGATTGACTTGGCACAACAACCATTTACAAACAACCTAGTAGGAGGAGCAATTACAAATATCAAAACATCGTTTAAGAATACGATTAAAAAATGCACAATGCTGGTCAACTGACTTATCGTTTAAATAAGCTTAAGTAAGTTGAGCTAGACTTAAATTTTCAATGCTGCTCATCTAGGAATTTGTAAAATTATGAAGTGCAACTAATTCTGTGGACTTTGACAAAATACCGGTTAGTCAAGATATTGGGAGGAAATTGCTGAGGTACAAGAAGAGGGGCCTCGTAGCCGAGCGGTTAGAGCGTGGAGCTATGGAGTGGAAGGTTGGTGGTTCGAATCCCATTCGGACCAAAAACTGGAAAACTCTCTCTGACGACCCAACAGTAAGATCTTTACCTTTTTATTTACCTTTTACAAGCAGATAATATGATGACTAGAGCAGGCTAGTCAAAACGTTGAGACCAAAGACAAGTTCTTTTAGAACTTAAAGCAGGACTGTTCTTACCAGCACTATAACTACTTTAATAGCGAAAGTTGATAATAAGCAGGACAAGTTCTTATCAGAACTAAATATCTGCTGAGCGACAGTAGTTATTACCACATGGTGTTACCGCAAACCAAAACGATACAGATAATAATAGGTCTTTTGTTTACATACCAGAACATGAACGGGAGCTTTGCGTTTGCCTCCAAAGACTGTCTTGATGTATGCGTCTAGGAAGGCTGTACTGTAAGCACTGATAGTGCTGCTAAGCTTACTCTCAGTACAATGTTGCATCAGTAAGCTGATAATGCACAGTTTGTGGAAGGAATGATCAAGTTTAGACAACGTCTCAGCGTAACTGCCGACTGCATCTGGATTCTAAACGAAAAAGAGATTTACTTTAAACACAATCTGAGTCATCAGATATACAATATTGTTTCACCTCATTCATATTCATGAGGCAATCCAATGATTTCATTGGTAAGAAGCATTAGCAAGACAATTGTGTTTCACCTCATTCATATTCATGAACCAATCACATCATTTCATTGGTTAGAAGCATTAGGCAGACAATTTTGTTTCATCTCATTCATATTCATGAGCCAATCCCATCATTTCATTGGTTAGAAGCATTAGGCAATTTTGTTTCATCTCATTCATATTCATGAGCCTATCCCATCATTTCATTGGTTAGAAGCATTAGGCAGACAATAGCGTTTCATCTCATTCATATTCATGAGCCAATCCCATCGTTTCATTGGTTAGAAACATAAGGTAGACATTATTGTTTCACCTCATTATATTCATGAGCCAATCCCATCATTTCATTGGTTAGGACAAGCACTGAATAGACATTGTTTCATCTCATTCATATTCATGAGCCAATCCCATCATTTCTAGACATTGTTTTACCTCATTCATATTCATGAGCCAATCTCATCATTTCATTGGTTAGGACAAGCACTGAATAGACATTGTTTCATCTCATTCATATTCATGAGCCAATCCCATCATTTCATTGGTTAGGACAAGCACTGAATAGACATTGTTTCATCTCATTCATATTCATGAGCCAATCCCATCATTTCATTGGTTAGCATGAGAGTTACCTGTTTCCAGACATTCTTGAGTTTCCTTTCAGCAGATTTGATGAGTGACTGGTAGTCAGTGCCTAGTACAGCCGAGATTAACCCACACTGGGCTTCAATCTGAACGACAAAACAAACAATTCAATATAACAGTTTGTATTATGTTGCTTGCAATATCATAACTTAAACCATTGCTATGATGTCACACCACTGTTAAAAGTGTACATTCGGAACTACGAATCTTTACTTTGAACATGTTGGACAATTGTTCTCCATAATGAGCATTAATAGGACCGTCTGCATGAAAACTTTCCTTCTGTAATTACAAATGCATCTTCACTGTCAGATTCTCCGCCGTCGCTGCAAAAAATCGTCGTTTGAACTATCCATATAGACGTAAAGAGCCTACACACAAAGTGACTTGGTTGTATGGGTGTGGCGATACACATGCTAAACACACCACAATACTTGATTAACAATAAGAGCCTCGAAAGACTCCTTTGTAAATTACTCTAATGGCCATGACTGGACACGAGTTATGCAAGTCTTTTCATCTCCACTCACTGGACTGTTAATGACAATACTTCTTTTGATGCAATGGTTTAAGTTGAAGAATACACTCGCAAGTGTGGATTCTTAATTTACGAATTCACTCGGCGCTTTGCACCTCGTGAATTCTTAAACTAAGAATCCACACTTTCTTGTGTGTTCTCCTTAACAAAAACCACAGAAACTACATGTAAAACAAGCCCAATTTCTTGAGGTACGATTGCTACACATACCAGATCATTCCATGCTTCACCAGTCTGCTTGTCTTTGGAATCGAATGCAGTAAGAACAATCACACATGTCCAGCCTAGCGCAGCAAAAGCAGCACCTCCTGAAGTGGGTCTGTCAATAAAAACACAGATGCAAATATCATAATGCAGTATTGCCAATTGGAGAATACTCAACGTTAAGACGTTGAAATTGACTATTTTGCATATTGGTCAGCACATGATCCTACGAGGGCGCTGTTGTGACCAGCTCATAAGAGCTAAACGATGGCATGTAACATGCTCACACCGGTGCATGCATACATCAAGCCCAGCAAGAAGATATGAACTGCATGAGACCAACTTTCAATTTGAATTTTTAGTATAACGAAGTGCCGGGATCCAGGAAGGCGATGTCTCAAAGGAACAATGACTGAGTGCTTAACAAATGCCCTGCAAACATGATTTTGTTAATTAAAAGTATGGCAGGGCAGTGGATGGAAATTTTGTCTGTCTGTGACTATTGAATAGCAAGAGGGTTAAAATGGAGTTAAAACACACACAAGGGCAAGTGGCACGCTACAGTAGACTATTCAGATTTAAAGGGAATATACATCATTTGCTTTTGCTGTAATTTTCAGAAATGGATGGAATTGGGGGGTTGGAAATATATAGCAAATATAGTTACACTGACCTTTTTGAGGTTTTGGGTTCAAAAATGCTATGAAAACCAAGAAAAACAATCATTTTCCTGTAGTCTGGTTCCCTGACTCCATTTAAGAAGAAACAGAGCAGTTTACATACGTTGGGGAATTGTAAGGTCAGGATTGCAAACAAGAACGATGGTCAACTGGGGCCAGTATTTGAAAAAAAAGCCAGTTCTTTCCAACGCTGATCAGCCGATCAGCGTTGGAAATTGATACAAAAATACCACTTTTCTTGAAAATGACAGCATACCAGGTGCCATGATTTTACAGGATGCTTTACACTGTCATTCACTAACAGTCCAGCAAGGTATTTCAAAATGATTTGGTAGTTTTATTTGTTGATGTTTGCAAATGTTGTATTTTCCCTTTAAGACGAGGTCTGTTTATAACTTACGATGGATGTACGTTCCTCTCCTTCTGTGCAAAACTTGTCAGAAACTTCAGCAGAGGTTTGGTTGCGTCTTGGCCATATTTAGATATGAGCGCTCTGATGACATCTTGGACAGCTTTGCGTGACTTGGAATCCTTGTAACGCTCCAGAGTTAGAGGAAGTAGCTTGATCAACAACTTGCAGGCATTATCAGGAAAATCTGCAACACAAAATCGTAAACATATCCATGAAAACCGTCGGACATTCTGAAACAGCAAGCACACTTGCTGCACTTTCAATAAAGCTGGAAAGACTCCCATATCTGGCCATCACTTGCCACCCTGTGCACAAACCCTATGAGACTGGTCAGAAAATTTCTGTGTTTTCTGAGTAAATACTTCAATATTTTCCCTGCTAAATTTGACTTTTTAGGACATATTATCACTTTTTGATGGCTGATATGATAGGTCTTAGACAGGACATCTGGTAACTGTGGACACGGTGGAGTGTGTTACTTTGTCAAATACCACCTAAAATTCTTGCCACATACCACATATCAATAAACACTGATTTTTAACTCACATTGATTCCTGTGTGCTATAACCAGATAACCCTAAGTCCCCTAACTTACTTCCATGGTGAATTCACTGTTTAGAGTGAGAGTGAGATAATTCTTGGGCAAGTTTACCATATGTGAAGTTCACTAATTTTCCTCTGTATTGACTAACAAGCCCCCAGATAGCAATTTCATGTCATCAAAGTCAATTTGAGCAGTGAGACAATACAAGCATTTTCTTAGAAAACACTTAGAATATTTCAATTCAATCTCATAGGGTTTGTACACAGGGTGTTGAGTGAACTTCGTATATGGAAATCTTTCCAATTCTTATTTATGCATGTCGGGATTCACTTTATTAAAAGTGTTCTTTACGTGTGGATATTGTTAATGTTTTGTTCCATGCTCTAGTCAGGGGAAAGGCCTTGGTTGTAAAAGAAGTTTCAAGACTACCCCGATCCTGCCGATCGAAAAGTATCGACTCTTCTAAAGTTCTAGTCGATGTAGTTGAATCATGGAGGAATAAAAATGAATGAGCTTACCAGCTTTGGCGATAAAACCTGACAAATCCGACAAAAGAAGACACCTTTCCTTTGTCTTGGATGTTGTCACCTTACAGAAGAAGTCCTTCAGTAGTGCTGACGGCTCTGGTGTCGTCATTTTGACAACAAATGCCGTAAATTCGGCACAAGAAAACTCCCTCAGTTACACGTGTCGATACAGGTACATATGGGTACAGTACATGTACGTATACACACATGCATTGTGCATACGTTGTGCAATACATGCGTATGTGAATAGCGCCTGGCGCCCTCATGCGGTTGGTTTTGACCAACCCGTATCTCTTGGGGCGGGGTGAAAGCAATGGGGGGGGGGGGGGGGGAAGTCAACTTAATATTTGGCCGGCATCATTATTTTATTCTCCTGACTTTGTGAACTTTCGTCATCCCACTGCTCGAATGACAACCCTTCGAGTTTTAATTCCATTAATTTGAAAAAAAATTGTATATAAATCCAATGGCACGAATATTCGTCAACAAAGACCCCTGCGCGCGGCAGGCTTTCAGAGTTGCAGGGCTCTGGTGTAGAAGTCTGTCAAGCAATATGTTTTGAATATTCATTATCCTACGTTTTTGGTCTTTATTATTGAATTCTGAAAAGCGATAACTACATAACGAGATTTGGGTAAACGGTCCTCAGAAAAAGTGTCACATTTGACGTTTATTTCCCGGGTAAATACTTCATCTATGACGACAAAAACTGCACAATACCATCTAATATATCCTGAAGTACATTTAGGCCCTATTTTTTTTTTAAATTTTGGAATAAGTATTACATAAGGAGTAGTTTTGCTCACAGTGTATGAATATTCCGTTTTAGACCGACAAATGGCCCACCACGTACATTCGCGATAAACATGGCAATGGGTATTAATGCCCGTTATCACGCGTCCAACCAATGATTAAGGCAAGTCCGCTCAGTGCATTTTGTACTAGAGCTCATAACAGTCGCTTATCCTTGTGTGTAGGATCCGTGCAACATCTCTGTGTATTTACCAGATCACACAGTAAATGCAACCGACAATTGCCCCGGATGCGGGGGATACAATGGGGGCGATTGCCCTCCCACCCCCACCCCCACCCCAAAAAGGGGGGGGGGGGGCGGGAACGATCCCATTTTTTTTTTAAAGTGACTTCCCTAAAGAAAGGGGTACACCACCATCTTTTCATGAAACAAAATTTGTTAAGTGGAAATTACCTCAAATCGCACCACAGAGCATCTAGAATCAAACAAATGTATCTAAATGTATCTAAAACGGTGGGTAATACTTGGATATAAACATACCTAAAACAAAACTCAGCACCAGTTACAACTTCACAATTCTCAAAAACACACCCTTTTCAATATCCCTGAATACAATTGATAAAAGGCAAATATTTAAATAAAACGGAGTACTTTTGTTAAACCTTAAACAGTAAGTATATTTTTAACGTTATCATATTTTGTCTAGACCTGTCTCCGTCTTCGCCAACAGCTACATGTGCTAGGGAACAAGCCGACAATAGACATAGCCGCATCAATTAAAATTCAATTTCGGACACGACCTAATTTAAAAAACGTTTTAAAGCCCGATTAAATAAAGAGGCAGCGACTCATTTGATGATATAGGGGGCGCTATTTATAAGTTCATTCAACGCCGACTCATTTGATGATTAAGGGGGCGCTGACAAAAAATAGGCTACAAAGCCGAATCATTTGATGGATAGGCCATAAACTTAAAGTTCAAAGCTCATTTGATGATATAGGGCGCTATTTATAATGTATACATTTCTGATGAACTTCAAAGCCATTCATTTGGTGATATAGGGCGCTATATGATATACTTCTTATTAAGTCGAGTACCAAGCCGACTCATGATGATATAAGGGGGCGCTATTAATGATTTATAGACTTCTAATTAAGTTCAAAGCCGATTCATTTGTTAAAAGGGGGCGCTATTTATGACGTGCAGGCTTCTTATTAAAGCTGACTAGCGTTAGCCCTTTTCCCGAGACAACGTCGATGAAAAACCACTTGTTAAGAAGAAGAAGGGGGGGGGGGGGGCCTACGTTCTCATGATGTACTTAATTTCAACTAGGCCTACTTCTCTCCATTGCTCATGTTCGTTATCCCGTTTTGAAGAAGGGTGTCAGTCTCTTGCATGATTGCATTCCAAGCAAACGTTATATCCTGAGACGTGGTCTGATCTGAGCATACAGCGAATCGGATGATGAATTGTTTATTAAGATGACTCCCAACCATGAAGATTCTGCCTGTCTTGTTGATTTGCTGTAGAAGCTCCTCGTTTTGAGCATCAGAGCCCTGCGAAAGAGATTAATCATTAATGTCATTATCAACATCAATAGTGACATCATCATAATGTCGCGCAACCGTCAATGTCGTTGTGACCGTTCCTTATTGACATCACTGTCATGCGTCGCCAAATTGTCGTGATCGTCTTGTCACAGTCATATTATCAGGAATATTATTTGAGACAAAAGCCCACTGACCTTCAGACGAAAGCACACTAGACCAAGCACCACATCCGCAACGATCTCGAATCTTGAATCTGTCCTCACTAAAGATTCAAACTCATGAGCTAGGCTGACTTGCTGCAGTGTGAATGGAAATAAATGAAATCGTAATCGATTTAATGTTTCAGATAGGGGTTTTGCGTCTCCTCTTTTAATATCTCTTTTGACTTTGAAACTATAGGATTTCCTGGCCAATTTCCTGAAATGTTCATTCACTTGTAAAAATCGGACATTCGTTTTCGTCTGAATTTGAATGCACGTCTTTTATACCATTTCAATTCAACGAAAGTTCATTCGTTTTCATTGTCCGTGCATTCGGTTTTGAGAAACGGACGGCCAATTACGTTACCTGTGCACTCATTTACGCAAGCATACCTTTTCTAAATTGATTTCAGGAACAGCTAATTTGAATGACGGTTAATGAAAAAGAAACCCCTAGTTGTATTTGGTGCCGATGGCATTAAACTAAAAGTGAAATAGAATGGTGAATGTTTGAAATCGCCCTCTAAAAGTGAAAAAGAAATCGTGTAAACGAATCCGAATGGACTTAAACGAAAGGTGCTGCTCAATCACTTAATTGATTGAACTGAAATGGAATCGAATGCTCTGGTAGCGAAAATGAAACGCGTGTTCAGAGCGATTTTCAAATTCAGTCGAAAACGAATGACAGATTTTCAGAACTGAATGAACATTTTAGGAAATTGGCCGGGAAAACCTATATTATAGTTCCACATATTGCCTGAAGCAAGACATCGTTCTGTGTTGATACTATAGGTTTCCCGCACATTAAAAAAAAAATTCATTCAAATTTAAACGGTTAACTTCAATTTCGTCTCGAGAAGACTGGGACGCGCAAATACTGCAATGAATTTAGTCATTGGTCATTCCGAATGATCAATGGTCAAACAGTTCCAACATTTGTCCATTCGATGTCGTCAGATTCCAATGGATTTCGTCTCACCTGTGATCATCTACATAATAAGTGGCGTACCCAGGATTTGGCTTGGGGGGGGGGGGGGGCTCGGGAAAAAAAAAATACAAAAATGCTGCCCAAAATTGTTGGCCGCAGAAAAAAAAAGATTTTTTTTTGTGGGGGAGCGGACTATTTGACGTTGGTGGCGCCACCTACACCTCTATTATACTACCCGAAAATAGGCCACATACATATCACCAAGGTCAAATCGCGGGACTAAAAAAAAAAAAGAAAAAAAAATTGACAACATCTTGGGGGCCTCAAGCCCCCCCCCCCCCCCAGTGCGTCACGTACTGTTAACATAATGTTAGGATTGAATACGTCTTTGTTCAATCGATTTCAATAAATGTTCATGCTGGTATACCATGCACAGACGTACCCTATTTGGCACGGTGTATTGCAAGACAAGAAATTGAAGGTTGAACAACCTATCCTAAGGACAAGAAGAAGAACTGAATTGACTGTTTTCCAAAAGATGTGAAATGTGAATGCATTTTGCTTTTTATAATTATGGACCTACTTATCCCTTGCATTAAATGGAAAGTATGCATTTTCATTTGCCTGTTCATTCATTATTTCTTACAGTTGTTGACGCATAAAATTGTCAAAGAGCTACATGGATACACAAATAAGTATTGAAAAAGATTTCAATATTAAATAATAATTATTACATGAAAAATGCTTATTTTAGGTTATAGACATACGTAAACAAGGAGAAAATAAGCAGAAACAACAAAACAAAGTAAATATGTTTCAAGTAGAAATGAACAGATGAAAACGTAAAAATAACGAAGATTTGACGAATTTGAATGAAATGTATATACAATTGATTGCAGAGGACAAAATTGATTCCTCTATCGTACGTTCGGCAATTGCAGACGACGAAATTGAATTGTCTTTTACGAAAAAGTATGGACATTGGACAAGGTATGAAATTGTTTGAACAAATTGCGAATATGCTTGACCAAAGACGAAATTGAACATGGGGTATGCAAGCTCATGAATTTTCAAGCCAATTACGTGAATTACCCATTAGAACCGGACCCGAGTTTGCCTATGACAAACTCGGGTCTGTACTCACCGGTTTGGGACGGAGCAGTTTTCAACATGACCTTCCATCTGACCAAATGGTAACCCCAACAGTCCTGAGTCCTCCAATTTTAATAGATTTTGCACACCCCTAGGGAGTTAGGGTTACGTGGCGTAGACAGGTGGTTTATGGCACCACTGCCTGTGAGTTTACTGACCAAAAATATCTACACAAATCTACTAGGTTGTTATTTATACTGTAAAGTAATGGAAACAGTGTCAAAAGTTATTATTCAAGCAACTTTGAATCATAAAAATCGACCGGACATATCCCGAGCAAGGAAATAAGAAACAGTCAGACTTTTTTTCTAATTCTACCTCCATTGTTCATGCTTTTCATGCCAGATGGCCGATGCACATGCTGTGATTGATAGGGCAATTACCACAGCTAATGGTCACTGACCCTGGGGACCCTACAGCTGGTAGGGGTCACAGTAGTGAAACTGGTGAGAAGAACTTTCACAGTTTTTGGCTAAAGGGAGTTTCACGTAATGCGAAATTGAAGTAAACCGTTTGTGAATTTGAATGAAAACATTTTTAAAATGTGCAGGAAAACCTTTATCTTTCATAGACAGCTCTAGAGAATTTGCATCGGCTTTGATGTCAGTGATGTTTGTTGTGAATGAAAAACATCATGACGGATTCTGGCAGTACGACAATTGCAATCTGTGACATAGTTTACCGTATGTTATCTGTGACATAGTTTACCGTATATTATCTGTGACATAGTTTACCGTAATTATTGGTATACCATATATTGCTGAATGGAACCTATAACGACAGGAATATTTGGGACAACAAACCTTTCTGACGTGCTGCTGAAGTTGCGACACGCCAAAGAGTCGAAGAACGAACCACAACTTGAGTGAACGGAATCGTCTACCTAGTGGTATGTGCCAGTGCTAGAATAAGAAAACAACATTTGGGCGATCGTTTTTGAAAACGTGTAGGTAGTTTCACGAGCATAACATAATGTAAAAATGTACGTCCGATACGTTGAGGAAAACGAGAAATTGTAATTAGTCCGAAAGGTTTACAGTGTGCATAGACATTTTGGCGATTATTTTTAATTTGAATATATTAAACCGACCCAACAGTAACATCCATCTCATTATCCTACACAACCTGTGAAGATGGTAGGATTAACGGTAACAAAACCGTCAAGTTATTCTTCATATTTCATGCAGTATTCACTTACTCACCCTATAATCAACCACTTTTCCTTCATGTTCGTGTTTGAGATAGGTCGGGTCAACTTGGAAGGCACCTTCCAAGTCGGTCTTGTTCCGGACCCACATTGCTGAACAATCAAAGTTCACACGCATCCATTTATGCGGATTGAAGTTGAAAGAATCGGCCAACTTTATAGACAAAGAAAAAATACTAAAACGATTAAAGACAACTCTTCAGAAATAATGCAAGTACGTTGGATTTTTTACGCTCAAGCTCTTACATCGTGTATTCATTTTAATATAGGTTTTCCCGGCCAATTTCATGAAATGTTCATTCACTTCTGAAAATCGGTCATTCGTTTTCGTTTGAATTTGAATGCACGTCTTTATTCCCATTTCAATTCAACGAAAGTTCAATCGTGTTCATTGGCGTGCATTCGGTTTTGAGAAACAGACGCTGTGCATTCATTTACGCAAGCATGCCTTTTCTAAATTGACTTCAGGTACACCTAATTTGATTGACGGTTAATGAAAAAGAAACCCCTAATTTTATCTGGTGCCGATGGCATTAAACTAAAAGTGAAATAGACTATAGTGAATGTTTAAAATCGCCCTCCAAATGCGAAAAAGAAGTCTTGTAAACGAATCTGAATGGACATAAACGAAAGGTGCTGCTCAATCACTTAATTGATTGAACTGAAATGGAATCGAATGTTCTAATAACGAAAACGAAACGCGTGTTCAGAGCGATTCTCAAATTCAGACGAATATGAATGACCGATTTTCAGAAGTGAATGAATATTTTAGGAAATTGGCCTGGAAAGCATATATTACTGCATAACTTTGAATAATTTTGAAGAAGTATACAATTGAACGAACCTCCACCCCATCGGCTAGCGATCTAAACTCTGGGCAGATGAATGCGGTACCAGCGTATGCAGCATCGACATGTAACCATATACCCTCGTCTTTACCTGTAGTATGATTACATATGGTACATGCTATAAATTCTACCATTTATAAATAGGTACAAAATGTACATAAAACTTAATTGTCGAAGTCATTTTCCTCATTCATGCGAGTGTTCTGGTATATAATCTATCGACGAGTCACTGCATAATTAGTAAATTCATACTCACATATTGGTCCTATTTCTTCAAGGTTATCGAAGGCACAGGATGGTGTAGTACCCAAAGTAACACAAACCTGGAATAAACCATTTTCAATAAATCACATTTAAAAATAAATTATTCGAATGCCGGAAAGATTGTCGCTAGAAATTCGACAGTAAAGGTACAGTTTAAAAATATACTTCCGAATCCCTCGCTTTCAGAATGTCAAATAACATTTACTGGACAAAAAACGTTCAGAGTCGTGCTTTACAAATTTAAGTTAAAAGCTTCAAACGTTGATATGATTCTTCTTACAAATAAATTGTTTTGAGGTTTGAATCGGATAACTTACAAATGTTGGAATGAGTCTCTTGGCCTTGTCTTCTTGGATCGCCTTCGCCAGCGTTTTTCCTCGTAAGGCATGTTTCTCGTCGCATGGCAACATTCTCATTCTGACGGAGCTGATCATAGACGCCCTCTCCACGGATGAATGGGCCTTGCGAATGAATCGTCACAAACAGACATTAGACTCTACATTTACATCGATCTGAATTTAATTGATGTTAAATTTTAAATTCATATTTTGTTTTATTTGCATGTTTCAATATGCGGGGGAAATATGAAGTCTGTTAAGTTTTCCGAAAGGATATCTCAGAGTGGGGAGCAGAATTGTTTTGAAAGACTTACATATTCTGACGTGTAAGCCACGAGTTTGGACATGATCTCGTATTGGTCCCTGTCTGGTTGTAAAGCTGTTTCTTGGCGGATCGTTCTCATCTTAGCAGAGAGAAGAGCCATGCAGGTGCTTTCACTGGCTGTTCCCTGGGAAGGAAAAAAAGAGTTCATGAACATTGATCACATACACCATCTCTTTGATAAAAAACACCGAGACAAAAAGATAATGCCGACTTTCTACGCTTTGTGTTTATTGTGGGAGGATTTACCTGAATAACCCCGCCCCCTTGTCCACCTTCAGCGCATGACAGGAATGCATCCGGGAGCTGTAGCATCTTACCAAGCCAATCTAATGTTACCATCTCCAGCTCAGTGCAGGCTGGACTGCTGATCTACATAATCAGAGACAATTAAAATTCGTTCATGAATAATTCGAGCTAAAAATATTCAAACCAGCAGGCCCAAATACTTCAGGATTGGTGTATGGCATTATGTTATCTTATAGGAGAGGAATGGGTAAAAACAATCTAATTTTGAATCCGTCCTGATTTGTCGTTTTGGGGAGAAGAAATAAATCCTCATATTGATAATAGACTATAGCCCGAAGTAAACATGTAATCAATATACAGAAATAATGTGTATATAAGGACCGGGTTCGAGTCCCATCCCAGTGATATTTTCCAACTTTCACTCGGGAGGTAACACACCGAGCATGCAGTGTTTTTATACGTCGGTGAAGGGCAAAAACCTACATTTCATTTACATCACCCCGACGCAAAAATCCATCTTATGGATATAATGCTTGGAAATTTTTAGATTTTTTGAAGTTATTTGTAAGGGCTCAAAAATTTACTCAAAACTCTGCGCTAACCAAATTGCCAGTGCATGGAACATGTTGCGTTTCAAACACAACGTAACGATCAGTGTGTTATTATAATGAGGCAGAGAGTATGGATTTCTTACCCAACTGAACCCAATGCAGCCGATAGCATCAGACAACATGTCTCCCAGAATAGCAGCGTAAGAATTACCAGTGGGGAAGTAGGAATGAAAGTGTGGAGAATGCCAATGGGTAACCTGTATGCATAGAACAAGAGATTTTCCATTCAGCAATGAAATAACAATCGTGCCACAAGTAGTAAAAACAATAACACCCCTCAAATAAAAAAAAAAATCCTTGGATATACGATTAATTAAACCTCATAAACAACAGGTAGACGAAATATTCTAAATGAATTTGAGAATGGCTGACAAAATTGGCACAGGTGACCGTGTTAAGCAATCTGTTATTAAACGATGCAAGCTTATAATTGTTGCAATGTTCTTGTTCCCTTTATAGAATCAAGTACGATACGTGGGCCAGGATATTTGATCTGGATTGAATCGGGACATCTGCTCGCCTACGGCAAAACCGTCTGATACCATGATACCATGAATTAAAACGAGAAGCTTGAATTAGAACGAAAATGCACATAATGCATCTTAGAACATAAAAGGATTGTTGCGCAAACACTGTTCATTACGATAATGTAAAAGATGATTGATTTCTTATAATACAGACGGTCAAGGCTTGAAAAGCAAACTTCTATAGTGTAACAAAATTGAAATAGTGAATTACTCAGTCAATATTTAAAAAAAAATATGTTTCATCTCTTTAAAAATGGAAGCAACTTAAGATCCACATCTCATTAGAATCGACTCATTTTGCTACAATTACTGGCAACTCATTACCCATTACAAGTAGGTTTTATAATGGCTTCTTATAGGCTTATTTTGTGTCAGTCCGAGACACTTATTAACCACGCCAAACAATGACGTGATTACCTCCCATCTGTTGCCTCGTGTTAGTTAGCGCACTATTGTCAGGCAATATGGTCATGTTTGTTAGCTTAATGAGCTCGGTGTGTCCAGAGAGGAAATTAAAAGAGCTTGTATATTGACATCATGACGTCACCAGGCTTTCCATTACATCCGTTTCGGGTTTTTCTTTAACGAACTTGCTATGAAGGAGACATGAAATAAAAATAACAAAAATCAGATATTCAACGAACTGAATGCTTTGACATCTATCAGTTATGGCCCATATACCTTCTTCCCTTTTGAATGGTTGTTTGGGGAAATAATGAAAAGAAAAACCTGCTGAAATAACAAGGGAGATATTTCTTAAAAATAAATCGAGATAAATTATACCACCTACCCCTGGCATAATGACCCGTTCGATATCTGCGAAGACATCTTGCCATTTATCAGGATAAATAGGGGCTTCGTCAGGTATCATCTTCCGCAGATACCCTGGCTCAACTTGAGACAATGGTGGGCGATCGGCAATGTTGTCCAGATAATCCGCGATATAGTCCACCATCTCTCTACCATACTGACGAAAATCCACCGAGTTTGTCATGTTGACGCTTGTTATCTGAGCACGCATGTATCTTGGAGGTTGCACACAAGGAAGAAAAATGTACAAAACTTCTCAGTTATTTCAATAACAACATCTTGACAGTTAAACTCAGTTTTAGTCCGTTTGTTCACAACATTTAAATAAGCAACATTTAATGACGAGCAGGCGCGGTTCCAGAGCCAATATTTTTGGGGGCTAGCAGGGCGGATCCAGAATTTTTTTCAGGTAGGCGTGCTGAAATGTAGATTATTTTCTCCGCACACTTAGGCCTCCGAAAATCAATAGGAGGGGGGGGGGGGGGGGGGGGGGGGGCTCGTGCCATATTTTCAATGGGGAGCGCCAATTAAATCCTACAATCAGGCACAAATATATATTAACTAATGCACCCTTGTCACGACTATTTCTTCAGGGGGAGACCGTTCGCATGTACGTCACATTCCTTCTTTTCGCTAATGCAATTTTTTTATGGAATTTTTTTTGGGGGCTACACAAAATTTTGGGGGGCTATAGCCCCCCGTAGAACCGCCACTGATGACGAGCTGTTTTGCCCAAACAGCTTATTAAATTGAAATCATATAGGCCACTTTTTGTTATAGTAATGCCAGTTTGTGTTAAACATGCGGTCCCAGCATTGCTGCAGTTTGCTGGCAATAATTGGCATAGAAATCTCTCTGTACCTACCTTGTAGTCGGTTGGTTGATCGCGGAGCTGCGGCTTCCTGATGTAGCTCGTTCAAAGATCAATGCTTGAATGTCACCAGCGGTGAAAACACCGTACTGGTAGGCTGCAGTCACAATCTTAAGTGGATGTCACGTGGTGCATTACTTTGAGATAATACGGTTATGAAGTTACAAAGTATAGGTCGACAATATTGTTGCTGTATGGATTCCTTAATCACAAATATACACGAGGTTGCGTTTATAGGGTTTTTTTGTGGAAAGCAATTACAGTAACCTATATACATAAGAGAGAGATTTACTCGGGTCCGAGACGATGTTTGCTCCTGAAAGGATCCGAGACCGCGGGCTCCTGCGGCGCCAAAATCGCATCACGTCCGTGGAAAAATGCGGAGGGTGTCTTCCGCCGGGTCGGACACTTCGGGTCGTCCTGATTTTCCCGTACGGACCGGCGATCCGTTTCGTCGATTTTTCGTGACTGCGTTTTGCGCAGGAATTTGCCGTCGTGTGCACTTTCTAGTTGACTGCCTGGCCGCCCCCTGTGCTGGCTTTTCTGCGAGTCTAGACTGTGCGAGGTCAGCGAGGTCAACGTAGGGGTTTCGTTTACGTGTTCTACTCGGCCGTTCTGCAAAAGTGTTCACCAAATGATAGTATGGGGTGACCTTGGCAAAATATTTTTTCTCCATGGTGCGTGGCCACCAAGTGTCCCTATTGTTTCCTGTGCTTTGCTTGCCGCCCCTGCGCCGAGTGCAACGAATACTCAGAAGGACTACACATTAGTATGCCTTGCGCGGTCCGACCAATCGAAAGTCTACACTGCATAGTATTTCCGGGCTATGCAAAACTGTCGATGCAAAACTGTCGATGCAACCTCGTCCCCAGGGTGTCGAGCAGTACGCGCCCACCACTACCTGCTCTATCACCCTGGTATTGGATCATTTGCATGTGCAAGATTTTTGAACATGTATGCAAATTAGGAGTAGTCTGGTGCCTGCCTGTGCGTTACATTTGCGTTTGTTTTTGTATGCGGTGTCTGGGGTAAAAACAGAATCAATTCGTTGCAGCGCGAGCATGGCGTGAGTTACGAAAACATGATTTTATTTTAATTAAACTGTTACTATCTTAACGAGACAACATGCAGTATCACATTTCATATTAATATTAACAAACTGAAAAGGAAATGAATATTTTCGAGAAGGCGTGGACGAATGATCGCGAAAACACGTACTGCACGTTGTGAATAACAACACCAAGTACACGATATAAATCCATTTCTAGCCAATTGCGGTATCGAATCAGGATGCAGGAAGGAAGTTTCCTATCCAGGGCTTACTATTGGAAACAAGGTTGGAAATAAAGTAAGCACTGGGGACGAGGTTGCTGTCGATGGCAACGCGTACTGAAGCCTGCTCGACACCCTGCAAACGAGGTTGGGTCCACGGTGCTCGCTATTTGAGGTGTCCGACCCGGCGGAAGACACCCACATTGTTCCACGGACGTGAAGCCGCGGTCTAGGATCCTTTCAGGAGCAAACATTTCTCGGAGGCCGAGTAAAACTTGCTTTTATATAGATGGTTGAACCAACTTGAATAAAAGTTGAATCGACTTTTTCCTCGCAGACGGTCTCGCAAATTGTAAGAAGTTCAAGTTTACGTTTGTTGAAGAGTCCAATACTGAAACTTAATTATGACCTTCCTCCATGATTCAGACCGTTTGTAATTTTATGGTAACACTCAACCTTTTTTTATTTTAAATGACACCTTCACGTTTGATTACATTATGATTTATTGTCAAAACTGTACAACCAGCCTTCGCCTGTGTACTACAGTGACCTTTTCACTACGTTTTCCAAATGCGACTGAATCACAAAAAGCCAATTTAACAGACCAACGGCAACATTTACAGACAGTTGCCATGGTACATAATTATCATGTGCGTAAATCGACGGGGGACAGGGGGAATCCCCCCCCCACACACACACACACAAACACATTTTGAGGCGGGGGACATTGTTTGGTCCCCCCCCCCCCAATTTTTCTTCCCCGAATAAAAATATTGTAGCCTACAATAATGATTCTATTGCTCAGAATACATGTAGCTGATTCAATTACTCCAAACTCAAAACTTTCAAAGATGATCTTTTGCTCAAATTGGTTTTAGTGGTCAGAAATTGCCTCAGATCACACCACAGAAATTGCTTTTCTATAACTGCATGTCTCCCCAACTATATCCCCCATTTACATTTAACTCCCCACATTTTCATCCCCAACACTACGCCCTACCCGATCTATGATCGGGTAAATCAGCTTGTTAATTGATAAATATCACTCTTTTTGCCGGCTTCCATTTGTCGATACCGAGACCCACGCCAAGTCACGCCAGGTGACGCTAATGAATATGCTAATTTACATGTATACCCATCGTTATTGTGCTGCCAGGCCGAATTTGGGCAACCGTAGTGCCTCTACGGCGGTAGAAAACCATGCAAGTGGGTTGGGTCGGAAAAACTCCTCGTCGAGATTTTCCTTAGAGATAGTTCGAGCTGTAAGAAGCGGTTAACAACAACAGATTAAGCTGAAATTCAAAGTATACTTAGATGATATAAGTGTTCAACTATTTGTGAAATAACAACTTGAGTAGATTCCTAGAAATTGAGACAAATACATAGATTTGGGGAAGTTTTCGAACGATTGCTTCCAGACTTGAAGGTCAGCTTTACCAGTAACCAGTATTGAGGTTTCGGCATCGATGACCGATATTTTTTTCACTGACATGAAGTTTAGAATTCTTCTTCCGTTATATTTTAACATTTCAATCATACTGAGCATATTTTCTGAGAAACACAACGTTCAAAAGGCTATTTTTTTTTGGGGGGGGGGGGGGGTTCACGAATTTCACTGCTCTGTTACAGCGTCTAAGTACGTAATCGGATTAGCTTTGCCTGACAACCAGCCACGCTTCACCTTCGCAACCATCATGGATCATGACCGTGAAAACATCCCTTATAAGCATAATCAGCTGTCCCAACTATGCTCTATCATGGTTCAACAACCCGGCCACAAGAATGGTACACACACATGTCACCATATGCACGTACCACGTGGCATATAGGACCCACAAGCCACGTCCCCTAAAGACTACAACGCCACAGGTTTTTCGTGTGGATTTTTCGTGTGCTTGAAGCCGGTTCGACAACTTGATAAAGTGTGTCATTTTTACTTTATGGTATGACTTTATGTACTGTCGGGCTACCGAACAAAGTAAACAATGACCATCGAAGCTATCAAAGTACTAACAATAATTATGTAGGTCGGATGGCTAAAGCCGATTATATTATTATCAGTTATCAGTGTTGCTCGGAACTCACGCGTGGAACTGGAAATATGCGAAAACAGAGCTCAGAGCATATGAAATGCTATGTCAGTGTACTAGTATAAATTATATTCCAACACGATGATAAATGGTTTTCACTGGTAGGCAAAGCACGTGACATCTTCCATAAGAAACTGGTCAAAGAAGGCGTTTACTCACCAAAATGGAACCAACACTACCGCACGACTAGTTATAGGGTTATGCATAAATAGTTATACCTCCATGAACATATCATCTCCTCGATGGAAAAGGGAACAACAGTGCATGTACGTACATGTACATGTACATACTGGACTTTTACCCGTAGCGCTAGTAATCCAGACTGTACGAAATACATGTAATCCTAAGTACATGGTCGAAGATTATGTCTCATACATAATTCATGAGGTTCATTGTAGTCATGATGCCACCATATTGACAGAAGTTTACAAAATAAAAAAGAAGGAACAATGACGACTTTTTGCAAACATGCATGTGTATATTTATTGTAAAATCACATGGCAAATGATTGGCCCACGTCAGTCGAATTGTCCAATAGTATTTAAGATATTTTTTAGAATAGAATCTGATGAAACGATTGATCGAGGGCCGTTAGTGGAAGTGTGCGGGAAATGGTGTCGGCTTCGGAAAACCAATAAACAATTATTATTACGTACATTAGCAACTACATCGGAGCTGGGAACTTTGATAGGAGCTAAGTTTATAACTGTGGGAGATACTAATTCTTATGAGGTCCAGCAACACGTACGTACAGTTCACTCTACTGAGCTGGCCGACTGTAAAAAATGGCTGTATTTAGACAGTATCTTACTGTAATTTCCTACAGTAGTAATAGTATGCTGTATATTAATTGTTTCACAGTAATTTACTGTAAAGTACAGTGCATTGTTGGGAGCCGTGGTTTTAGCTGTAAAATACTGTAAAAATTACAATTACACTGTAATTTTCACAGTTATTTACTGTTAAATATTTTTTACAGTATCATACTGAAACTTAATCACGTAT